GCGATTCTACTTCCTGGATGGCATTTTGGAGCGCCATTATCATCGGGTCGAGCTGTATTTTGTTGGGATTGATTCAGACAGCACTCTAAATTATGCAATATACTCTGACTTTTCAAACAGGGAAAATAAGTTATGCTGTAATCTGCACTATCCCAACCATAGCGTCACTAGCTTGAACTCGATAGGTTTTGTTGTTTCTTTTTAATCACTGATATGAGCCCTCTCTGCTTTGGGCAGGCACTGTCTTTATATTTCATTCCTGAACCCCGACCTTCGCCTCTGTATGTCGTTTTGTAGTAATACAGTAAAGGGGAGATCGTAGAGATAGATATGCTTCCTTTTAGGTATGGGGTAATGGGCAGAGGCTACACTAATAATTTTGGTCCAATATTCAAATCTGGGTATCATCGAGATAAGATATACCAACTTGTTCATTATCAGATTTATGCTGTTGGCTCGGCTTTCACATTGTTGGTTATCAACACCCCGAATTAATCCCGACCTGACAATTAATTGGGCGCAGCTTCGGCCTCGTGCGGGGAACTTGGACGTTTACACGCCATTACTCCTCCCTACCATCGTTCCTCCCTCAAAGATTATTGCCTGGCCCCTTACTGGCCCACGCGCACCCGATTTTCAATGGCTGTCAATGAAGTTCAAGTGTTCAAACTAGCCGTCGGGGACCAGTTTGGTCGCCTGACAGATCGCGAGAAAAGATATGCGCACCACATGGCCCGGTAAGCACAGGGTGGGCGCAGGTCGGTGGCCTTTATATTGACTCATAATTACAATAGTGCTTCTTGGGCGGGAGCGAGAATCATCTTTCGGCAAGTTTCTCCTGAGTCCGTCCTGATTTTTGATTTTATCATGGAGCTTCATCGTACTTGCTCTGGAGACTGGGAATCTTTGACCTGTCCCGGGGTGACAAAAGAAGATATCCAAAATTTCAAGACTTACGCTGCTACGTTTTTGTCAAATGTTGGAAACTACTATGTGAGCGGCACCTTTCATTATACAATCCCATGCCCGAATCTACCGCTAATATTTCAATAATCAGGGTTCTGGCGATCAGAAATTCATCCCTCAAGTAGAGAGCGCTGTCCTCCAAAAACTATCAGATAAGTCCTCTACTTTAAATAGTCTATATGAAGGACTCTCCGATAAGATCCTCGCAATACCACCATACAGTCTTGGATATTCAAGTGAAACCGCTCAGACGGCTTATTATCCAGGAGGTAATCTGAAGGAATCAGACATTACCATGTTATCAAAATTCCTCGAGCAGAATCACATCCATCCCGAAAATACCAGACTCCAAAAAGTTGTTGAGGGGGAATATGAGATTCTTCTTGCCTCAGTTGAATCGGGTACACAAGAGAACCTTTCTCTACACAACGGTACAGGATCAGTGCGGATCGTAAAGGGAGACCATTCTTCCGACCTTCAACGTGTCTGTCATGAACTCGCTGAAGCGGTAAAATACACCGCAAATGACATCCAAAAGCGATTCCTCGAAAAATACATTGAAAGCTTTCACACCGGGAGTCTGGACGTGTATCGAGAATCTCTACGAATTTGGGTCAAAGATAAAGGGCCTCGCGTAGAAAACATCTTTGGATTTGTTGAACCATATCGAGACCCGCACGGTATCCGAGCAGAATTTGAAGGACTCGTTGCCATTGCTGACGATGAAGAAACGATACTTCTATCCAAGTTGGTTGAAAACTCGGCCACCTTTATTCGTCGGCTCCCATGGGCAACGGCGGAGAATGATGGAAAGGGACCTTTTGAAAAGAGTCTTTTTGAACCTCCAGACTTCTCAAGCATCCATTGTAAGCGTTTTTATGCCTCATGTTGAACTTGGGCTGACTCTTGTGCAGCGCTTGCATACTGTTCGAGTATAATTTTCCCTGGAATTAATGTTCCCAACGTGAGAAGGCCATCAATTATGTATTTGTCTTCATTGTTCACAAACTCACTGGGCGAACTAGTACAACGACATCCGCCAAGAGGATGGTTTCAAAAATGTTATTGTCTCCAACCGAATGGTCACTGAGAGCCAGGCCAAACAATATCCTTTTATACAGGGTTCGGAGGCAGAAACATTCCATAAGCACAAGTTCCCGGCTTATTACTGGTGGGTTGTTCTCCACGAGCTTCTCGGCCATGGCACAGGTCAGATGATGGTAGAGCATACAGGGGGGAAGTTCAACTTCGACATCAACAACCCGCCGATCAATCCGCTCACAAATCAACCCATCTCGACCTGGTACAAGCCGGGGCAGACCTGGACAGGCGAATTTGGAGATTTAGCAACCACGGTGGACGAGTGTAGAGCTGAACTCGTCGGTGCTTACTTAATGGACAATGTCGAGCTCCTTGAGTTGTTTGGCTTCTCGGAGACCTCTGAAATTCGCGCAGATGACTGTGAGCGTCAACTACTCAGTCCTTTCTTTCCCTTTATTTGGGGTTAAAACTAACACGAGAAACTCTCTTTCAGTAACATATAATCTGTACCAACAGCTAGGTGTTGACGGTTTGCGAGGGCTATCCAACTTCAACGTAACCAATGGCGTACGCTTGTCTATATCCATGAACACTGTGTGGGAATTGTGCTGATAATCTGTTGCAGAAATGGGGCCAGGCGCATAGTCGAGTGAGTTCTAACAACGAATGAGATGAAATCAATTATGCTAACTAATGCTCACTCCTAGGCACACTTCGCGATGCTCAAGTGTTTGATTCGCGATGGCGGCGGTGTTGTTACCATTATTCATAATAAGCTGGGCAGCAACCTTACAGTCCACGTAGACCGCTCAAAAATCCGCACTCATGGAAAGGCAGCTCTCGGGAAAATGCTTCTACATTTGCACATGTTCCGATGTACGGCTGACGCGGAGAGTTGCCGGGTCTACTACGAGGAACTCTCCAGGGTGGAAGAGGAGCACTTGTCCTGGCGCGAGACGGTTCTTTTGAAGAAACCCCCCCCAATGATTTTTGTCCATGCGAATACGTTCCTTGACGGTGAAAAGGTTACTCTGAAGGAGTATGAGCCTACCATCGAGGGTGTCATTCAAAGCTGGGCTGAGAGAAGTGTTTGAATCAATACTTAATACTCTTCTGGTCCTCTATGATGCAAAATTCATCACCACTTTACAGAAGCTTCTAGCATAGATGCCATGTTTATCAAGCTCTCAAAGTTAAATATGTATTCAGATCGAAATAGCGCTGTCGACTAACTTTGCTATTTGATTTTAGAGCTTCAGTATATGAGCAACTGATGATCCATCACAACACCAGAATCCAAGGGTAAATCTTCTCCCCAATCCACTTATCAGATTTAGGACTGGCCCTGGCGTGCCTCTTTAACCCATTCGTCCACTTTCATGACCTTCTCCACGATCAGCGGCCAGATGAGGTCTGTTGCCGCATCTTTCTGCGGACCTGTAAACCCCGCTGTACCGTCAGACCTAAGCGATGTATGTTCAGTAGGTGCACTTGTAGTATTGTGTTAAACAATAATGGAAAAATACTTACAGCAATGTCACGTGGAAGCCACTGTACATCCCAATGTAGTCAGTACGAAGTATCACCTTGGTTCAGAAGCCGAATATAAAACTTACAGCTCCCTGGCGTCACGGGCAGTTGACTCCAGACAAGTGTTGGCAACCATGCCAGTCATGACGAGGTGAGTGATTCCCCGTTGACGCAATTGATAGTTCAAGTCCGTGTTGGCAAATCCACTAAAGGCGGCTGTCAAAAAGGGGTAGCCTATAGTATAACGATGATGACAGAACTTACCTGCTGTTCCAATGTTTGCTGGCGACTACATCCCCATTGCCAAGCACATCTGGCTCAAGGCCTTCCAGGAACTCTGCCCCCCATGTTCCTTTCTCAAAGGCTTTAGCCATGTTGAGTCTCGAGTTAGAAGTTGATAAGTGGCCCCACCCTTGGTAGTTGCCCTCCTTCCACTCTTGGTGCATAGCGTAGAAGATTGGAATGCGCAGTTCTCGAGCGGCATCGACAAGCGTCTTTAGGTGCTTGTTTGTATCAGTCGTAGTGAGAGACTCCCTAACGGCCGGGTTCAGCTTGCCATCGTGGTGGAGGAAATCATTGTACGGATCAATAAGGACAATGCCGGTTTGTGAAGAAGATTCGGTAGTCATTTTGCTTAGTTCCTTGGACAAGATTCACTACTCTGCTTATCATTCTATCTTAAAAAGCTGGGAATGGGTCAGCTATAAGTAGTTGGCATGGACGAAGGATTCCGGACCAAACATCCCCTCTCACTTGAAGCTGACAAATTTAGGAGACTTCGAGGTGGAGGCCACAATCAAACAACCAGGCATGCCTAGAGTAACATTTACGCTACTTTGGCAGTTCACTCAGGACGGTGACCGTCAGCAGGACTAGTGGCACTCATTCCAGCCAATAGTCGAACAAGACTCATGACCGATCACGGACCGGAGAAGCCTTTCGCTCTACCGGATCGATGCGGACCACTTCTTCTGCACGAATCATTGGCATACAGGTCCAAGCAATGACAGCATGTGCGTGTCACTGACTCTCATTGGACTTGTGATGGGCGGGCTGCTGACCAATTTAGGCCCCACAACATCCATCCCCAACACCGGTCGTTCCGTTGGTGCCTTCGCAAGCGTCTCATGTCGGGGAACCTCCCTGCAATGCAGCAAGCGCCATGGTAGATATCCACTCTCAGCTGACGAAATATCTCTAACCATGCTCGAGCGTTTTGCGGAAGTCTATTTGTTGGGATGGGTGGGTGGAGAGGCGTAACCGTCTAACGTGAAGCCACGAAGAGGCAACACATAGACAGGGAACTGAGCTGCGGTATTAAGGGTAGTCATTACTATGTACAACAAGTTCATGCTACATATGGAGTTTATGCTCCCTCTTTGTAGAGCTAGGCTAGATGTCACCATGGTCATTGAATTGTCCCCTCTGATGGTAACCCATGTCCTACCACCATACTTCTTCACTCAGTCAGCAATCAATGCCGATAGTTTTTGCTTCCATTGTTGTAGCGTTTTCGACATTTCATCCATCTGCGTCCGGGTGCTCTTCAGTTCCTCTTCGAGCTGCTGCTTCTCGGCGCGTAGAGTTGTTGCCTCTTCCATGGACCCTTGCCGCTGGGAAGCCTCCTGGCGTAACTGTGCAAGCTCACTCTGCGACGCACGAGCTGATTGTAGAGCCTTCTGAGTCATTTGTAATTCCCGATCTCTGAGACTTAGATCTTGACGAAGCTGGATAACTTGGCCCTCCAACCCGCCAATCTGTTGCCGAAGCTCAGCAGCCGTTTCCAGCTCCGAGTATAACACGCGAAGCGCAGAGTCCACTTCTGTGGGTAGCGTTGTGTAACGAGACCGCCGCGTGACGGCCGGCCGGTAAGTCGTGTATGCATGTATGTCTGTAGAACGAGTCTGCGGAACTGGTACATTCCCTGGCCCAGTATGGCTGGGTGTTGTAGCTGGATGGGCTATCGCGGTTTCACTAGCCTGCGACGTGTTCTGTGAAGCAGTGGGGTAACTTGTAGGAGTAGATTGAATCAAGCGTAGGTTCGGGGATGGATCTTGGAGCCCATGAGAGGACTGCATTGTCTCGGACTGGGGTGGCGGATTGGTAGGATGAACATCCCGCCGCCCACTTTCAACTTCCTCTGCTGCTCTAGAAGTTTCCGGTGGTGGCGAGGCAGGCGGTGTGAGAGTGGGCGGCTTCATGTGCCAATTTCTCACCACACATATGTCGCAATACCAGCCTTGTGCCAGTCCGCCGAGAACAGTAATAGAGCCTTTTGGCCTGCATGACTCATGGTACTGTCTTCTGCAGGTTAAGCATGGATGGATATCATCCGATTTCTTGCATGCAAAGCAGAATTCATCGTAAGGTGCCCCAGATCCTGGGTATAAAACCGTTAGTATAAGACAAAGATGCAGGGCCAAGGCAGGTGGCTTGGATGACATTGACAAAAAGGGGTGGCTTACTTTTCCAAGTTTTGTACATTGCCAAGGACTGAGACAGAAACTCTTCTGACACGCCCCGCCCATCCATTGCAGCTTCAAGTAGTTCCTTGAATCTCTGCAGGCCTTCCTGGCTGGTCGGCGCTGGCGCTGGCGCATGGCTCACCAAACGCGTACGGCGCGGGGGATGTTGATCATCCTTTTCATGGCGCTGGGAGGATCGCAGACGCTTCCTTCTCGGTCCTGCAGGCGACTCATCATTATCGTTCATTTTCAGCGGCTGTCGAGATGCCCAACAGGGATTCAAGAAAGCGGGCGGCAGTCGGGCGTCATTGCCGCATCATCAATTAAAGGGGAGAAGAAGAATTGAACTGATTACAAATGGGATTTCCGATTTCGCTCTCCGTAATTCAACGCCAGACCCATGAATATTATGGGGCTAAATTGGTCAGCAGATCCAAGGTCTGCCATTGGATGAGCTGCATTGGCCCTTGTTAAAGCCAGATGTGTGCTTCTCATCCGTCGGGTTGCTGACCAATTTATCAGGGTCAATCCAGTCCCCCCGATGTGCCTGTTGTTGTCCACACTTGTTGCTACGGATTGTACTCCCTTTCAGTTTCCCGTGTGCCCATTGAAACTGTCACCCTTCCAAAAATAGTAAACTGAAAATAGTTTAATAGCATGGTCTTATCAACTATTGTTCCGAAATGGCGAATATATGTAGAGTGAGCGTTGAAAGAGCGGCCGACGTGCGATAATTGTTGGGATAATCTCATAGAGCCCCCGGGAGTATATGAAGGCTGCTTGATATTTGAGAATCGTTCGCTACTCTGACGTGATCACTCCTCACGATTACTCAAAAACTGATATTAATGTCAGCTTTAGCAGATAGAATCCTCAGAAAGACGTACTCCTTCCGAATGAACCAATCCATCTCAAAGGGGTTTGAGAACCTCGATTTAAATAAATGGCCTAGCAGCTCCAAGATGGCAGGTAGAAACTATACGGCCTGATGAGGCAGCATACGCTCAACCATGCGCATACTGCCACCCCCACGCTCGCTATGTGCCCGAGTCTGGAGCGTCATCCTCCGAGACAAATAAAGCCCTGTCATGTGGTCTTTTGGTGATGGACAGTTACATCGGATGGCTCAACACTGGCGTGTTTGTTGGGGTCTTGTCTCCATGGCCCACACTTAGGCCTCGGCTCTGTCAAATGTGTGGTGGGCCCAACTCATCACAACCCTTTTCGCAACTTAGAAAAGAATAACTCGCCGTTTGGGTTGATGGTGTTCAGTTGATATACTTCTGGTGCCGAGTCGTCTTCAGGCATGAATAGACTGTGGCCAGTACCATTGAAACAAACTACCACGACATCTTGAGTTGAATTCTCACGATAACGCCAAAATGAATTTACAATTGCACGACATCCCAGCAACATGGGCCATCCTTCACATTTACATATATTTCTTTCTGCCTTTAATATTTGTGGCTTATCTGACTCTCGTGAGATCCTACCGCTACGCTCGGCGAGATGTGATAGAAGCAAAGTTCAAGTCTGGGGGACGGGAGTTGTCAACAATGACCGGCAAAGAAGCTTTTGAGATTCTCACTCAGCTGCAGGAACTCGAGTTCCCCTATGCTTTCGCCAAGGCACGCCAGATGGCTCTACTCAAGGTTCGTCCCCGTTTTCAATGAGTGCTAAATTCTATATAGCAGGTTTCATACTAAACTCGTTTTTCATCTATCCAGGCCGGCGGTATTCCTTCCATGTCAAAGCTGTTTGCTGTGACGGGACAAAACAACCGGAGGAACGCTGGTAGGCGTGCCGTTGATACAGAGATTCTGCTTCGAGAGTCACAGACAATGCCTCGGGATTCAGAACGTTATGCCATGGCTGTTAGTCGCGTGAACTACTTGTATGTGGCAACAGAACGAGATCCCTGGCTTGAGTTCAACTGACAGGCTTAGGCACGAGCGGTACCGACGTGCTGGGAAGATAACAGACCCGGATCTACTCCATACACTAGGGGATGGACTCGCAGAAATTCTGACCGTTATCGAAAGAGATGAATGGCGCAAGCTGACTGATGTAGAAAAGTGCGCCTTGGGTGTGTTTCACAAGAATCTCGGCGAAGACTTGGACATCCCATTCGACCTTCTATCATCCAGCGAAGAGGGATGGAGAGATGGGGTTCATTTTGCCATGGATCTACGCGACTGGACCATCAAATACGAGGAGACGGTGGCTGTTCCCAACGACCCCAGTGTCCAATACGTACACTCATATGTAGATTCCGCATTCCTTTCCATGCCAAAATGGGTTGGTGCAACCATGCGGAAAACCTTGGGTGCTGACTTAGATGATACCATGAGGTCAAGTCTTGGGTATGTATTTTCATTCAAGCCATGGGTGGAGTGAATTTGCTGACCATGAGATTTCCTTGAATTACAGGCTTGAAGCTCCCGGGCCCCTTCAGTCCCTGCTCATTCGAACCGTCCGAAACCTCCGAATCCTATACCTCAGGCATTTATCGCTTCCTCGACACACAGCCGTGAAAGCCTTGTCGGTATCCCCCAATCCAAAAACAGGCAAGTATAACTTTGAGCGTAAGGGTTTACAACCTTGGTACATGGAATCCACACTTCGGTCCAGTTGGGGTCCCAGTGCTCTCTTAATCAGGGCGGCGGGAGGAAAGGTGCCCGGATCCCAAGGTGACCGCTACTACCCACAGGGTTACGACTTAATGACTATAGGCCCAGAGCCGCAGAAAGGCAAAGGCATCGACGAGATGAAAGCCGGCATTGAAGCTATCCGGGCTAGAGGCGTAGCCACTTGCCCGTTTTCTATCGCCAAGTTAGAGGGAATCTAGTATATAGGAAGGGGTTGGACTTCCCGTCGCCTTGACAAGTCTAGGTTCAAGACGTCAGTGGTCCTCCACTGTCTTTGAGAGCTCTTGACAGAGCGATTTCCAAATTTTAAATTCCAGTTAAATTTTCTTTCAGCGGTCGCTTAATGTGTTTGTGAAGTTTATCATAGAAACTTTGGGTTTTAATTTCTGCCAAAAAAAGCTCGCCGGTGAAACATTACGTCCGGAGGACAGTAACTAGCTAAAGCCGCACTAAGAAAATATGTACATATCTCTAAGCTTATCAAAAGGAAAACCTCACTTCGATATATCTTATATCACGATATGTTATTCCTAGCATATGCTAGATCTACATTGTCGTTCAGAGCAGGTCCAAGTGTCTCGATCTTAAGCACATAAAAAGCAATCGAACTCCCAAGGCAGACCTAAACTGAAGACGGATGAAATGACACATGCGGAACAAAAACAGCCTCGGCTTCAGTACCTCTATCTTGATACTTCCGAGAACGTGGGGGGATGGCCGGGGGGTTAGGTGCGAATGTCGGCGATATAATCACGTATCTCATTGTGTCCATGACAGTGATCAAGGGCTCTCACATGCAAATGAGCTGAGCCCATAACTTGTCTATGGTTACTTGCGAAATAAATCATTTGAAATTTTCACATGGTAGAGCCCGATTGCTGTCCGGCATCTGGGCGCTGAACAGTGAACGAAGGGGGAATTGTGTGAAGGGGGCACCAAACACCGCAAATATTGCAGTACCATCTCACATACAATAGTCCAAGGTAAGACTCTTATATACAAGAAATCAAGCTAGGTGGATTAATATCCGGAATGTTTCAATAAGCCCAATACAATCCCCAACTCGCGAACTGTCAATGAGCAACCATGTAAACAGGGCTGGGATGATGTTCCAGAGCGTTCTTGTTTGAGCTCGATGGGGCGAGCCGGAATCCATACTTCGGGGTTACATACACCGAATGGAGATATTATACTTGTTAGAAATCGTGATACAGCGCACCAAAACACGTGAAAGATCATATTCTCTTTTTGTCAGCCCCAATACGGTCTTTGGTCTCCCAACATCTCGTAAAAGTGGATACCATAGTCAGTCTGCCGAGGTTGGATCCATAAATCTTTGAGTTTGCTGAGCCACCCCCATCTCGCTTCGCATACGTCAAGGAACTGGAAATTAAGCTTAAGATCATATTGAAGACTCACTTGCTGAACCAAACCGGTTTTATTCAACTCACTGCCAGCAGATCTGAATCCGCACAGAATGAATCCAACGACCCAGAAGGCTGAACAACGCTTCAGATCTATCGCATGGTGTGCAGCCCTTCTTGACCGGCCTGGCACTACCATCTTCACCCCAAGCTGCCGCTTAGTGGATGCTTCGGGGCTCCCTGCTTCCCAAGATCAGATTCTGCGGACAACACTCAACAATTCAGATGCAGTGCCCCACTGCCTTGGGTTCTACCAGGACCCAGCTAGCAGTTCCACAACAGGGTCACAAACATCTCCTGCGCACCCAAGGTTGCTTCTCAACTCATCATCCATAATTTTTGACCTTCAACCCGGTGTCAACGGCTACCACGGTTCAACTCACGGCGGTTTTATGGCTGTGCTTATAGATGATTCCATGGGCGGTCTGATCTATCATAACTTCGTGCTCCAAATGCAAAAGCAACAGGAGCCCGGTTGGAACCCGCCACCAGGAACGCTGGACTTGAGCAAGATCCAGTACTTCACGGCGGGCATGAATGTTCGTCTAGAGAAGCCTTTGAAAACTCCAGCGGTGGTTGTGGTGACATCTACGTTGAACAGAGTTGAAGGTCGCAAGATGTACTTGGATGTCGTGGTTGAGGATGGCAATGGTAAAAAGTATGCCACCTGTGAGGGTCTTTGGATGTCGCTCCCTAACCAAAAGATTTAATCCTCAAAGAAGACGAACATCCTTCTTAGAGCGCGATTCAATCTCACCCATATCGCTTTAGAAATACTGAGGCTGGAAAGATTATGACTTTCCTTTTAGAGACAACCATTGTGAATAGATTTATTTAACGATACCATCGCTACAAACAATAGGTCTACTTGTTTCATTAGCTAGGAGTGAATAAACATCCAACCGCATTCGACAGACCAGAAGGCGCATCACATGCAGAGTCGGAATCAGTCTGCTTCCGCCAAGCCCTCAAGGCTCCGTGCCAACTCGACCATGCCTCGATGATCAAATTCGAGTCTAAAACGCAGCTACAAGGTGTTTGAGGCCCTGGGGCCCAACGGCCCCATCGACCATGTACTACGGCCGATGCCGACCGCCACAAGACGTAGGCCTCGGGTCGAGCCGGCCGTGAACAACAGCAACATCAGGCTCTTCTCCGGCGGCCGGGCCGCCCCGACCAAGTAGCTCAGTCGGCCCTCGTGTCTCAAATCCCAATGGATGTAGTCAGGTTGTGGAAATCCGGCACAGGGGACCAACAAGCAAATTGAGCTGGTGCAGCTCACTCAGGCACTTTCCATCGCGGGTCCTGCCGAGTGGCGACGGGGCAACAGTCCAGTCGTACACTGGAGTAGATGGAATCAGATATAACCATCTCCTTACAAGCAAATTTGAGAATAAGGTGAGAGACCTGCAGGAATTCAAAATACTTACCATTGCCAGCAACGATGCATGCGACCGCTCAACCGAAATCATGGGACGTCCCTGTGGACTATGCCCGTCCGATGAAAGTCATCTGCATTGGCGCCGGCATGTCTGGCATTCTTTGCGGCATCCGGTTCAAGCAGAGGATACCCAACCTGGATCTAGTTATCTACGATAAGAACGAAGAAGTCGGGGGCGTTTGGTTGGAAAACAAGTAAGTGATTGCAATTTACACCGCCAAGGCTAGGGGTTAACATGCCACACCTAGATACCCAGGCGTGACTTGTGGTAAGTATATGCCAAGTGGTGCTACGCACATGCTATTGCTAATCGATCGCTAACTTGTATTGGGCTAGATGTTCCCTCGGTACGCATTTCGTCTATATTGCAGTGTGATCTTTTCTTTTTCTCACATAGGTTAGGTATCCTTTCAATACACGTTCGAGAACAACCCTTACTGGTCACACTTCTTCTCTCCGGGCCCCGAGATTGGTAAGTATTTCAAGGACACGGCGGAGAAGTATGGTGCCCGCAAACTGGTCAAGTTCCGGCACGTTTTCAAGTCTGCTCGGTGGCTGGACGCAGAGGCAAAGTGGGAGGTGACGATGCTGAGGCTCGAGGACAACACGGTGAGCAATCACTGCCAGCTTCTGTCTGGGCATTAGCTAAAACATCATCATTGCGTAGGTCTTCAAGGATTACTGTGATGTATTCGTCAAGGCCACTGGTAACCTCAACAAGTGGATGTGGCCTAAGATCGACGGCCTTCACAAATTCAAAGGTGATCTCGTCCACAGCGCTAATTGGGACGAAAGCTTCGACTATGATGGAAAGCGGGTTGCTGTTCTTGGCTATGGGGCCACAGCTGTGCAGCTAGTGCCCGCCATCCTCCCCAAAGTGAAGTATATGGATCATTACGTGAGAGGTCAAGTCTGGATCTCCCCAGCAGGTTATGTCGCCGCTGACCCTCGAAAGGCCAGCGGCGATGTACACAACTGTACGTTGCCCGTTCGAAGTAAGGTAACAGCAGCTGATTTCTTGGATACTAGTTCCCCACCCGCCCGCAGAACAGCAGGAGTTTGCGACGAACCCGCAAGCCAATATGGCCTACCGGCACGAGGTTGAAAACTTTGTCAACAACTTTCAGCTCGTCCACTGGGTCGGCTCTGATATGAATAAGACCTTTTCGAAAGCAACAGAAGATTCCATGCTAAGGAGGCTAGCCAAGAAGCCAGAGATCTTCGAAGCCATCAGACCAAGCTACCCGGTGCTGTGTCGCCGGGTTTCCCCAGGTCCCAAGTATCTCGAAGCGCTGACGGAAGACAAACTCAACTTCATTCCTAAGGGTATCAGAGAAGTGACCGAGACAGGCGTCGTTGACGACGACGGAGTGCTCAGAGAGGTGGATGCGATCATCTGCGCGACGGGTTTCGATACGTAAGAGTTACCTTACCTGGTGTCTCGTTCCGTGGCTGACGCGGATCAGGTCTTTGAGATTGGACCACAACCCAATATATGGCAAGGATGGCATATCACTGGATAAGCTGTGGGAGGATGAGCCAGCCGCGTACATGTCCATGTGTCCCCCCGAGATGCCAAACTGCTTCTTCTTTGTCGGTCCAAATGGTGCGCCGGGCGCCGGATCCACCATCCAGATGAGCGAGGTCACCTGCGAATACATGATCAAGTGTATCCTCAAGATTCAGCGGGAGAATATCAGGTGGATGAAACCCAAGTATGTCGATAGCCACTCGAGCTCTTTTACATTGTGTCTAACCATGTGTCCAGGCAATCCGCCATCAATGCGTTCGCGAAGCAAGTCGATCGATACTTTGCGAAGACGACGTTCGCCTTTACGGTATGCCACACAACATCCCTGTAAGACAAGACGGGCCTACTGACGTGCGATGGTCTCCAGTGTAATAATTGGGCGAAGCGAACCGCCAACGGCAGAATGCTTGGTTACTGGCCTGGTTCCGCCGTTCACCAGCGAGCGACTTTGGCGCATCCGCGTTTCGAGGACTTTGATTACGAGTCAAACGACCCTGATCAGCTTGACAGTCTAGCCTGGATGGGCAATGGCATGATCATGGCCCAAGAGTTGAAGTCGTCCACGACAGGCTATCTCGATTCCTCGGATAAGCCTCCCCTCGCTGTTCCTTTGGGAGAAGAACCAGTCTGGCAGGTGGCAGTTGGGAAGGCTGCCGACCTGATTTTGGAAGACTTTTGCATGTCTGGAAAGGATGGGTCGGGTCGGGCTGAAATCACCGTGTGTGAAGTCGGCGTTCCTGGAAACAGAGTTCAAGTTGTTTGAAAGTGTATGCATTGATCGTTTGGCAAACTATATCCGTTTCTGTGTTCATTCATCTTCAGATGGGAGTCGCGATAAGCTCAGCCGGAACTTACAAGCATCCTAAAGGTCATCATCTGTCAATAGAAAGCTTGAATTTAAGATTTGGTTGTTGTTTTTCTTGTGATGTACGTGACACAGGGTACCTACATGTGCACTGTTGAAATTGCTGTCAGGAGGAGGTAGGCTACAGGGTAGGCTTAGTTGCCTCTACAGCTGGTTCAGGAAACAATAATAAGGAACGATATCGTGACATTTTCCTTTTTATCATTATCCTTAAGAGTTTAAGTTATTATTCTCAAATTAAAAGATATAAGGGAAGGTAAGACACCTTAGCTTCCAGGTAGTTACCCTACTCTACAAGCAGGAGCATGTTGTGTTGAGGAAACAGTAGGGAGCAGCAGGGTTGGTGATGATAACGCAGCCAAGCTTTACTTGACTCGTCAATAGCGTCCCCACCATGATTATGCCCAGCACCTGAATCAGCGGGGTAACAGGGGACGAGAGTCGCTAATCCAGAGCTCCTGGTTGGAATAGCGTCATTGTATTCGTTGTGGCAGTGGGTCGTTGATAAGGGAGGCGGGGAAACGAGAGTCATGGTACATGCTCCATCTTGGCCAGTCCAACTCTGGTGGTGCTTCGTGCATCCTCCTCATCGACAATTGACGGTTCCTCATGCAAGTCTGGAGCCATCATGTCGGCAACTCCTCCGCCCCCTCGAGCCCGGGCCCATGGCAAACGTGCCCGGGTGGCATGCTTGGCTTGTCAACAGAAGAAGCAAAAGGTCAGTCTGGATCAAGGACTCTCCTCTCACGATGACGTTGGCTCATAAGCGTAGTGCGACGGTAGGGCTCCAGCTTGTGGTAACTGCGTCAAGACAATGCAAAGTCAGTTCTCACCGCCAAACCTGCTTGATCCGGGGTTGGGCTAACGTTGTCAGGAAAGCCTGCATCATCGAGGACCCCTCTACAAGACGCCATTATCCTCGAGGGTACGTGGAAACCCTTGAGCAGCGAGTGGCGCAACTTGAGCGCTCCGCTGCCGGCGTTGAGAGACCAAGAACCCCAGAGGAGATCGCCGTTACCGTCACCAACGCCTCACACGATGCAGAGCCAGCGGCCGAGGCATCTGTTGTCGATGCTACGCAACAAATGAGCGGGGAGATGCAGAGGTACAGCCTGAACTTTGAATTTCCGACCCCAGTACTGACTATGTGTAAAGCCACTCAAATGATCATCAAGTACAGTCTGACCATGGCGACTATGGCGGAGGGGACGAGGAAACCGACGAGGAACCATCATCGCTTGACCTGCTTCTGCTGAGAGCCGCCGGTGGAGAGCCTCATTACTTTGGCTCATCGTCATCTTTTTCCTTCACGAAACTTTTCTCAGCAAGACTGAGGGGCTCTCAGTTTCACATGCCGGGATTATCAATGAATGGAATGACACATCCCTATATACAAGAACGCCCGCGACCTGCCCCTGCTCCATTACCGGATAGGGCGACGACAAAGATGCTGACAGCCTCATATTTTGACAACGTCCACCCCCAGTTTCCTTTTCTGCATAGACCAACCTTCCTCGAGTACGAGGATGCAGTCATGTCAGCCTGCGAGAACGGCCTTGGCCCGAATCCCGTGTGGTCGTACTTTGTCTACATGGTCGCGGCAGTAGGTTCCCTGACGGGGCCCCTTGCCGGCAGCACCTTGCCCGAAGGGCTGTACGCAGCTGGGGAAGAGCTCTACGAACATGTCCTGCAGCTGAACAACTTGGAATCCATCCAGGCCCTGCTGTGCTGCGCCATGTACTCCCTGAGGTCCCCGATAGGCGTCTCCATCTGGACGCTGTCGGGGTTGGCCATACGCCAGTGCGTCGAGCTGGGTCTCCATCGGGATATCCCCTGGGCCAAAGTCGACCCCAACACTCTCAAGACCCAGATGCGCAGGAGGGTCTTTTGGTGTTCCTATAATCTTGACCGCGGGGCTGCCGTCACGCTGGGGAGGCCGGTCGGTATAGCTGATGGGGACATTGACGTCGAGCTGTTCCTCGACGTTGACGATGCCAGCATCACCCCGACGGGCATCAGCAGCCAACCTAGGAGCTCGTTCACGGAGCCACCAACTGTTGTCTCGTCAGCCCTTCATACTATCAAGCTTCGCAAGATCTGGGGCCGCATGCAGAGCCAGATATACCCCCAAACAAGAGGCTCCGAGTCGGCAGGAAACAGCCTACTGGAGAGCATGTTCAAGGACGAGCTCCGAGAGTGGCAGCAAACTGCTCCGGGAGAACTGCCGCAAGGACGTGCCGCAAACAATGCCTTTGGGAGCACCGAATGGTACAAACTGATGTACCACCATTCCATCCTCCTGCTCTACCGTGGGCACTTGGTCACGAAGCAGCGGAGGCCATCCACCCAGACGCCGGCCCAGCAATCCATGAATGCCTCCGTCTTTCTGGACTGCGCTGCCTCCTCCCAGGGAATCTGCGAGGCGTACCGTGCGCTCTACATGACCCAGAGACTGAACGATACCTGGGCTGTTCTCCACGTCGTGTTCCTGGCCGGCCTCACATATATCCACTGTCTGTGGACGAGCTCGGAGACGCGCGCGTCGATCCGGCGTGATACGGTTGCGTCGACCTGCACCAACTGCATGATGATCCTAGTCGTCATGACGGAGCGCTGGGCGTCCGTGGCCCCTTATCGAGACACGTTCGAGATCCTCTCCAATGCCACACAGAGCATGCTCGTCGACTTGGACAGTGGTATCCGTGGGTCGCCCCGCGGGCCTGCGCTGTCGGCCTACCACGCTGATCAGGTGTCTCACTACCTGATGGACATGGCCGACGTGGGCATGTGCACCTCTGTTGAACAGCTTCTGGCAGAGATGATTTAAGATGAACAACGGCAGATGCTTCGCACAAGTCTCAAGCTGCATGGTAGTGTTGGACACTGCTGAGGTTTCACTGGGGGTTCAACTATTTCACTCAAATATGTATATATATAGTATGATACGCCGGTGCGATTGGCCAGTGCTAAATAAACCCAGTGCATTCCATCTCGATATCCGTGCCCCTTGCCAACGCCTTGACGCACACGCAGGCCCTGGCTGGCCGAGGCTCGGCAAAGAAGGCCTTGTAAGCCTCGTTCATGACGGGCACGTCGTCCATGCTCGTGACGTATATGATGACCTTGAGGATCTTGCCCGACCCGGACCCAGCAGCCTCCAGCACCTTGGTCATGTTTGTGAGGGCTTGTATCTGAGGCTTGAATTAGCGAATGCCCACCATATATTGGAGGTGATGGAGGGGGAGAGGACTAACTGTGCGTTCGGCAATCGACCCCTCGACCAAGGTGTTCGTCTTTGGATCCATCCCAATCGATCCGGACGTGAAGACCAGCCCGTTGTGGACGACCGCCTGTGATAGGATTGGATAGGGGCCGGGCGCCTCTGCCGTGGCGACTGCGTTGCGCTGAGAGGTCTCCATTGCCGCGAGCTTGTTGTTCTACAGATGATTCACAGCGCTGAGAGGAGGATGGGGATTTCTTTTTCCGGCTTTTGCATTATTAGATGAAGAGAGGATAGAGTCTATAGCTGATAAATAAGCACGCACAGTTAGTCCGAAATCCTCTGACGAAAGGCTCGACTAGCTAACAAGGGATGGATACATCGACGGACAGAGCCCTCGTAGCTCGGCACGTTCCGACTCGGGTCCCCTATACATGGGTTTTGGAGTGGGAATACGATGGCAAGTGTAGATGCGCGCCGTCTTCGGCCGACGATCGGAGTTGGACGTCTCTAGATTGATATTAAATACTACAAAATTCTTTTTGACTCGGGACTTCGCTCAACGAAGAGCCTAGTTGTTCTAGATACACGTTGGTGAACTTATCCCAAACCATTCCAAATTCCCTCCCAATGGCGAGCTCTGAAGATTGTGCTACGGCGCTGGCGAGTGCTGAACAGCGCTTCCACGACCGGAACCCGAAGAGCTTGGAGTATCACCAGTCGGCCGTAGAGAGTCTCCCTGGCGGCAACACCCGCTCTCTGCTTCACACGGCCCCGTTCCCGGTGGTCATGAACCGCGGCGAGGGCAGCAAGCTCTTCGACCTGGACGGCCACGTATACGAGGACTTTGTGGGCGAGCTGACCGCCGCCATCTACGGACACTCGCACCCCCGGATCAAGGATGCCATGATCCACGTGCTGGACAATGTCGGGCTCAGCCTGGGCGCGACCAACGTCTACGAGAAGCGGTACGCCGAGCTGCTGTGCTCGAGGTTCGACATACCCACCGTGCGCTTCGCCAACTCGGGCACCGAGGCCAACCTCCACTGCGTCGCGGCGGCTAGGCGCTTCACCGGCCGGCGCAAGGTGGTGGTGTTCAGGGGCGCCTACCACGGCAGCGTCCTCTCCTTTGCATTCGGGGCGGCTGCGAACAATGTGGACCCGCAGGACTGGCTGGTGTCGCAGTACAACGACGCCAAAGCCCTCGAGAGAGTCTTTGAAGCACACGCGGATATTGCCGCCGTGCTGGTCGAGGCCATGCAAGGGTCCGGGGGCGGCCTGGCAGGGAGCCAGGAATTCCTGCGCGCCATACGGCGCCAAACTCGGGAGGCAAGCTTGACCTACGCATGCAGAATGATGAAATTGTGTACTAGGGCTGACAAGATTGTGTAGCACGGAGCTGTGTTCATCCTGGACGAGGTGATGACTTCCCGGCTGCACCCAGCGGGTCTGGCCGCGACGCTCGACGAGGCCCCGGACATGAAGACATTCGGCAAGTACCTGGGCGGCGGCATGCCGTTTGGGGCCTTTGGCGGCCGGCGGGACATCATGGCCGTCTACGATCCGCGGCAGAGCAGCTCCCTGGCGCACTCGGGGACGTTCCAGAACAACACGCTCATGCTCAACGCCGGCTACACGGGCCTCAAGGAGGTCTACACGCACGCAGCGGCCATCTCCCTCAACCAGACGGGCGACGAGCTGCGGGACAAGCTGCTGGCGGTGTTTGCGGGGACCAGGTTCACGGTGACGGGGGTGGGCTCGCTCATGTGCATCCACTGCACCACGACGGGCGTAGGGGCGGACGAGATTCACTGCAAGGATGACTACTGGCCGCACGACGATGCCGACCTCAAGAGGCTGTTCTGGCTGGAGATGCTGGAGGCGGGCTACTGGATCCACCAGCGCGGGAGTATCGCTCTCACGCTGGCCATGGAACCAGCCGTGATGGATGATTTTGTTGGGCAGGTCAAGGAATTCTGTATCCGGCACCAGGGATTGGTTGCCAAGCATGACTAGGAACCGCCCGAGTGACCGATAGGGTCGTTCCGTTATCTGAATGTATCCTTGTATTCCAGTTTCCTCGACTGCCAAATACCCCTGAAAGTGCTTATCTCCCTTCCACGTCGAGGGTCATTCCGTTATCTGAATGTATCATTGTATTCCAATTTCTTTGAGTGCTAAATACCCCGGAAAGTGATTGTCTCCCTGCCACGAGGGTCGTTCCGATTATCTGAATACACCCCTGCATCAACGAAACCTGTCCCCGCATCTCAGTCGTCCCAGTTTTACTTTACAGCCAGGCAGCGTCATGAGTCAAGGCCATCAATCATGACTCGGCTGGGTTATTGTCAACTAGTCTTGAATCCTTGAATCAGGCCTGTCCCAGGAGCTGGGATCTGGCCCTGCCATTGATTGACATCATTGCCGGTGGCAGTCACCCATCCATCCATCCATCCACCACCCTCGCCAATCTGATTGCAAAAGCACTAACTGCATCCAACCTCACCCCGGATGCTCTCCGGCCCAAGCCGCAGTCCTCAATCTAAACAACTGCCCGAGATCAAGGCTCAGACAGTCTGGGCACAGATCAATGATATAACATCACCTGTGGACTCGACTCTGGATGCAAGGTTTATCTTGTCCTTCATCTTCTGACATTTTTAATCTCGTGACTCGCAATCCTTCAAACCTAACATGGCTACCGTCATTGGCAACGGCTCCGGTCTTGCAGATGGGAACAAGCTTGACATGACCAAATCACAGATAGACCCCGAAGTGGCCAGCGAGCACGTCGGCGAAGTGAATACGACTGTCGATGCCACCAACCAAGGCGTTTTCGGTGCCGCCGCCGCAGCCGGGGGCAAGCAATTCCGCGTCCTCGGCAAATGGAAGACCGCCGTTGTGCTCATCCACACCGAAGTCGGCATCGGCATTCTCGCCTTGCCTTCGGTGCTGAAACGTCTCGGCTTGATCCCCGGCCTCATAGCCATCTTAGGCGTCGGTCTCCTGTCGACTTACACGGCATATGTCCTCCTGCTCTACTGGCGCAGGTACCCGCACATCGACAACCTCCCGGATGCCCTGCGAGTTCTGGGTGGCAAGGCCCTTGCCGCCGTAGGAGCCGTCGGCCTCGTCATAAACCTCAGCCTCGCCTGTTCCTCGGCTACCCTGGCAATGAGCGTTGCCTTCAACACCCTGACGGCGCACAGCATGTGTACGGTTGGTTTTGTCGGCATCGCTGCGATGATTTGCTACCTCCTGTGTATCCCGAGAACTATGAACTTTGTGGCTTATTTCTCATGCAAGTATATTCTTCAAACATGTCTTCTCCGAATATTGCTAATGAATATTCAATCACAGGGCCGGCCACCTTTGGCATAATCGTGCCAATCTTCATCGTCATCATCTCGCTCGCCGTTGGCTCCCCTCGAACTGCACCTCCTGGCGCTGACTACCACATAAAGCTGGTGGGGAACCCGACCTTCCAGGAGGGCTTCACGGCTCTGCTCAGTATATGTTATGCGTTTGGAGGTCGTCAGGGATTCCTCATGGTCATGGCCGAGATGAAGGACCCCAGCAAGGATTACGTCGGCTCCCTCGTCATCCTCCAGGCCTTTGCCATCCCCATGTACATGATCACCGGGGGAGCCATCTACGGCCTCGCTGGAGACTACGTCACGTCTCCCGCGATAGGCACCGCCCCTCTCCTGCCTGCCAAGATCGCCTACGGCATCCTCCTCCTGACGCTCTTCAGCACCGGCATGTTCTATGGGCACGCGGGCATAAAGTACCTCTTCGTCGTCGTCATGCGCGACCTGCTTAAGGTTCCCGAACAGCTGACCACCAACACCGTAAAGTCTTGGGGTGTGTGGGTGACCATTGCCACACTCTACTGGGCCATGGTCTTCGCGCTGGCCAACGCGATCCCGGTGTTCAACTCCATCATCGCCGTGTCCTCGGCCCTCCTCGTGGCCTGGTTTTCGTTCGGGCTGCCGGGCATCTTTTGGCTGCACCTCAACTGGAAGAGGCAGTTTAGCAGCCCGGCAATGATTGCGTTGTCCTGCCTCAATTGGGGACTCGTGCTCATGGGGGTGTTTCTCAACACGGCTGGCATGTACGCCTCCATCGATTCGCTCATCACCCTCTTCCGTGATCCTAAGAGCACAGTCAGCGGGCCATTCACCTGCGCCGACAACAGTCTTTTCTAAACACCGCCGCAAGTCGTGTAGATTGGCTCCGACGGGCAGTGAACATCCTTGCTGATATATACAAGAGGGCGTATGAAAGCGTCCAAGTAGTGGCATGGGTATTTTTATTCAATATAACTTTCATCTGGTAAGTTTGATTTACCCATGATGCTCGGGAATGGTCCGTCGACGGTCGTCGCCCAACATATGGTACAGAGGATACTCAAAGGTCTGCACAGCCGACCGTGTCGTGTTGAACCAGGGCTTCGGGGTCGCAAATCTTGTTTCTGTTTGTATTTTAATATGAGAGTAAACTCTGGCTATATTACAACCTCAGTATACTCTATATATATACTCCAAATCAATATTGAGTATCTACAGTATCGTATTCATTGTGTTGAGATGTCAGGTCTGACATCTTCTATTGTTGTTTTTAACTTGATACTCGAAGCTTCATCCCCTATCTACAGTATAGCCTTTACAGAGGTCGAAGGTGCGGCGAAGAGACTGGCTAGGGCCGCAGAACTCTTCCCCTCATCCCACATCACGCTCAGACTTAATAAATTTCCTATTACTGATCAGATGAGATATTAAAATGAATGTTACTTGATTTTTATTCATAGATATAGGGTTAGAAGTGCATATAACCTAGCATAAGTGTCACATCCGTACATGTGTCTAGGCAGGTGCTTGGTCAAGTCGCGTACGTGTGAGATCCGTGCCTTTCAAAATTGACCATCATAGCAATGGATTAAATAATCTAGGTATAAAATGAACCGTAGAGCAAGTCACAGCTTCGCAGACAAGCTATAATCCAACCACTGTCCAAACACCCCCTCCTGGGAATACCCAAGCACCGGGTCAAGAGCAGGTTTAGGAACTGACCAGACCCTCTGATAGGCACCGACATCCTCCCCCCCTCTCTGAGTATTCCAGTCTCTCCGCTCAGCCGGGTACGCCCCCATCATGGTAAAGCCCTCCAACCGCTGCTCAGTCTCCTCCAATGCTGCTCCAACGTCCTCGCCAGGAATGAGATGACCATCGCCGGGCGTGAGAAGCGTGAACGACCTCGTCGGTTTCGTGTCAAAGGTCTTATGTGCTGTGCCGGACGGGAGCACAAACACATCGCCGGCCCTGGCACTGATCTCTACCCCTCCAGCCTCCCTGGCGGTCCCCCACGTATTTTCCACCATGTTCTCGGAAAGGTCTGCCACCCCGAAGCGAATAGTTGCTGTGCCAGAGAGCACGACCATGCATTCATGAACACCGGCATGATAGTGAGAGCGCTGGGTCGGGCCGTAGCGGTAGATCCATTGCGTCTCCCACCCGTTGTCCTTGAAAATCTGGTGAAGACTCCTGGGGAGGCCTTTTTGCTCAGCAAAGTAGCCGGGGTAGTGTAGCAGAGGGTTCGGCGAGTTGGGCATCAGAGCCGTAGGCGGCAGATGGTATTTGTCAACTCGCACCATGGTTGAAGTTTTGAATCAATCGATTTTCAGGCTGATTCGCGAACGGATACGTTAAGGTTTAGGCATGACAATTTTAAAGGGGGGCTGATTTACTCAAGAAACGAGGTCCGAGACCAACATCAATCATCTTTAATCCTCTGCATCTTCTCCACAGGAGACTTGGGCAGCTTCAAGATGGACCAGTTTGGCTGTATGCATGTGTAGCATGTCGTTGGGGTTGGGGCCCGGCACAGCCCGCCTCGCTTTCATGGGTCTGCGCGGGGCCACAGAACTGACCGGCTCGTCCCGGCACAGCTGTTCACTGAGAGGCCGAGAGAAAACAGTTGGATGTACAGCTAGCCCGTTGCAGCATGGGCCGTTATCGGTCCTCTGTAGCCACCAGGACCTTGACTGAGGCTTGCTTCCAGTCGATGCTGGACGGCTTGGCCCGCACTGCTGCGAGTTGGGACGTGTTCCACCATGTAACTTAGCTTTTAAGTGAAGCCGCCATATCAAGTTGGAGTCTTGGCCTACCTACCGCAATTGCTTGCACTCACTCCGTCTGGCGGCACGTCCAATCTATTGCTCTGAACCCTGAACAGCCATGGCTACAACGCCCCGGGAAGATGTCCTCACTATTGCTGAGCTGAAAGAGGCAGCATCAGCCAAGCTGAGCGATACAATACGAGGTACGTGGCAATTCCAGACCCATTGATTTACCTACACGCGAGCCACTGTCTCACTAAACTCAAACAAAAGGATATTTCAATGGCGGAGCCATGGAGATGAAGACGTACGTGACTAGTTTATCCTCAGCTTGGGCCTGTCCACTTACCAATCTTCAGGCTGCGGGAGAATGAAACGGCGTATGACAAGTTCAAGATCCGCCAGCGGATCCTCGTTGACGTCGCGTCAGTCGACACGAGGACGCGGATATTCGGATCCGAGGTGTCTCTGCCTCTGGCCTTTGCGCCCTCTGCCATGCACGGCCTGGCCCATCCTGTTGCCGAGAGGGGAACGTCGAGGGCGGCTGCTTCCAAGAATATCCCCATGGGGCTTTCCACGTATTCAACCACTTCTCTAGAAGATGTAATAAAGGAGCGAGGAGACGCAACGAACCCTTACGTCTTCCAACTAAGCATCACCAAGGATCGGTCGATTCCATTGGGCTTGATCAAGCGGGCCGAAGGTATGTCGTCTATCTACAAGCATGTCATGGGAGACGCTCCACTGACGAATCGACAGATGCTGGCTATAAAGCCTTGGTCTTGACGGTGGACGCTCCGGTTCTCGGGAGGCGCTTGGGTGAGCTCCGAAACAAGGTTACCCTGCCGGACTCCATGTGCTTGCCCAACTTGGGCGGTCTTCGAACCATTGTCAACCCTGGCAGAGACGCGAGCAACTCGTGGGCATCCGTCGTACCATGGGTCAGATCTCACACCAAGCTAGACATCTGGCTGAAAGGAAGTCAGTGGCCCTTTTGAACGTTACCCGGACATCGTACTAACACGGGGCGAATAGTCTATTGCGCAGAGGATGTCCTGCTGGCTATCCGATACGGCATCGACGGCATCATCGTATCGAACCACGGCGGAAGGCAGCTAGACGGGGCAGCCGCCACGATTGACGTTCTCCCCGAGTGCGCCGCAGCCGCCAAGGGGAGGATCAAGATTGGCATCGACGGAGGCATCCGCCGCGGGTCGGACATCTTCAAGGCCCTGGCCCTCGGCGCTGACTGCTGCTTCATCGGGCGCATCCCGATCTGGGGACTGGCAGTGAGTGGTATACATGTGTAGTCGAGAATTGGAGCTGACGTTTGCAGTACAACGGTGAGGAGGGCGTGAAGCTGGCGGTCGATATCCTGGAGCAGGAGCTCAGGACAACAATGGCCCTCGCGGGATGTTCGTCGATTAAGGAGATATCGAGGCATCATCTCTCTGTTTTGGGAGCATCCGGGCTCCTATCTAGGCTATGAATGCACCTTGACATTAAAACTAGATGGACCAGAGGCATAAATGCTTCTTAGGACGATTTATCACAACAGCGCACTGTTCATGGAGAATGGAGATAGTCTCGGATACATTTGTATATTGCATATTAGAATGAGTACACAATTTATGCCTTGAGCTCGGAACATTCACCATCATGCTTGTAAAGGTTTCTTTTATTAAAAAAAATGCAAGAGAAGGTTAAGTTGTTAGAGAATACTAGACTTGCTACTTTGAATGTCCCGTATGGTCATGACAGTCCACCTCACGAGGCAAACCTGCCCATATCTGTGAACACTCTAAGAAGCTTGACGAGTTTCATCATGTATATATGCCGAGAATAAATGTCATGCTTAATTTTGGCGTTACGGCGCCCACCAACTCCCAGGTTCACGAGCCCCTTTTACACCTCATCTTCATTACGCAACATGATCTTAGGCGAATAATCTTTAGTACTTGGAATGTAGCTTGTTGGCCTTCAACTATCAAAACTCGCATTCCCCAAGCTACAACTAGCTAGATATATCACAAACGTCTCGTTACATGCTTTAAGTACAATCCATGAAACGACGTCTTCACATTAAGCTAGGAAGTCACCTCCGGTCTCGTGAAGAAGGAGATCGTACTCGGGCTTGAACTGCATAAACATGACTTCGGGACTCCCAGAGCCGTCCTTGGTGAACTTGGCCTCATTCTCACCGACAAACTTCTTGGAGATCCCGTTGGCGGCGGCAGCTTCTGCGAGGAGTTGGGCCTGGCAGGCCTGCTCCAGGGCAATGAAGAACGCAGCGGCCTCGTCGACAGTGCCGCCGGCAGTGAGAATTCTAATCACCATTTAAGCGTCCGTATCTATAGCTTTTGGCATAAGGTGCTCACTTACCCGTGGTTCTGTAATATCACGTTCTTGCGGGTTGGCCCGAGGGCCTGTGCTATGCGCTCGCCCTCCTCCTTGGCGAGAACGACCCCCCCGAAACCCTCGTAGACGGACAAGTCGTCGTAGAACATGCAGCAGTCCTGGTTCAGCATTTCGATGAGGCGACCAAAGGCCGACCACGCCCGCCCGTACGGCGAGTGGCAGTGGGCAGCGGCGTTGATGTCGGGCCGGGCCTTGTGCAGCGCCGCGTGGATCATGAAGCCGGCCGTGTTGACCTTGTGCCTCGTCTGGGTGAGGGGCTTGCCATCCTCGTCGACGAGGATCAGGTCGCTGACCTTGAGCAGCTTGAAGTGCACGGCGTACGGGTTGATCCAGAAGCAGTCGGGCCTGACCGGGTCCCGCAGGCTGATGTGGCCGCCGGCGCCGTCGTTGTAGCCGAACTTCGCAAAGATGCGGAATGCGCCCACCATGTGCTGCTTGGCCCAGAGGCGCTCGGCCTCCTTGTCCGTGAATGAGGGGATGACGTGGATGTCCTTTACCAGCTCGGGCGTGTCCTCGGCCACGGGAAGATGCTTGACGATCCTCGACTGGGGCTGAGGCTCGGTGATTGTGAAGGTAGTGGTGGACATTTTGGTCTATGTTGATAATAAGTAGGTATCGTGAGATGAGTAAGTAATTTCAGGCTGCCGGATGTAGGCTTATCTGCGAAGCCAACGGATCAAAATGGGATTCCGTGTTCAAATATGGTTCTCCAACAATGGATTGATAAGACCTACGTACTTGAACTGACTTGGCGCAAGAGGAAGATTATGCAAAGGCCAGACGAGTCGGGTCCAGCCGAGATGGCCACCATCCTTGTAATCTCCAACGACGATCAACCCCACACACACCTACACTTGGGCAGATCCGGATGATTAAGTCAGAAGAAAGCCGTTGGGAATGTCAAGTGTAATAATTCCGAGCGACGGCTTGAGCCGTGCCGCTCCACTTGCCACGTCCTGCGTGCAGTTGCACCCATTTCCTCATGATGGGAAAAACCCTCGCCAACCCGCTGCTGCAGATTCAGGCCCAAGTGTCAGGATATCGACAATCTGTAACACTATTTTCAAAATTCACAACCAAGAATGGCAACCCCGGCTCAGTCATTGGGCCGCAAGCCCAGGGTACTCTCACTTGGCTCAGTATCATGGGCTGGAGAGGACTTTGTCTCCAAATTTGAGGATATCTGTGACCTCCATGTCAGTCAGGCTATGTTCCTGCAAGCTTCATTACACGTTACTGATTCTGCATAGACCATTCAGCCCACTGATCGAGACGGCACCGTGCAAGCAATTGCCGATGCTCGCAAGACTCGAGGACCCTTTGATGCAGTGCTGATTCTGATGGGAAACGGAGCCTACGAGAGGTTCGACGAGGGCCTACTGGGGCCGCTGGTCCCTGAACTCAAGATTATTGGCTCGGTCAATGCCGGATACAGTGAGTTTGACCTAGAGTGGCTCAACAAGAATAGGGTCTTGGTGTGCAATACCGTAGATGCCGTGGCCGAGCCGACGGCAGACATTACAATCTTCCTCATGTTGGCTGCCCTGCGCGACACTTCACGCTTCGAGCAGGAGATTCGCACCGGCGGGTGGAGGGGCGGCGCCAAGGTGCCCCTTCTGGATCCTCATGGGAAGAAGCTCGGAATCATCGGCATGGGCAAGATTGGCAGGGTAAGTCTGCTCGCTCACTCGCCGCCTCTTGCATACCACGTGCTAATCAGGGTCCCAAGCACGTTGCTCGCAAGTCTCGAGTGTTCGGCATGGACGTCCAGTACTACAACCGGAACCAGCTGTCTCCCGAGCTAGAGCAAAGCCTCGACGCAAAGTATTGCTCGTCTGTCAAGGAGCTGATTGAGACCTCGGACGTCATATCAATCAACTGCCCGCTTTCCTCCGAGACGCGTGGGTTAATTGGCGCCGAGGAGTTTACCCATATGAAGGACGGTGTGATCCTGATAAACACCGGCCGCGGCGCCGTCGTGGACGAAAAGGCCCTGATAGACGCTCTTGAAGCTGGAAAGGTCGCTCGCTGCGGCCTGGACGTGTTTGACGGTGAACCTCGAGTAAAGTATGTCATCGAGGACGCTCGGGCAGAAACAACATAGCTAACAAGATGCAGCGATTACTTCCGGAAAAGCACCAGGTGCATTGTTCAGCCGCACATGGGTTCGTGGACGGATGTGGCTTGGAAGAATGCATATCACGAGGCCATGAACAACGTGACAAGTTACTTTACCCGGGGAAAGCCGATATCCCCCGTGAATTCATTCTAGGGTAGACTAGATGTAGGTATATAACGGACAAATCTTGGCTTCATCGAAAGGTAATTCTAGACAATGCATTCCCTATATTGGCTCGATATGGAATACTGGGCATGAGGAAGATCATTGTTTCAAGCTGTAACCGTGCACTTAATATATAAATGTTTGAACTTATTATATATTTAAATAAGATGTAACTCTTCAATAGTTAGCTTCTGTTACTCTAGTAGTTACGTACAATAAGTTCTAAAGTACATATATGTTCTTCGATTTCCGGAATAGCAACCACTCTGTTTAGCCACAGGTGGCCTGCATACCCAAGCCGGTATTTCAATTGGACAATACATCATAGGCCTGGGGAGGTTATCTTCTCCTTCATCTCTAGCACGCCTTACAGGAGAATGTTTTGGCTACTCGACCCAACCATTACCTTATACCGCCCCTTGAAGCACACCCAGACGTGTGCTTCCTGGTCCCAAAATGCAGTACTGAATCGATCAAATGGTATGCTGACACTTCGCGTCTCACCTGGCTGTAAATTCACTTTTTCAAATCCTTTGAGCTCCTTTATTGGGCGTGCGATTGACGGCACCGAATAGCACATCCGCAATGCCGTTCCCTAGCTCTTTACCACCGAACCAAGCGCGCAGATGCGTCTTTACCGTATTTTCCCAAGGAAGCATTTCGAAACTCATTGTGTTGAGTTGTCGGGCTCTGGCAGCTTCCATTGCTGTTGAACTTTATTCTCTTTCTCTTAGGTGAAGCATTTCGAAACGTTTGCCGCCCTGGTTAAGGAAGACCGCGTCAGGCGCCGCGTCAAGAACAGCTATGATCAGGGAGGAAATGGCAGCGGGGAGATCCATGTGAAGCCGATCGGATCCCTCTAATTCGTAGTCTCGAGTCAGTCCAACACCCAGCATCGTGACATCTACACGCTTGGTAGCTTCGGCGGCTCGGGCGATGGCCAGCTCTGGATCGATAGCTTGAACCATGCCCAGGCGACCGGCGCCGCCACCGAAATTCACAACACCAAGTTTCACGAGCCTGGATGAGGCGCCACTAGCGAAATACACCTTCATTTTATACTGTCCCTCGATAAGATCCACGGTGACCTTTTCCTCCAGAGTGCCTTTGCTGAAGAAGAACTTGCCACCTCGCTGCACAGTTGTTTGGGGCCCCAAGCCTTGGTGCCCGCTGCTTCGAATCAGGTTACTTGTGAGCACAGTCGAAGGCAGGGGCGCACAAAGCCGAGTCTGAGGCGTATTTGACGGTGTCGTACTGGCAGGCAGAGCCGGTTCGTTGGCAGAAGCCGCATCGGAATCCACACTTCCGGGGTATATATACTAAGTGAGTATTCTACTTATTAGAAATCCTAATGTAGTGTATAACCTACCACACGACAAACTAATGGTTCTACTATTAGGCTAGGTACACTATATAGCTATATTACAATTGAAGCTGTATTCTATTAGTTGTAACGTGTTATCTACTGATGGCGGGCTATATGATACGCCTCTGTGAGGCGGTCTAGGAAGATGGCAAGTTTCTCATTCATATTCGCATAGTCGTTCGCGCGTAGAGAATCGGGCTGTTGAACATATTTGCGTTCGACAAGCAAAGGCAATTCGTCCTTGCTTGCTTCTATCAAACCATCAATCACTTCAGTAGTGAACTCCATGTGACACTGAAATCCATACACCAGATTGGTGTATTCGACAATTTGGCGGGGGCAGCCCTGGCTGGAAGCAATGATTTTGGCTTCAGTAGTCAGTCCCGGCATATCGTTGTGCCAGTGACCCACTTCTACTGAGAGGCCAAAGTGTTCGAATTTGTCATTGCTTCTCCCGGTCGTGGTGAGAGTGATGGGGAAATTTCCGATCTCCGTCTCTGGGCTTTTCTTCCAGGCTGCTCCAAGAGCCTCGCCCACGAGCTGAGAGCCTAAACAGATCCCCACCACTGCCTTCCCCGCATTGATGCTTTGCAAAATGAATATCCTTTCAGCTGCGGCATCAAAGTACGGACACTCGTCTTTTGTGGTGGATGGCGTCTGAGGGCCTCCTAAGACGATGAGTACATCGAGTGAGTCCGCAATGGCAGGCAGAGTGTCACCCAGGTACAGCCGGGTGAATGTGACGTTGTATCCTCGTTTCAAAGCCCAGGTTTCGTAAGCACCTGGCGCCTCAAATGATTCATGAACAATGAAATGAACCAGCATATTTGAGCTGGTCCGTCGAGTGTGTTTGGTTGGTTCAAATTGTTGTTGGTTTGTCGAGAACAAATGAAATTCTCTGCGACTCGGCCTGTCTATTTGAATTAGTCTGCAAAGACAACAGCAATCACTAAATAATTCTCATAGCTGATCGTCCGGAATTACTGGTGAGTGGTCGGGTTGCGATCCACTTGGAAGTGGAGGGATCTCGAGCTACGTCTCTAGCCGTTCAGTCACGCCCCAATGCGACGTTGGTAGAAGAAAATCTTTCAGACACAATATCATTACCTAATTAATAATTCCAGAAATGTTGAAGGTAATTCGTAAGAGAGATGACTGAATGGGCATGTATCAGCTCCGTTAGCATCGGCTGAGTTGCGTCAATTGTCCCATTGTCCCAGACATCCAAGCAAGGTTTTCTTACCAGACCAATCAAAATTCCTTCCGCTTGTTCCGTGCTCCGTAACCCCGCTCCAAAGCCACTGTAGTTAGCAGGCTTGGCAGGGGACAGAACATCCCAATCGACCATTATCATGACGCTCACTACCATCTTCCTTGTTGGTAAGCGTTTTAATCTCCAGGTAGCGGGCTGTTTTTATGATTTCTACCACTTCTAGTCCATCATCAGGAAGCGACGCTTACTTTCACACTGCAAGGCGCTGTGGACTAGTTCTTCTTATCAGAGGGAAATATTCCTGACACCAATCGATGATCGTCCTCAAAATCTGGCCTTGACCCCTTCGCCTGCCAAATAGACTAAGAATTGGGAGTACGATGTGGGAGGAACGGTACAATAACGCGGCGAAGCGGAGGGGAAGTCATCATTTTTGGAAGGTTCATTGCGTGAAACAGCGTTTATTGCTAAAGTGCCTCACTCATTGGTTGCTCTTGCGTTTATTATTCAGCTAGAATCTCTACCAATTGGTTTAAAACGGCAAAGACAGTATCAAGGACGGCGTTTCGTCAATGCGACAGATTGATTGTGTATACTAACTGTGTGTCCGGATCGGTTGAAACCAGATCCAGGGGGCGAAGAACTGCCTGTTACATCGCAAGTCTTTCAGTCCTTCTTGCTATTCTCGTCTGGCAGGGCTGGGAAATCCTTGTTGCTGATTAAAGTCCAACAGGTCGGCCAAAGTAGAATAACTACCGACCGGTGTGACCACGGCGAGCGTACCAGCGAGGTAGGCCAGCGTGGTACAGACTCCCAGCCCGCTTCACGTTTCGAGATGGCGGCTACATGAATTCTTCAACACTTGCTAGCGCCGAGCGAATCCGACTGTGGTGCGAGGCAGCTAGAGGAAGAATAGGCCGAGGGGGGGCTGCTTTGCAAAGGCCAAGCTCGTTTGCGAATGCGAAGATCACCCGGAGGTCGCCAAACTCTTGGAATAGGTCCCAGGTTGGCTGTAGGGCAGCCGAGATGCGTTTCACTTCGGCACGGTCCCCTCTGCGAATGCTTTCCATCAGAGCAACCGATGGTGCGGGAAGCACCCCCGCGATCGCACTGAACCATGCAGAGCCTCCTGCCAACAATGGCTCAGCCACCAGCCAGTCTGCGCTGTAACCGATGTGGAAACCAGAGGGAAGCTTTGCGCGAAGCGCTTCATGTGCTTCTTTCGGCTCGGTAGTGGGAGCGGGCTGCTTAAGCGCAACAACGTTTGGCAACGCTGCAATGCGAGCAAGAAGTTCATCGCTGAAGGTGAAGTGCGTCGTGCTCGGAGTGTTGTAGATGCAGATGGGCAGCGCGGTCGAACTAGCGACTGCCTCAAAATGCTGGTAGACCTCCTCTTGGGTCAATGCATTGTACGAGACAGCTGCGAGCAAAAGCCCATCGGCGCCTGCCTCTTCAGCGTCCTTGGCTAGACGCTGTGCATCGTCTGTCCGAAGCGCACCAGCAGAGACAATGAGTGGTTTTCTGCCCCGCAGAGCTTGTGTGGCCGCGTCAATCGCCCGCCGGCGTTGCTCCCTCGTCAGGTAGAGGTAATTTCCTGTGCTCCCTAACAATCCAATCGAATCGATGCCGGGAATATCTAGCCTCTCGAGGATTCGAACCAGAGCGCCAGTGTCGACGGTGCCATCCGGACTAGCAGGAGTAATCGGGAATGCCGAGAGACCTTGAAAAATGTCGCTTTTGATGCTCATATTGAAAGAGGCGCAATCAAGCGATGGTTCCAGACTAAGTGATGCGTTCTGGGGTTTGTCAGGATAGATGTTGGGCTGAACTTCACTTGTGAAAGATCTTTGACTGTGAATTTATGTCAAGAGGTCGACTGCTCAAAGATGGCCACCAAGGCTCCGTCCTGGCAGTCAAAATATATAAATATTTCCGGTAGCTCGGAAGTCCGATCGGCCAGAAATCGGCTAACTCTAATGTCTCGGCCCGCCCTCCCCCAAACCAGGCGTAGATCCGGATAGCAAGTTCATTGGTTGGTTTTGCAAGAAGCCCAAAAGTTTATTAGTGTTAGTTCATTCATAGCAGGACGCCGTGTCCTGAGAGGGTCTAAACTACTACCCACAATTAGCGGCAAGCTACTAGATCGGAACGAATGCTGGTTGGGTAGAGCTTATCCCTTGAACTACAGGTCAGTCTCAAAGGTCCGAGTCACCTTTTATAGGTACATATTTTTAAATGAATACTACTAAGATAATATTCCTTTAATATTATATTTTTATAATAACTATTTATAATATCTATAGCTTATTTATATATTATTTAGCTTTTATTAAAGTATTTTAAAATATTAATATTTATATTATAGCTAGAAATATAATTATTTTAGTTTTCTTAATATTAAAGGTTTAAGTATATATTATAATAAATAATTAAAAAAACTATATTATAAAGTTATATATATAGCTTAATCTTAAGATATCTTCTATTTATAATAAAATAAAATAAAAGTAATATAAGTTTAAATATAAAATATTAAAAAAAAAAAAACTTATAATATTAATATTAAATAAGGGTGAGATATATATAGAGTTTAGGTGAACTATAGTAAGCTAGCTATAAATAACAGAGGCTGTGCCTAGAACGCTAAGCATTCGGAGAGGAGAAGCAGGCTTTACTCGATATAGTAATAAACCGCGAAGCTTATCACTCGTATGTACTCAACACATTCAAAGAGAACGAGTTCGTTCAACATTGCCTGAAACAGTCACACTCGGTCTATGTTATCCTAGTAATCCCACCCTCGTCTCTCTTTTGCATGATCGGCTTCCTGTTCAAGTATGAAATAGCGAATATTTCACGTAACACGCCCCACCACGAAGCTGTGTAGGGTGAGCGTCGGGCGAAGCAGGAGACCGATCAAAGTGAAATATACTTAAGCTTAATAAAGAGGATTTGGTCTTATACTTGTGATAGGAGCATCGGTTCTTCAACTTCAGCGTCGTTATCATGAAGCTTCATATGGATATTCGTCCTCCAAAGGGCAGGTGCTTCCGTGCCGGAGACACTGTTCAAGCCCGTATCAAAATCAGCGATGCTAATTTCAAGGAACCTCTGAGGATTAAAGCTATGCTTTATGGTAAGCGAGATGTCAGGTTTATGTCTCGCTCACTAGCTGTGACTGATTGCACATAGGACAGGTTTCATCTGAAGTCCCCCCGGAGATATGTGGTCCGAGTCTAGGACTTGTTACTCGTGATGTAAGTTAGCGGTAGGTTCAGTCGCTACTCGTGCGCTGACAGTTGTACAAGCTTTTCAAATTGACCAAAACTTTAAGTCTTGGGGAAAGTGTACTGCGCAAAGATGGTGCGGAACAAGTGGCTTGCTTTGACTGCGTGGAGCTTGAGTTTCCTTTGCGTACACTCAGTGGTCATATAAACGGTCCGCACCAGCTCCCCCCTTCCATCAACAAAACTATCAACCGAGTCACCATCAGTTGCAAATACCTTTTTGCGTTCGCGATTCGCAGACAAACATTTGGTTGGATTGCAAGAACGACAGAAGCCGTGCAGGAACTACAATTCATGAGCGGACATCCTCGTCACTATCCATGCCCGAGTCTGTCACGTCATGCATCATTATATCGGATACAGATGGTCGAAACCGCGCCAGAGGAACCTCAAAGCCCTCCAGCTTATTCTGCGCCGTCATCAAGCAAGATGACCTTCCAGGTTATCATTCTTGCGCCTGCGCCTATAACGCTAACTCAACAAGCAGCAAATATTGGAATCGCAATAACAATACCGCCTGGTATTCTATGCACGACCGCTCGAATATTTGTACGAAGCTTGTCTGTAAAACTATGGCAAGTCATTACAGAGAATATGAGCCAAAAGGCCAGCACCGTTCGTCAAGAACTTTCTATACACCATTGGGAAGGCCACATAAAGTTAGATGAGGAGGTAAACATGATCACGCACGCCTTGGATATTTCTAGGGCCGATCCTAGCTACTGCTCTACTATCCTTTGTGTATATCAGTACGTTGAGGCTGTCACTGGCATCTCATATGGCAAAGACGGTAGAATACAGGTACGTTCTTTAAGAGGTTTTCCATCCGCAAGGCTGTCTGCATCTAATAAATCTTGTGCAAGTTTGTTCAGCATTACGGGAAAATTATAATTACAGCACCACCTCCGACCTATGCAGAGTGCGTGGTCTAGAGGAGACTGTAAGCCGGCATACACTAGAAATGGCGAGAACAATGATAACAATGATAATAGTAGTAATAATAGTCACAATATGGTAATAGTAAAAACGGTCTCACCATCTTCGGGTTGTGAAATCTATCACTTCGTCATGTGCGTAGATATCAAGTAAGCATTAGCCTATACTCGACTTAGAAGTTAGTCTTACGGTGATAACTATTAATTCACATGATACACGAGTGTTCTAGAGGAGTGAACTGCATTTTTAATCGTGATCGGTGTAAGTCACCAATGTCCAACAAAACCCGCCTTTGTACCGCCTCCCATCCCGCCAAGTCTGATCATGGTCCCAAGACAGGATCTAACATCACAGTGGCCCTTTCCAACTTCAATGTAGACGTTAAATGAATGATGAACATGTAGCGCGAAATATAGATTTGCCGTCACGAGCCATGTAGGGAATTTTCGGCTAACTACGTCGCCCTTTCTCGTGCCGCAGTAGTTGAAGTGTTCATAACATAAACAAATTGATCACAGCACTGTATATGCTCCAGAGATACGGAATTGATCCTAGGAGGACTGGCATGAATGCTCGGTAAAAGACGTGGAGACGAGTTAACCCTGTAAGGGTACCATAATCTTAGAATGATGTTCCATTGAGGAATGTTACAGGAGGGTCATGAGCATTGTCAACCCGCTATTGGACGATTTAGGAGAGTATAATAAAGAGACAAGACTAAATTAATACAGTAAGTGAATCTAACAGGAAGCAAGCAAGCTCATTCCATCTCGATATTATGCAAAGGGCCATGTCTTCCCGCAAGGCATGCCTAGTCTATGTACTACCTGACGTTGAAGTACACCCTGGCCGTGAACCATGAGTGCTAGTTTCCCCATTGCCGGTGGTCGCGCAATGCCCCTGAAGCTCCTCTGTTCTCCATTGTACTGGGTATCCCGTACACCGCTGGATGTTTGTCATCAAGTTGATGAGCGCCGATTTCATTTCGTGCGTATCAACACAGCAGCCAGCCAGGTACAGAGGATGTAGCAACTGCACCTTGACTGATGGCTGTGGCTCACCCGCGGCAATCCCGGCTATCTCTTCGACATGGTGCTCAACCTGTCTAGAGATGTCGCGATATGCTTGCAGCCTTGCCGTGCCAATTCGAAGCCTATCCTGGGGGGGTGGGCCTTGTAGATAAACCAGCAGCCAGGTGAAATGATGGAGTACTAGTGTGCTGGCCGCTAATGGGCTCGCATAGAAGACTGCCGATAGACCATCTGTAGAAGATTGCGCCCCTGCCGTGGAGCGCACTCTTAGATAAGGGGTGAATGAATCCGGAATTCTTGCTCGCCATGTCCTTAGTAAGTTTCCTGTCTCGGCCCAATGAGCAATGGAATCGTCTTCGACACCGTACGTGGCAAAAGCGGCGCCTACGGTCCCTCTGGTAGCGATGTCGTTGACGACCCTTGAGCACAGCCAGAGTGCCGCCTGGCAAGATGTTTTCTCATCCATTTTGGGTCTTGAGCTCTCCTCTCCCAAGCATGAAGGGTAGCATGGACCAGCACGCTGCAGCATCGATAGACCAAACTGTGTCCACAAGTTCGTGCTGTTGCTTATCCTGAGGGTCATTTGGGATCCTGTAACGAAGGAGTTTGTTATATCAAAGAAGACGAGGTTCCAGAAAGTCGCCTCCCTGGCCCTCTCTAATCTTTCACTATCAACATCAGATAGGATGTGTTCTGGTTCAGTTCCAATTTGGAGCAGCTGATAAGAACCAATAATGTGACTGCAAACATATCAGTTCAAGCTTCATCGAGCATACATGTGCTCCATGTTGACATCTATGCTTACTGGTTCAGACGCTGGTGAGGACTGTCTAGCATCTCATGCAATGTTGCGATAGAGATCGAAGATAACAGATGGCGCAGGTTTTGTGCTTTCGGCCCACACAGCTGTCCTTTTGCTAGGGAGCCTAAGTTCTATTAGCAACTAACACCTCAATGGCGCCGACAGTTCAGCTTACTCAGTGATTGCAACATGTGAAGGATATGGCGGATGGCCTTGTCGTAAAACCTCGCAGCCTGAAACAGCATATCCAGTGGACAAAGGCGGGCGTATTCGGCAAGAATTCGGCGTTGACATGTGTCAATGTCGACAGAATCTAGAGCCTGCAAATTTCCAAGTTGCTTTGCTGCCACTGCTGAAATGCTTGTCCGCAGTAGAGGACTGCCCAGTGCCTCGAGGGGAACAACTTGACTGAAAAATTTGCCCACATCGAAGGCGTCCAGCCATGGGCCGATAACCTTGACATACTGTTGCAGAAAGAGCCCTTCAAGAACTTCATCGCTCGGTGAATCATCTTCGATCGTGCACGAGTTTGTGTTGTCTGAGAACGGTTCGGTCGTCAAGGAGGGGATAAATCCGCACGAATTGTTCTCTTGCTCGTAATATACAGCAGGATCCAGATCGAAATATGCATCGTCCGAGGTGTAATCAACCGATGGAGCGCTATGATCCTGACCGATACCACTAGTAGTAGTATCAGTGCCAGGAGAAGGACCTTGAGCAACACCACTAGTAGTATCAGTGCTAGGAGAAGGACCTTGAGCACTAGCTGTAGTAGGAGTATCAGTGCTAGGAGAAGGACCTATCCCAGGGTGAGAGCCTTGAGTAGCATTATTTCTGTCGGGACTGTGCCTGCTATACATTTGACGCAGCCGAGGCCCTTCATCATGGAATGGTCGCAAGCGTGTATAGCCCGGGCATGGTTGACTGCTCTTCTCACAGCGTTCGCATCCTGGTCTTCGCTTGTCGCACTAGTGAACCTCAGTCAGCCGGGAATAGCAGAGATTGAGACCCTTACCTTGACCCTACGCGTCCTACAACGGCCACACGATCTGGAAGAAGCACCGTTGGTTGGCATTATTGCGATGAGTGAGGCACCTCGCAAGAGAGTCGGACGTGAGAAAGAACTACTGGAGGAAACGGTGGCAGCCAGCGAAATTCCCGGGTGTCGGAGGTAGTTCGGCGGCTGTACGTAATGTGCCCCACCTCGCTAAAGGACGCCTCCTACGGTAAATTTGAGCGAGAATCCATTGATCCATTCCAATGATGCAACCGACTGAGAATGTGCTAATGAACCACCAAAAGCAGATCGCGCCATCAGATTGCCTTGTGTTGGCAGAAGGACGCAAATTTTTGCCATCTTCAAGACCTTCGCCCATACATGCCTAATCAGACAACGCAGGCACTAACTCTCAATCCCAACATGGAGATCCGAAGAGTCAGTAAGCTTGAGACCATGTACATTCCTATGTAGCTAACAATCGCGTCCTTGATCCTGCAGATTTTTCTCTACCCGGTCAAATCCTTACTTCCCGTTGAGGTAAGCTACGCAGAGCTGACCTCGGAAGGATTGCGATTTGATCGCCAGTACATCTTGGTCAAGATGCCACCTCAGCCAGCTGCACCGAATGCGTCCGAAAGCGAACTCGGGCTTGTTGAGCATTTGGCCATCAAAAAGAATTTTCTCCTAGCTCTGTTCCAACCTTCTATCCATGATGGCTGGTCAAAGCTTACTATTCGACACACAATAGCTCGGCCTGAATCCTCCATCACGATGTCACTGACACCATCCCCCTCACTTTGCGCAAACGCATCCAAGTTTAAGGTGAGCATATTTGGGACCTCCGCTATAGCCATTGATATGGGAGACAATCCCGCCTGCTTCTTCCGCAAACACCTTGGCATGGATGTCCGCCTCTGTTTTATTGGTGGGAATGGCAAGCGTATGTTGCCTGGTGTCGCTTTTGGATCCAGGGTAGGCGCTGCAAAAGTTCTGCCACCTGGTTCCCCATTACTTGATGAGAGAGTACAAGCTCAGAGGACGCGCTTTGCCGATGCCGCACCCTATCTTATTACCTCGTCGGCGTCTGAAGAAGATGTTAGGTCTCGTCTTCCGGTCGAGAATCAGGCCGAGGATGTGATCATTAGGCTACGGCCCAACATTCACATCGGCGTTGACGACTCCACACCCCCTTATGATGAAGATGACTGGGACACAATTCTCGTTTATGATGGTGATCCCAAGACAAAGCAGGTTGTACCGAAAGCGACTATAGTATGCATTTTTCGGACGGCCCGGTGCCTCAGTCTCAATGCTGACCTTAAAACTGGTATGGTGGCACCAAGACAACAGCAATTGTATGGACTTTTGGCCAAAGATCGTCGAGTTAATCCTTTGTATCCACGTAAGCAACACCACAGGTATTCGTACGAGAAACCAAATTGTTGACGTGATTTCACAGACAAGCCAGTTTTTGGCCAATATGCCTATAGTACCTCTGTTGGACAAACTCTGAGAGTTGGTGATGTAGTTAGAGTCCTACGCAGAAATGCCCCAACTTGAGCGTGATGGTGGTCCTGTCCTCACAGTGATTCTAAGCTCTATTTGTCCTAACAGTATTTTTTACAAACTTTTGCGCTCAACCTCGATTCAAATCGATGTATTTATCAGTTATTTAGCGGCTTCATAGTAATCCGAAAGTCGGATATGTCGATATAGTCAAACGGAAGGTTTAACAGCATCAATTGCCTTTCGCTCTTCTCCCGCATTGGCTTATTAATGGCCAGAAACGTAGAATTGTCAGTGATATTGTCGCTGCCAGGAACATACACCCAGCAAACACCTGAACGAACAGGTACGCGGACTTCCCATCCCTGCGGAGCGTAAGGGCAATTGCCTCTGCAACTAATGTGCACATGGGGTTAGCAGAGCCCCATGATGTGTAAATATGCGAAAGCGTGAACTTACAGGCCGTGGGTATTGATACGAGCGTCCATGATACTGAAAGCGTGGTCGGAAGCATTCGCGTTCCAAACACGTCAACGAGCACCGGCCCAGTCATCTGGAACTGGTTAGTTATAATCGCATGGCTGTATCAGGGCGAGCTTACCGGCCAAAAGCTTCCAAACACCAGCCCACCAAGTATTGAAAACGCAATGAGCACCCCATACGACGTGCCCGAGGTCCAAAGACAAAGAGTGAAGACAGCAGAGAGGATTGACGCGAGCGCGCTCATATTAATCCTTCCTACCCGATCGCTGAAATAACCAACGATGGGCCGCCCTACCGCCATGCCGAGATTAGCCATGGCTCCGACCGTGGCTGCCTGTTGGGCGGTTGCGCCGATGTTTATGGCGTTATTGGGCAACGAAAAAAGAACAACGGTGTAGCCGAGCCCACTGCAGCAGATCCAAACGCTGATGAGAATAAACTTGGCGCTTTTCAGTAATCGGTAATCGAAAGCATGCTGCCGAGGTTGTATTTCCGTGTTCCTATGTCGTATAAGAGCCATGCAGATACTATTAACGGCTCCCGTGGCGATAGCCATTATGCGAAAAGTCCACGGTAATCCGAGCCGAGATATCATCGTTCGGGCTCCCAAGCTGAATATCAAGCCCCCCAATCCACTCCCTGAGTCTGCAATACCTGTAGCAACACCATTCTTGGTTGAAAACCATTGAGGTATTATGCCGTACGTACCAATGTACAGGAAGCTGCAGCCCCAGCCAAATAACAAGCCTTGCGTGACAATGAGATGCCAAGTCCTGCTTGCATAACTAGCTGCAATCAAAGAGGCGGTTTCGAAAACTATTCCAATGCAGAGTGTTGGTCGAACACCTAGGATCTTAGTCGAGAAGGTCACCAAAGGGGCAATAAGCGTTATCTGCGAGATTGAAAGCCCCCCTATGAAGGCGTTGGCTATCTTTGATGTCCCAGGGAAGGCATTTGTTGTGAGATAGTGATCGAGAAATACACCAAATGACTGCTCAACATTAGTAATCGGCGCAAACTTGAAGATCTGGTGCTATTTGCACCGGTGTGAGCCCACCCCATTGACGCCCCATGTTGTTGCGGTAATCAGCAACTGGCAAACCACAACCACCCATCCATAACCGCCATCCGGAATGTTCAGGTCCTCTTCCTTCTGTTGTTGTACTGGCCGGACATTTAATTCTTCATCTTGCTCTTTGTTGCTTTCTGTGCGCTCTGGATGTCTAACGCTGCCCGGCCTAACAAGAGACATACTGACTTAGATTCTGCGGGGTGATATCAGCGTTTGCAGCTCGTAGAACAGAGACTAAATACTTCCTCTAGCGATGTAGCATGTTAAATATATTTCACGAATTTTCACAAGACTTCACAAGACTTCTTATGAAAGCGTTGGTTAGTGACAGAATCTGCGTCATTCGACCATCACCAGATATTACCCGTTTCAGGCGAAGGCAGTGATGCCTGCTGGCTTCGCTGTACCCTTCTCGTTTTGGACAAGCGTGAAAGCCAGCGCCGTCTGCGGGTAGCCGCCTGGGTCGCGAAAGATTTCTGTTTACAGCCCAAGCTAGTCGTCCTTGTATCCGGAGGGGCCGATACCCCTGTCCAAGAGGCCTTAAAAACAGATCTACTTCGATCAATCTTAATGAAACTACCGTGGGATAAGTGGGGCACCAGATGGATCTTTTACAGAGCACTTTTACGGCCATGTACGAATAAATATGAACAGGGGGATGGTATAACTGATTTGCCTTGGTACTGTGACATTCCACCCTTTAATTACGATGCTCGTGAAGAATCGGATGCTGATTAGTCTTCGCCCTGAGAAGCAGTCACACCGGGACCATCACAACTGGACTGACACCCACACAAGGACTGAGGCAGTCAACGTCCCTTTGGTCTCCAAATAGATTTATCCACCCCTGGGCTTAAAATGCCATCTCGAGTTTGGGTCCGCATATGTAAGGGTGTATCGTTGAATATTTGATTGGAGTGTATCATTGAATATTTGACTGGGCCTCTGAACTACCAAGTCTTTCTCTTATCGTACAATAGAAAGTTGTCTTCCCCTATCCCATGAATGTGAGATACAGCGAGGTACAACATGTTCTAGGAGAGTGCGTCTAGCGAACAAGAACCGACGGCCCATGGCCGGCTGCACTTTCCTGGATCGTTTTGTCCGCGGCCTTCTTTATGGCCAATCGTCTTTCTTCGGTGGCAACCATATCTGTTATGATAGTCAACTAATGCTTAGTATGCATGCCAATGAGGAATTGCAGGAAATCTTACCCTTCCAGAGATCCTGACCCTCGTATTGTTCCCTGTGAACCTTCTTCTCAACCAGATGCCCAGGGTTATTTGGATCGACAACCGTGACAGTTTGCCATAGTCCATTGCCCTTCTTGACGTCATTCATCTCGAGAGCGGCTGTGACAACAAGAACGATGAGCGTCAGCCCCTGTGCATACATCCGAGCCTGAACAACCTTGTTGGCAGCGTTCATGGGGCAGCGGTTCACCAGCGCGAATGCAACGCCCATGGAGACAAGCCATGAGGCGAAGACAATCGAGTAGCGTTTTTCCCTGCCGTATTCGGCCAAATTCTTGAGGAATGGCTGTTCCCCCCCGGCGGCCTGTTCGCTAAGCAGCTGTGTCTGGCTCTTGTATGAGTACATGGGATTCTGATTTTTATGAAACTCTGAAGACGATCGATCGGCGTTTACGACGGCGCCAAATGTGCCGGCAGATTGGACCAAGAACGTTCGGAAAGGCAGGGTGAGGCCGCGGAAGGCTATGAAGCGCCTGGAGGCGAGGAGGACGCCGCAGAGGCCGAGGCCGAGGCCGACACTGCCACCGATGAGGCCACCCTTCATAACGGCAGCGTAGTGGGCTTCCTCTTGTTCCTTTGTCAGGATCTTCATTATTACGAATTGTAGGAGGTGGAATGCTCGTGCGGTAGAGAAACGGAAGCGGTAATCGGCCATGTAGGATCGGCTAATGTGCTATAGGTCACACGGTAGAGTTGGACGTAGGTTGTTCGTAAAAGTGAAAAGTCGCTTGGAGTCGGAGGACAAAGGAGGTATTCGCACACGACATCTCTTGATGTCGAGAAATTGGGCAAGAAAGTGTGAGGAAGCCAATCGGAAAAATCATAGACCCTATGCTACTAGCAAATGACAAGAAATTAGTCCCGATTCTAGTCAAGCCGTTTTTACCCGACCTGTAGTGTTCGGTGCTTATGACTACAGGCAACGAATAGTAATAAACGATATTAAGATAATATATTTAGATAAGTTAACTAAGTGAACTAAAAATATTAAAAATATCTCTTTATATCTAGATAAGAAATAGTTTTTAATTTATATATATAGTTTTCTTAAAGAAAGATAGATTATATAGTAAGAAGGCTGTTTTATAAGCTAAAAGCTTATACCCTAATCACTAGACTAACTAATAGTACCTTCAAGAGATATCTATTATACTTTCTAGCTTATTATTATATTAAATCTAATAAGTACTATCTAAAAGCTTTAAAACCTTAAGTATAGTATAAATAATGTAATTAAATATATTATATTTTATTATAGTAGATTACTTTATTATAACTAGCTTATATAAACTACTCTTATAATAATTTCCTAGGTAAGTATACTAACACCTATTAATAGAAAAAGGCCTCGAAGAATGGGGCTTAACAAAAAGAAAGAAGAGGTGTTATCTGTGTAAAATCCGCCTGCCGCTATCACCCCTGTCAGTGTCATAGATGAAAGGTATATGTATTAAGGCAGACTTTTATTGGCTTTCTAGAGATACCCTCGAGTACACATATCGTATCTACGTACATGAATTAATGAAACGTACTAGCAGAGCTTCAAACAGTTCCGGGGCTTCCCAGAAAGGAGCATGACCGAATCCAGACAGTCTATGGCAATGTCCTTCCCAAAGATTTGCCCAAACTAGGCTATCCAGGTAGTCCAGACTTATAAACGGCTCCTCAGAGCCATTCACCACACCGATAAGCGCATCAGTTTGTGTTGCAACAAGTTGGGCTTGGTCAATGCCCGAACCGGTTTCGAAAGCTTGGAACATGAAACGCCGCGCTCGTCCATCTGTCCGCAGTGCATCATCTCTCTGCCACTCTTCGAAAGCCCCCCCAATGGCTCGGTGGGCATATTGAAAAGCCTCATCCTGATTCCAAAGTTCCTGACTGGTTAGGTGCATGTAGGGTGAATCGCCCCTCCCTAGGAACGCCTGGCTGACCTGGGTTCCGCTGCTTGGCGGCGTGCCAACGAGCAACGCACCCCTGATTCGAACGGCAGTTTCTTCTCGCCCAATCATTTCTAGGGCAATATGACCCCCAAGACTCCAACCGAGGATGATTACATCATGGATTGACAAGGCTGCCAATACCTCGAGAAGACAAGACGCATAGCCGCCCATCGAATAAGTTAGGTTGGGATCATCGGCATTCCCTGAGAGCCCGTGGCCTGGAAGATCACATGCGATGACACAATGATCATTGGTGATAGTCGCAGACTTTGTAATATGATGGAAAATCTTGCTACTGGAACTGTTCCCATGAACGACAAGAAGGGCCGGTCGTGGTGTGGTTCCGTCCCCCACTACAACTGCGTGGACTAGACCGTGGGTGGTTTTGATTTGATGCTGAGGCATTTCAGGCGCCAGCTGCTGGGAACCAATGATATAGGTGTTGAAGAGGGCCCGAGTAATAATAACAAACGAAACTACATGGCCTTAGCTCTTATAAGCTGGAGTTACCCATTGTAAGTCATCTTGCCCCATCAGGGTCAGCTACGCCTTTGGCGGGCCTTACATCTATAGAATGAGGGAATTCCTGCAACGGGTGATACCGTGTTTGTATTTGGGTGTTTAAGAATTTGAACAGGCCTCTGGTGTGATCATGACATATTAGCAAATGCTGCAGTCTCTCGCCTAGAGAAGGGGAAAAAGAAACCTAGCTTTCTCGGGTTAGGTCTGTAAGCCAATCGACCCTTGCCAAGCTCGCGTATTAGAGGATGCTACTATGAGTTAGCCGACCGTCGGCAATTGCCAAAGCGTACCAATACGATAGGGGATAGTTGGTCCGGGTTCACTTTTCAATGCAAACTAAGGGTTCCGACCGTAGAGGCTGACTCGGCCACGACGAGGAGCCCGAGATCGTCAGTGACTAGGGCTCGGATGTGAGGCCCGGCAGCAGTCTCGATGATGGCCAATACAATACCGCTTTGCCTTCAATTATGACATAACTCCCGGCCCGCCAGTAAAAAAACACTTCAAACAAATGATGAAAACTGAGTTGATGTTGCCCGGCCGCACCCCATGATCCCATATGGTGGCAAAATGGGTCGACTTGAGTCAGGAACGGCCAGGACTCTGACAAAGGCGTACTACATTGCACCAAGCAGACAGGGCCTATGGGACGCGATACGCATGCGATGCGGGCATAAAATACAGTACAGCATCGAATTTTAACTATGTAAGAACCCCGAAAATATAAGTTCTTTAATTTCTTTTCTTTTCTGTGCAAGCCGCCTAGTGATCGTTGTGTTCCGCGGCGCAATACTACAACTCCTGTTCATGATGTCAAGTTGGGACTGAGACAGCTACCGCCATACATTCCTAGCATTTGGAATCATTTTCACAACCGAACAACGGCCATGCTTCCAAATACTTTCTTTCCAGGCTTGGCAATCTAATTCAGGCATCTGCCCCCATTCTGTAGGGTGTGCACTCCGCTGGTGGCAGCCGGATTACCAAGCCATCGCATCCCGCGTTTCTGGGCGTGCCGGGTTCCCCGCACTCTGGTAGGGGCAATGTGACTTCATGATGGACGGGGATCTCTAAGCCAGTCGATGGATTCGGTATGAATCCCCGAGGTCTTAGTAAAGGGAACGTTCGAAGCATACCGAAGGTGGGTAGAAGTTTTGGCGAAGTCAAGGAGCTGCCAATCGTCATGCTCGGGTTATAAATCCAAAAGCCCACCTCTGCTTCTAAGTTGTGCCTATGCAGATGTCTTCATTCTTCCCTCATTTCTATCTGTGCATTGTTTACATCATTTTCCACTGAGAGCAGACAGCTATGGCCGAGGAACCTAAATGCCCCTTTGCTCCCAAGATCGATAATGTCGCCGGCGGCGGCATTCAGGCTAGAGACTGGTGGCCTGACCAGCTCAAGCTAAACATCCTCCGCCAGCATACACATGTCACAAACCCACTCGGCACCGAGTTTGACTATGCCGCCGCCTTCAAGACACTCGATTACGAAGCTGTCAAGAAGGACTTGCGCGCTGTTATGACCGATAGCCAGGACTGGTGGCCTGCTGATTTTGGCCACTACGGCGGTCTGTTTGTCCGGATGGCATGGCACGCTGCCGGTACCTATCGCGTTTTTGATGGACGAGGTGGTGGTCGACAGGTGAGCTCGACTGGAAAGGTTTCGAGGGCATATCGCTAACTCTTGTTCACATAGGGCCAGCAACGGTTTGCACCCCTAAACAGTTGGCCCGATAACGCCTCTCTTGACAAGGCTCGCCGTCTACTCTGGCCTGTAAAGCAGAAGCACGGCAGTAAGATCTCCTGGGCTGATCTACTGCAACTGTGTGGCCATGTTGCCCTCGAGTCCATGGGCTTTAAGCCTGTGGGCTTTGCCGCCGGCCGTCCCGACACTTGGGAGGCCGATGAGTCCACGTACTGGGGAGGAGAGAACACCTGGCTGGGCAACGACATTCGATACTCTGATGGAAAGCCCGATGCCTTCAAGAAGAGCGGAACTGTTGATGCTGATGTGCATGAGGGCGCCGTCGCTCCCCACAAGAATATTCATACTCGGGTTCTTGAGAAGCCTCTGGGCGCTGTCCAGTGAGTTGTCCGTATCTATGTTAGGCATGTTTGGCACTAACCAACTTCTAGCCATGGTCTCATCTATGTAAACCCACAAGGTCCTGACGGTAACCCTGATCCTGTCGCCGCTGCCCGTGACATCCGGGAGACCTTCAGCCGTATGGCGATGAATGATGAAGAGACAGTCGCCCTGATTGCAGGGGGTCATACCTTCGGAAAGTGTCATGGCGCGGCCTCCTCAGACTACATCGGTCCCGAGCCCGACGCTGCGGGACTCCATGAGCAGGGCTTAGGCTGGAACAATAGTTATATGTCTGGCAAGGGTCCGTACACTAATACCTCCGGTCAGTCACCTGGACCAAGACTCCTGTCAAGTGGAGCCACGACTACCTCGACTATATTTTCCGCTTTGACTGGGAGCTTGAGAAGTCACCAGCTGGTGCCCACCAGTGGGTGGCTACCAACGCTGAGGCGACTATCCCGGATGCCTATGATGTTAATAAGAAGCATCGGCCTAGAATGCTAACTGTTGATCTTTCATTACGTTATGACCCGGATTATAATAAGATCTCACGTCATTTCCTCGAAAATCCCCAGGAGTTTCATGATGCTTTTGCGCGTGCCTGGTTCAAGCTCACCCACCGTGATATGGGCCCGATCGAGCGTTACCTCGGTCCTGAGGTACCCAAGGAGCAGTATATCTGGCAGGATCCTATCCCTTCAGTTACCTATAAGCTGGTTGACAAGAACGACATCAATATTCTGAAGAAAGAGATCCTCAAATCTGGCTTGAGCCCTTCCCAGCTTGTGTCCACCGCTTGGGCTTCAGCTTCTACATTCCGGGGTAGTGATTTACGCGGCGGTGCCAATGGTGCCCGCATCCGCCTCGAGCCTCAGATCAGTTGGGAGGTCAACAATCCCACTCAGCTCAAGGTCGTTCTTGCTACGCTTGAGAGCCTTTCCAGGAGGTTCAATAACCTGCAATCCGATGGCAAGAGCATCTCCCTTGCCGACATCATTGTCCTTGGTGGCTCAGCAGGTATCGAGAAGGCCGCTAAGGAGGCTGGTCACCACATTTCCGTGCCTTTCACTCCCGGTCGTGGCGATGCCACACAGGAGCAGACTGATATCGAATCTATCAACTACCTACGGCCTGATGCCGATGGTTTCCGCAACTACGGTCAATCGACGGACCGCGTCCAGTTGGAGCATTTCATCATTGACCGCGCCCAGCTCCTCGGCCTATCCTGCGTTGAGTTGACCGCCCTCGTTGGTGGCTTTCGTGCCATCGGCACCAATTGGGACGGCTCTAGACACGACTATTTGACGAACCGCCCCGGTCAGCTGACGAATGACTTCTTCACCAACCTACTCGATATGAGTACGCAGTGGAGACCTGTGGGCAGCAGCGACCTCTTTGAGGGCTACGACCGAAAGACGGGCACGAAGAAATGGACAGGCACGCGCATCGACCTCGTATTTGGTTCGCATGCTGAGCTTCGTGCTGTCGCCGAGTCGTATGCCGAGGTCGGTGGTGATGAACGCTTTGTCCACGACTTCGTCGCTGCTTGGGTCAAGGTTATGAACGCTGACCGCTTCGACATTACCAAGGGCAAGGTCGCGCCCGATGCGTCCCACAAACTGTAGGGTTTTGGATTCATATTCGAGAGGAGGTCGCTTGATAATGATAGGTAGTGATTTGAGACATTTTACTGAATTTCCATGACTACATGATGCTACGGCGTGTGTCTCTCCTTCATCTCTGATTTGCATCAACCGAATGCGCGGTTCATCTTCAGGCGGCTAATCTATAGCTTGCTACTGCATGAATGCCCAAGGTCACTAGTCATTGTATACTGAGTACGGTCCTTCGCAGCTCATTCTAGTGCCCAAGTATAATTGTAATCGTTGGTCAGGGCGCCTGGGCTAATCAAGCTTCGTTAAGGTCAGGCCAGTAACTCCTCAAGGCATTGATGGTAAAGGGCATGCGGGGAATGACCCTCAGTTGTGGTAAATCTATCTCGCATTAGTTAAGTTCTAGTTAATGATATATAATGGCATAAAACATAGTTTTCCATGCGTGACCTAGCGCCACGGAGGGCATCCTCCCGTCAGAACCTACCTCTGCAACTCACTGGAAAGGATGTTTTGAACTTGCGGATTTCTACTCATCCCTGTCCCACCGTACTCAAGACGATCTTACATCTGCGGACCAGGCTAAAACTGTCGTCATTAATTCAAAAAGCATGGTGCCAAAAGCAACATATCTATCGCATCTTTGCACATAACCTACTCTTGTCATCAAATCTCATTCGAGGTCCTCATAATAATATCTACTGGCTATACACATGATGCGCAAGAGCTACTAGTCCACAAGAGGTGACCAAAATACCAAACTTAGAGTGATCAAGCTGCCAGGATAGCCACACGGGCAACGGCTGCTGCTTGTAAATACTCGACAAGCCATGTTGGCCACAATAGATGCCTATTCTTCCTGTGGGTATGTTAACCCACACTGCACCCTCGCATTATCCATCCTAGACATGATCGCAAGCGTAGAATCTAGGGAGCAAGTCCTGTTTTCCAGTCTCCCGGCCCGGATATCGGCGCCAACAGCGTCAGCTTCATAGTAAAAGCCAAAACCGGGGACATTGAAATCTAGACGCCGCTCTTCTTCGCCATTAAGCCGGACCACCAAGTACTGCGGCCTCGATGCCATATGGCCACCAACGGAGATAGAACCCTTCGATCCGTACACGTGCGCAAACTCTTCTGCGCTCTTGTACAGAAGTGATGAAGTGCATATCGCATGGGCTTTGAGATCCGGGTACTGTAGGACCACAGACGTAAACTCATCCACCTTCTTGTCTGGGTTTGTTTCGCTGGCAAAGGCCATGCTAGCCACAACGTTGGGATGTCTGGAGGATAATGCCGTGTCAAGAGCCAGAGACGCCCATGTCAGGGTATAAATACCCAGGTCCAGAAGGGCGCCAGCACCAAGGGCTCTGCTCGCGGTGCGACGTGTAGGGTCAGCTATAGATATGGGCATATAGAGCCCAAAGTCAACAAAAACAGACGCAATGTCACCGATTGCCTTTTCGTCATGTAGGAGTGACTGAAACTTCTTCGCGACGGGGAAGAAACGGGTCCAGACGGCTATTAGACATTTCAGTATCGTGCTAGTGGAAAGAGGTGAGACTTGGCTACCTTCCATCAAGAAGACTCCCTTTGCTCGAGCAGCATCAATCATCCTCCTAGTTTCCAAGGCATTCAGGGCAAATGGCTTCTCGCAGAGCACGTGCTTTCCGGCAGCAATAGCACCTAAAGCATTCTCACAGTGCAATACATGAGGCGTTCCAATGTAAACAATATCAACACTGACATGGTTGTACAGCGCTTCATATGAATCATACAAGGCGGGCTTTTGGGCTGGACAATGCTCGGCCACGAACGCAGACGCCTTATCCATGGAGGAGGACCCAACAGCCTCGATTACGTGCTTCGTAGTGGCATCGGGCCTCCCGAGGCATAGATCAGAAACGAACCGGGACGAGATTGTGCCACACCCTAAGTAGTGGTGAATGGGTCAGCTGATGCCCACACATTGCCTTGAGTATGTAGCATACCGACGATACCCCATTTGAGAGTAGGGAGATCACTCTTGTTTGCCATGTCTACGGTTTATTTGGAAAATATAATGAACACAGCGATTGCAAATACGACGAAGTGAGAGTGTCGCTTTTACCACCTGTGAACTGTGGGGGATTTTATAGTTGCGGCAAGTCAATTGTATGGGTAAATGTTTATCCAGTGACTAACCAAGCCCCTACCGGTTGGGAGCTGAACGGCTCAAGATGTTTATCCAATTCGACACCCATGTCAATGGTCCAGTGGATACTACATAATGTTCCCCATCACCTTCTTCCTCCATTGCCAATGTATACATAAAATAGCCCGTCTTTAGGCGCCTCGCTACGACAATGGACCCAAGAAAACCAGGTTAGACCTATAGTTCTTATGTCCACGGGTCTCATAGGTTTAAGACGTCTACCAAGACCAGAGCCCAGTCACAGCCTCGTGATAGTGGCAAATCAATGAGTAGATTTTTCACTGGTGGAGGCGATGATCGAATGTAAGGTAGTTGTCGAGTTCGAAACCCCTCCACAGAGCGAAGAAAGGCGCCTTACACCCAACTGCTTTAAGCTTGAGTAAGACCTTCGATTTCGTATGATCATCCAAGCCTTGAATGTTGTAGTGATTTGCAGCCATATCTTAGTTACGATTACTTGAACAGGATCCCAATGTGTACCATGGAGATAATGGCAGACATGATGGATATACTATTACAAAGCTAAATCACACAGTGTTCAGCTATCCCAGTCTTTACTAGCCTTGAGCTTCGAGGCCATTAGTGATGTTGGCCCATGTCAATTTATATACTGTTTGGCGTTTTATCTTTACCACGGACCCTTAGTCTTATACGTGATGCAAGCGGTATAATAGTCAGATACAAGAAAGCACCAAGAAACATACCACCCGCAAAAGTTTGGGCGTCGAGATAGAACGGAGAAGTAACTTAGGGCGTAGAAGTGACAAACCGATAGCCCGGGCAACTAATTCATCTTATCAGCGAGAGAAAGAATGATCGAACAAAGATAAACAAACATGTTGCAGAGAGGGAACTGAGAGTCTATGCTATAGATAATGTGGTAGGAAGCTGCTTTGCTCCAAAGGCATCGTCCAGGATAAGCCCCAATGTCTAGCACGAGCGGCAGTTAATACATATAGACAACCGAAAGACCATCGAATGCTCGTCACTCACAGCTCAGAATGTCCCAATGACCGCGCCACTCGGAATGGAAAACGCCTTCAGGATAGGAAGAGAGCCAGGAGACGTCCACATACATAGGCAAAGAGTTCCTGCTATAAGGGTAGCCCCAGCACTCGCATTGATTCTGCCAATACGATCGCCGAGAATGCCAACAATAGGCCTTCCTATGGCCATACCTAAATTAGCGAGATCCCACGTCTGAAGCTTGCTGTGCCGATGAGCCAAACTGGCAGAATTAGTAGGCAGTGAGAACAGCACAATAGTTGTTATCCAATAGCACTGAGGCTCACCCACAGGATAGCGAATATAAACGTCAGCCTTTTAAGGGCGCTCACATGAAAGCCAGGCTGCTGTGGTTTGATGTACGTATTCCAGTCCCGCATTCACACTGTACAAATGATGTGTCATAGCAGTACAGGCGGCCGTAATACGAAAGGACCACGCAAGGACAAGGCGGGATATCGTAGCCTGACTTGCAAGGCTATGGATCAAGCCACCTAGACCACTGCCAGCAGAAGCAGGGCCGTTATCGAGCCACGTTCTTCGACTGGACTACTGGGAGATAATATCATATGTTCTAATGTAGAGAAAGCTTAAACAGAAGGCCTTGAGTGATAAACAGGTTCCATGTCGGAATAGCGAAACCGGGTGCTACTAGTCCGCCTGTCTCGAGGATAATACCGATGGATAGCGTAGAACGAACTCCTAACCGCTTGCTTGGAGAGGAGCGGCCAATGTGAATTGGGATGTTGACAGCCACCGATAAAGGGGTATGCAACTTTAGAAGCTCCGGGAAACTTATTCGCACGCAGGTAATGGTCTAGGTAAGCCCCGAAAGCCTGGAGATAGACAGGTCAGTTCATAGTCTACCAATCATGACATCTGCTACCTTACCCCGTTAGCCCACCAAGTATTAGCAGCAATCAAGAGCTGCGAAATAACGACAACCCAGCCGTCGCCGCCATGGTGATTATCTGCAGTGGGCTCACTCTCCACATCCCCAGGCGAGGCCATACCTTCGGCGCTCAGCTCGTGCGTGGGGCAACGGGCGCTGACGGCATTTTCGATACTTCCGTAACCCCTAAACAGATTTTAAACGGGTCGGTGACTGTGCCGTCTGGATTGAGAAGGGCGAGACTATGGTCTCAGAAAAAAATGGGAAAGGCAAAGAGACCTAAGTCAAATCGTCGGCAGACGTTCGTTCCCGGTTACGGGTCTGTTGCACAAGCGTGAATAGTCAGATACCCACAGACCTGGTGAAGACCATGTGTTCATTTTATTAGCCGACGATCGGCTACATTGCATAATAATTACCCGCAGACCCTATGGATGCCTGAAGTTTTAAATTATATCATGTGTCTCGATCTAGTATTAGCCGACGATCGGCACATTACGTATTCTTAGTGGGCCAGTACATCGGGCATATACAACTTTTGGCCTTTATGTAGGGCCGGCCGGTGGGAAAGCCGCCTGATGAGTTCGGCCGCGGGACTGAGTCAGAATGGGTTGAATTTGCAAGATTGTGGATTCGGATAAGGAAGTCACAGCGTGTCCGACACAACTCTATGTCATCGTTGGTCGATAAAAACGGGTTTATGGTAAGGTTCACATCGATACACTACCGAGCGAACCTACGACAATCATTCAATTCAGTCAGTCAGTCAGTCTTTTATCGCAGAAAATGGCCACGGAAACCTCCAGATTGCCTATTCTAGACCACTTGGTGGTTCTAGTACCCTATCATGAACTTCAAGAGCTGCCGAAGCGCCTAGAAAGCTCTCTTATCGTGGTGGAGGGTGGCTCGCACTCTGATGGTCTTACCCTCAACAAGCTCATTATTCTTCCTGACGGCACGTATATTGAGTTGATCGCTTTTCGGGATAATATAGACCCCGAGCGTCGAAAGAAGCATATGTGGGGGACCCTCAAAGAGTGTCAGATCAGCGACTGGGCGTATACCCTTCAGGATGAAAAAGAATTCGCTCAAGTCCAGGACTGTATTAAAGCGGAATCTAGTGCACAAGTCACATACCAAGAACCAATTCCGAACGGGCGCCTGCGGCCAGATGGGGTGGAATTGAAATGGGCACTCAGCTCTGCTCAAGACGCGTCTTTATGCCCTCTCTGGCCTGGTATGGCCCCCTTCTGGTGTCTGGACCGAACTCCTCGCCATTTGAGGGTGCCTTACCGCGAAGAAATATCGACTGCTGCCCCGTTTACGAAGCATCCTTCCGGTGCTTATGGTATCTCTCAGGTTTTTGTGTCGGTGCCTCAGACGGACTTTTTAGCCCTCAGCCAGGTCTACGAGGGCGTACATGGACCTGCGATTGAGAGCGATCCTGCAAGGAAAGTTTGGTCCTGGATCAACCATGCCGGCTCGGACCGAGGCAAGCAGAAGGTGATTTTGACTGCAAGCTCCTCACAGGAGCGGCACATTGGCCTAACACTTGTCGGAGATCAGGACAGTCCCCATAGCATACAAATCCTTGAAGGGTTAGCTTTTGACTTTGACGTTGAGTAAAGAGCCAGCCAAGATTGTTTAAGATTGGAGAACCTCTATTTACACTTACACATGTACCTAAAGGAACCTACCTGTATTTATATTGAACCCGATATACCTCGGCTTAGGATCTTAAATAGTTATATAGCTCGATTTAGTTTCTTACATAGCTATCTTACTCCCACTCTACCGCCTCAATTTCTTTCAATGACTTCGCAAGACGACGCAAACCTTCTTCGAGCACATTTCTTGGTACTGTAAACGTGATACGGAACCAACCATACTCCTCCGACTCGAACTTGCTGCCAGGTGCTATCTGCACACCATTTCGAGTGCAAATATCTGCAATCTCTGTTTCACGTTGCTTGTAGATAGCGCTGCCACCTTTTGTCCTCAGAGCTCCATAGTCCGATTTGCCCCGTAACGATTTGGACAATAACAGTCGTCGAAAATCCACCCAAACAAATAGACCGGCGTTCCTATCAGATAATGATTAATGATGAACGTATGAAAAAGGCTGAAGAACCGCTATACTAACATAGGGAAAGAGTAGATATTGCGCGTGTGGAAGAACGAATTGATAATCGCGTATTGCTCGGCCATCAACTTGTTCTTTTTCTGCATCATGGTTTCGAACCATTGCTTATCTTCCAGCATAGCGGCCCAGACATCCTGAAGAACATGAGGTGACCAAGAGAAAAAACTGCGGAGAGTTTGTGTTAGCCAAAAGGCTCTTTAGCCAACAATACGGCGGAGGACACCCACTTGTTGCTCGACATTGCAGCTAAGACACCTTTGTTTCTTGTGCACAGAAAGCCTAACCGCAATCCGTTGGCGCACAAGTCCTTACTTGCACCATACAGTATGTGGTGGAAGTTTGAACCGAGCGGGTTGGGCGACAGAGAAGCAGTCGATACGAAAGGGACCTGGTTCGGCAAATCCGGATTACGGAAGACGGACCTAGCATAAATTTCATCAGAAATAAAATGGAGGTGGTTTCGGCTGCAGAAGGCCATAAATTCTAGCAGCGTTTCCGTCGGCTAGAGCTAATAGTCAGAAGCTGTTCAGAGGTAAAACAGAATCGGTGAACTTACGTAGCAACGTCCAAGAGGGTTATGCGGGCTGAATATCGCACCTTAGTAAATATTCGCTAACACTGGTAGATCAAACTTACTGCGATATCAGGAGAGCGTGAATTTTGATTCCACGCTTTTCCGCTTCCCTCAAACCCTTCTCAAGAGCTAACCGATTAATGTCGGGCTTGAACAAGTCATCCAGTTCCCGGTAGCCGTCAACATCCTCATAGCCGACTCCCACGAGATGTGTTTCATTCCGATTGAGAATATCGATCGCAAATCCGTTATAGAGTGGTTTCGGAACAAGGACGCCCTCACCAGGGTCGCAGATAGTCCACACCAGTGATTCTATGGCGCTATTCAAGCCTGGAGTCACGATGATATCATCACTCACGACCTTATCGACAGCACCAAGTTCGTCATTCACGAATGCAGCCGCAGCACGGCGGAGACGGCGGGATCCTCGAGGGCCAAGCCCATAGGTGAGGTGATGTTCGGGAATGATTTTGATCTAGGCCGGGGCCACCAATTAGCATCATACTTTTACACATTTTCGTAGGAATTGTACCTGTTGCTTGAAAAACTCGGATATCTCATCATGCAGGATGTTGTTCTCCGCAAGTAACAGGCTTACTCTGGTGAAATGTTAACATTGCACTCTGGTCCTTCCCATACTCGTAACTCACAGCCCATCCGGATTTTCTGGTGACCACAGATTCGCCATCGACTTTTCCCTAGGGCCCCAGATGTCCCGGTGGGCATAGTTATATGCCCCCCTTTCCGACAAGGAGTATTGCTCCCGGCCTGTGTGCTCGTTAACGGCGCCAGTAGCTTCCATGATGATGATGTCCGAGCAGAAGCTGGCGAAAGCGTGTATGGAAAGACGGCTATGAACTGTTCCGGATGCTTGGGTTTATGACATGAACGGCTGATCAAAGCCGTAGCCAATTGGATCTAAATCCGATGCGGATCTCGAATTTTTCTTCTTCTTCTTTTTTTCTTCTTAGTTTCCGTTTAAAGAGCTAGACTACCGGTACTTGGGCGGGCTGGATTTTCGACCGGAGACCACCCGGGCCACATCCGGCTTTTGTGCAAGCATGTAGTGACATTAGCTTCACAACCTCGCGTCTACATGCCGACTGAGGTTTGGGTTGGGGCTAGTGACTTGGCTTGACGGGCTAGATTTCAAACGGCATACTTGATCTCGTTAGTTGCCGAAAGCACGATGAGTCATGCGCTCCCCCTTCTAATCTCTCTGTCACTGATTAAGTCCTGGAAGCTCCGAGATACAGCACGCTCATTCTTTCCTCCACCACTTTACAAACCCGCCAACATCCCTTCGAGCTCCTCTTAGTCCAAAAGTCAACATGGCTTCCACCAAGTCAAGTCTTCAAGCACGATGCTGGGAGAAAGGACAGTTTCTTATTTCTACCGACCCCAAACTGTTCCCTATACAGCAGCTCATACAGGTGTTCGAGTCCAGTGACTTTTACTGGGCGAAATCACTGTCACCTCGAGTCATGCAGGAGACGCTTGACAACTCCCTATCTTTTGGCCTGTACAAGCGACCTCAGTCTACATCCACCTCCGAGGCAACCGACTCGACATCAGGGTTGGCGTTCATCGGCATAGCCCGCTGCGTTACCGACTTTATCACGTTCGTGTATCTCACGGATGTATGGGTTGAACCGACACAACAAGGAAAAGGGTTGGGAACCTGGTTAGTGCAGTGCGTGCAGGAGGTCCTTGTGGAAATGCCGGACCTGAGGCGCAGCATGTTATTCACAGCGGATTGGAAAAGATCTGTCCCATTCTATCAGAAACTCATGAACATGGAATTGATTGAATCAAAGCGAGGTGAAGGGCTAGCGGTCATGGAAAGCAAGGGTAGAGGCCACCCAAGCTACGGTCGGGAAGGGACCGGTTATTGACAGTCTAGAGGTCACTTTTTGAGCGGCGGAGTTTCCCTCAATTCATAATGGTTGTTTCGTCCATTCAATTGGACCTACCAGATTATTGCCTGGCCCATCGTCTGTGAAAAGTAAAACCACAGCAAGGAATGGTAATAAGCCCGGGGAGCAGGGAATCTCCTCAGGACCTCGCCCAAATCCTATCGTATCGGGAAAGGATCGGCATTATTACCTCGAGGCAAGGGTAGTGTGTGAGCTAGCGCAAATATGGATAATGAAGGCGAAGCTTGGTCCTTCATCCGACGGTCGGCAATCTGGCGTCCGTTTTCACCAGTTAGCTCATTTAAGTTGCATCTCACGAAATGGGTCCAACAATGCATCAGCCAATATCCATAGCCCTATAAATCATTCGTCAGCTTTGTGGCAAGGTCCTACTCGCTTCCGGTCCGAGAGTCGGGATCCCGGTCCCTCAATATGACTCTAGATTCCGTCGTTCTTTCTCTTCCATGGCTTGCTTTTATAAGTAGCTCGGAAAACCCGAACGAGGAATAATATCTCTAGTTTAATCTATTGCTCACGTCAAATCACCATGTATTTCTCAACAGCTCATCAGGAGACCAACCTTCGGGTGCTTCGCCAGATAATTCGCGACTACCCTCTGGGCTCCATCCTTACCGGTATCCCCTCAGCAAAGTACCCCTTCCTTCAAATGAGTCACATACCGTTTGTGCTCGACGTTGAGGACGAATCCAGTGAGACTGAGAAGGGTCGTTTAAGGGGTCATCTTACCAGACAGAACCGCCAGAGCCAGGCAATGATCGAGGCCTTGACCTCCAACCCAACCCCAGACAATGTGCTGGATCAGGAAGTCCTTGTCGTCTTCACATCTCCAGACCACTATGTCACACCAAAGTTCTACACAGAGACCAAGCCCTCAACGGGAAAGGTGGTACCGACTTGGAACTACGCAGCCGCGCAAGCCTACGGACGAGCGAAGATATACTACGATACGAAATCCGAAGAAACATCCGAGTTTCTTGGAAAGCAGCTTGCGGATTTGAGTTACCAAAGTGAGACGAAAATCATGGGCTACACAGGAGGGGAAGCTCCATCAGATTGGAAGCCATCGGATGCTCCTGAGCCATACATCAATCTCTTGAAGAAAAGCATTATCGGCATTGAGATCGTTATTGACAGGCTCGAGGGCAAGTTTAAGATGAGCCAGGACAAGAAATTCAATGACAGACAAGGTCTTATACAGGGATTTGCGGGACTGGATACGGAGGGGTCATCAGCTGTAGGAAGGATGATCAAGGAGCGAAGTGACCTCAAGGACAGGGGGATTTAAGACGTCCAATGATAACTGCCCGATTAGTCTCGTATTTCAGCTCTAAGTATTTCTCTTCTAGTAACTACCGGGACATAACCTATTAAGGTCGCAGTTGATGTGAAAATCTTGAGTCTTTACCGACTCGAAAGAGCACTGGTGTAGCACTCCAGTGGGCCCCAGCCCTTGGACGGAGGAATTCCGCCAAAACCAGATCGGAAGAATGAAGCTCAATTTATCACACAATCTGTCATGCAAGTGGAGGCTTCGTGATACACAGCTTCATCCCACAGGACCGTAGAATACGGTTACCCATTGGAAGAAAGCCTTCATTATATCTATGCCCTTACCCCCTTACCCAGTTGAGGCTGGATGAGGTGCAACAACTGTACATGACTTGCTTAGCTTCTACAATAGGGAAGCACAAGCTCCAGTTGATTTAGCCAGACACCTACAGCGTTAGTCCAACATCTAACTTTTGAAAGCGTATATTAAAGCTGATTAAGGGTAAATTAAATTAGAATATATATAATTAAAATAATTAAAGTATTTATAATATATATTAAGCTACTTTAAGTAAGTATTATATTATTTAAAATAAAAGAATTATCTTTAATAATTTAAAATATATAGTTATTATTTATCTCTTATAATAATTATATAATACTATTTTATATTAAGATTACTTCTAATATTTTACTTATTCTTAAAGTATTAATTAAATATTATCTATAATATATTATAAAGTTATATTTAAATATAATAATATTAGCTAAAATATTTAAAAGAAATTAATATATTATCTTTATACTATTATTTATAAGATAATGTTGTATTTTCTTTTCCTTTAATGTATAATTAATAGAATTATAAATAATAAAAATAAAGGGATTACTTATTACTTATTATGTTGTATTCTTAGGGAATTGTAATCATGTGGTTGTGATCGGCTGTAGGTCCTCGGAATCTGCCCCGGCAGACCGCCTTCCCCCTTGCCTCGGAGTCACGACAGTGAATGGTGACTGACTGTGCCAAATCACATCAACCTACCCACCCCGCCTCACAATTGGCGCGTGCCAGTGAAAACGATGGACAGGAATAGAGACGAGCGCTCCAGTAGTGGACGTCATGCAGCACGATCTAAGAATGGGTGCCGGACTTGTCGGATCAAAAAGGTGAAGTGCGATGAAACGCAACCTGTTTGCTCCCGGTGCCGTCGACTCGGATTGCTCTGCGATTTTGCGCCCACCAGGAGGATGATTGGGCCCAAGGGTGCTACAGGGAGGCCAGGCAAGACCGGAAGCATTATCCTTTGTAATGTTTATGGCTGACGGGGAGATAGCAGAGGTTAAGCACCCCTTTTTACTCCCGTCTCAGATCCCGTACTGCGGCAGTCCGCTAGTTCAGCCAGTAGGGATGCGGAACGCGGCCTGTTCCTTAGAGCTAAGCTCGACTGACCATGAAGCTATAAGGTATTTCCGGAAGACGGTTGCCACAATTCATCACACCAAGAATCCTGAGTTCTCGGTTTACGCGATAATATTTGACATCGCGAAGGACAATGCAATGGTCATGCACCTTGTGCTCGCTCTTGGAGGCCGTGAAATCGAGTTTCGTCGTAATACCATCACTGGCCGGGCTGACGATAGAGGCCCGGAAAGCCCTTTGCAGCACTATTGTGCAGCACTTCGTCTTGTATCAGAATCTTTGGAAATGCAGCAGAGGGGGTTAGGCGACCTGGAGGCTTTGTGCTCTGCCCTATTCTTGATGCTCATGTATGAACAAAAGTTCGGCGATGTTCAAGGACTCGGTCTCACAAACCACCTCAATGGCGCGGCCTGGGTCATTACACACTATTGCAAGGAGATAGCTGCCTCTATTGTCGGAGCTGTTGGCCGGGCGGCTCGCCCTGCTGCCCTGGCAAGGAAGAGTCACGCGCCTAGTCAGCGCTCTCTTTTCATGGCTCGACTGTTCATTTGGATTGCTATTCAGGATGCTGCTGCATCCACGTTTCGCCTTGGAGGGCAACTCAATCGAGCTCTGCATCAGGCCATCAATATTCAGGACTCGGCACCATGGGAGAACTTCGAGCGCATCAACCTCTTTTCTAGTCCCCTTTATCGCATCATGTGGGCAGATCGGTATCCGCAAGTCGAATTACTCGACGACATAGAAAACCATCACATCTATGGCCTACTTTGTGCTTCTAGTCAGCTGCGATGCATGGTTGCAAATTTCAGTTTGCTGGACGACCTTGGCAAGCAGCGCCAAGAGCCGGTCATCGAAAACGCGATAGAGAAAGTAGGGTATTACTATAACGACCTGTTTCAGGTAGCAGGAGGGCTTTCTCTTGACACGGATAATTCTCATCGACTGGTGGCTAACATTCGCGGCATTGTTCCACACTACTACGCTGTTGTACTCGAGTTTCATCGGGCTAACCCAAGAAGAAAACCTCAAGGCCAAGTGCAAGAGATAATCGAACTGATCATGAGTCTCGCCGCGCAAGATTATAGGCATGGGGGGGATGGGTCTATGGTTCGCATTGCGTGGCCGTTGTTCGTCACAGCGATAGTCACAGACAAATGTCGATACCATGACTGGATACGGAACCGACTACAAAGTATTAGCAAGTACGGGAAAAATTATGAGCGAGCCTATCAATATCTGGTCAAAATGTCCCAGGTGGGGAACGCCGTGGGAAGTAGGGCAGGCGCCCTAGAGGCATTGGATTCTGTAGGTCTAGAAGCTTTTGTAATTTGATAGTCAATACGTGTAATACCAACATAATCTGCCGGCAATGATCTGCACAATCATATGATGCTGGTAGAAGAACCAGCCAAAAACACTAGGGGTGAGGCTAGCTACTGTAGAGGCCCTATTTGAGCAGCCACTGAGACATTTTCTACGTGAGCCTCTCCCAATGGGATAGGAAGGTTCTCAAGTACTTGCAGTGCGTCCTAGGATAGAGGAGGTCTAGGTCTAGATAATCACTAATAATGGTCTCATCGAGGAAATGCTCACTACCGCTGTCTGTCTACGTAGTTAAACACTCGTATATGGCTCCTACGGCCTGCTAACGGCAAGTGTAAAAGAAGAACTTATGTCTTGTCGCATGTCATTCAAATATATTCAAAATTACCCTACCAGTTAAGGATAAACCATAACATCTATAGGAGGGGACAAATCGCAAAACGGTTTGCCCAGATAAGCTTTGGAGGGCGAGATTAAGGACGACGCCTCACGGCCTGTATTTCGGGCGCGTAACTGGGGATCTTTGAGGAAGCCAGGGCGGCAGCATGGTTTACGTGCGTCCTCCAAGCTGTGAACCACCAGCTTCCACCCGGCAACATGCATCGGACTAGGACCACAAGATGTTGAGTTTTTGAAAACCCGTCTTTGGCTTCTCCTCAATAAGGGGCTCGGACCTGTAGACCTGAATGAATGGACGAATGGGTATCTCTGCCAACGGAATGATCTTTGAGGATCCCAGAACCTTGTATCCAGTATAGATAATAATGATGATGGGTATATTAACATAAGATGAAACAAATGTATGGGTATCCCAATTATCGGTCATGAAGGTAGAGAAGCCTCCAGTAAGCAATAAGAGGGAAAAGAAGGTCAGAGCAGCCCAGGAGAAGTATGGTTGGAAAGGCGAGGCGTAAGGCAATTCTTCGTGGCGATTGATACCCTGCGCCTTACAACCGTAGTAGAATCGCAAGTATGTGATTAGAATCACAATCCAGTTAATCGTAATAGCCACAGAAGCGAGGTCCTGGAGCCAAGTAAAGATGGTAGCGGCACCCGCCGAGGTAGACATGTATGCCAGCCCTATGAAGGAGCCAAAGAACAGAGTATTGATCCAGGGAACTCTGAATCTATTGAGTCGTGTAAAAAGGCGGGGGGCGTGGCCCTTCTTTGCCATACCGTACAGATAGCGCGTGTAATGCAGCATCATGGAGTTGCCGCTAGACCAGGCTGAAGTGATAACGATCGCATTGATGAAATGAGGGATGCCTCCGATCCCAGCCAGGGTAGCGGCGATGACAAACGGCGATGAGGCCGTCGTCTTCTTACCCAACAACTGGGGGTTGTCTGAAGGGACAATCATGCCAACCATAAAGATGGTAATGACATAAAAGATCAGAACTCTCCAGAAGACCCTCTTTGCTGCCCGGGGAATAGCCACACGTGGGTTCCTAGTCTCGGCCGCCGTGAGAGAGATTGTCTCGATGCCGGAGTAGGCAAAGATAACCGTGGAACAAGCGCTCCAGAATCCGAGAAATTGGCCTAGGCTCCCCTGGACCCCAAGGTATTGAACAAATGGACCTGGACTCCCCCAGTACTTGAATCCGATTACCTGGCCATCCGGTCCGCCACCGGACGTGATGACAATAGCCATGATATCGATAACAAGAATCAAAAGAATTTTGAGCAAACCAAAAACGAACTCAAGCTCGCCGTAGACTCGCACGAGGAGGGACGAAGTAATTATAGTCAGACCCCCGAACAGGGTAATCCAAGCAGCACTACTAATGTCCAGCCAGAACTTCATCAACACTGCAGTGGCCGTGATCTCGGCTGGTATGACGATAAGTCCCTTGAGCACCAGATTCCAGCCATTGGCAAAGGAAAGAGCCGGCTCGACAAAGATCTCGGAATACCGGACGATCCCACCGCTCAAAGGGACCAGGGCACCCATCTCCCCGACATCGAGGGTGACGCAGCAGCCTGCTATGCCTACGATGAGATAGGCGAGAAGAGCACCAAGGGGACCTGACTTTGCGAGAGTCCGGCCAGATGCGAGGAAGAGACCAGTGCCGATTGCACCACAGAGCGCGATCATGGAGACATGGCGAGTATGGAGACCTTGCTTCATCTCTTGGATCTCGGAGAAGTTCTCAGGAACGTTGTCCATGTCTCCTTTCAGGATATCATGTGGTTGATCATCATTGCGTAAAACTGTACGCCCCGCTTCGATCTTGTCCAGGTCTGTTCCGGCCGCCATCATTCGTGGTGACACAGTGCTACTAAGACAAGGCGAGAAGATAGATTGTGTGAATAACAGTGAGGGAGAGGGGAGAAGGGTCGAGGTATGCTGCTGTTATGAAAAGTCTAGGAGTACTAAGGCAGAGGATGGTTACTTGGTCGTATTTATGGCAATTCAGAATTAGGCCTATCTGCTGAAAGGGTGAGGACTTCGGCAAAGCCCAACCCCTAACCCCCAACTACAGATAAGGCACGGGGATACCGATCGCATCTCCAGCTCTGAACAACGTATCGCCTTTGATAGGCCAGTTGAACGCGGGGAACCCTTCTCCGCCCAAGAAGGTGGATGCCGCCAGAACAAAGCGAGATAAGCCCGAGATAACGGGAGCCAATTACGATGGTGCTAATTGTGATTGCAGTTGCTATCTGTCAGACAAACTAACGACACGCTACAGTATCCTCGGTTTGTGTGTTGTTCAAATCCGCCTATAGTATCCTGACTGGACATACTGTTTAACGAAGCTTTACAACTTCATAAGATTATCCATCTCTCCTAACATTTCTTGCCCCTGAACTTGAGTGCTCGACGTCGGTTGGCGACCGAGATATTCGCTGACCGCCTTACTCGTACCTCCTTAGACGAGTCGCCCTCCGCTCTATGAGTCTGGGGTCTCCGAGTGGGTCTGGCGATTTGGGGCTCCGTTATCACAGGATGAATTACGGAGCCGGCCCCACTCTCTTGGAGGGCCAGATGTAACCAACCACAGAAGCATCCGTGGACCCACGACCTCGGCAACAGCTGTCCAATGGGAGAGAAATCCGCTGCCGGGCCGTCATTATCAACAACCTACCCTGTTGACTTCCGGACCGCGGGGAGGAACAGAGGAAGACAGGATGGAGTGATAGCCCAAGGCAGAAGCAGGCAATATACAGCTTTTCGGAATTGCCGAGCTTGAGTCCCTGAAATAGATAGCTAAATGAATGATTCCAAGTCCGGTTTTGAATCATCTATTCTCTTATGCGTTGCTGATAACACCGAATCAACAACATCACAAACCAATTCACTGAGAAGGCCGCCTCGCTCTGATCTTAACTTATTCATCATGTCTCCCTCAACCATTGCCGCCCCAGCTCCTAAACTTAATGGAGAGCCTTTGCGATCCAAGGATTACTTCGAGGAACGTTCAGCCCAAGAAATGCAGAAGCACTTGGTGATCCCTGACCGTTCCATCACTGAGACACTAGCCTGCGCGTGCAGATTAATTGCCTTTAAGCAGGAAGATGCAGGCCTTGCAGGCCAGATTTCTGCTCGTTCTTCCCGCGGAGATGGGTATTACTGGACACTGCGTTATGGCCTCGGCTGGGATGAAGCCACACCTGACGACTTTATCGAGGTCGATGGCGACTTGAATACGGTCACAGGGACCGGGATGCCTAATCCGGCTACTCGCTTTCATCTCTGGGTCTACGCGGGCCGGCCCGATGTGAACAGTATTGTTCACGTTCACTCCGAGTGGGTTCAATCTCTTGTCGCAGCTCGGCAACCGCTGGTTGTAGCACAGATGGATATGACCCCATTTTATGATGACTGTGCCTGGCTGGGTGACTGGCCTGGTCTGCCCATTGCCGACCAGGAAGGTGTTGTTATCACCAAAGCTATTGGGCAAAATCGTTCGATCCTGCTGGCTCACCATGGGCTGCTGACAGCTGGCAAGTCAGTGCAGGAAGCGGCATATCTCTGTGTCAAGCTCGAACGGGCTGCTCGCATTCAAGTGAGAGCCCGTGTGTTTGGGCCGCTGAAGGAAGTGGATGGTGATTTGGCCCGAGAGGCGCGCGACTATCTCCTGCGAGACAAGGTAGTCAATGCCACCTTCGAATATTGGTTTCGTCAGACTCAGCCCATCAAGCCCCTATTTCTCTAGGCCCAGAGAGTCCAGCTGGATTCTTCGGATGAGAAGTAACTTTAAGCGGGGGAAAGGTGTCGAGGATTGGGCTGGTAATGACTAGTTTGGACATGGACCATCTAGGTTACACATTCCTAATAGCTAAAATATGAATCGTGAAGCCCTTGGCAATTAATGCAATGTTGTGATTCTAGAAGGGACCTATGCTCTGAGTTTGAAAGCCATCTAAGCTCAGGCGCAGGTCAACAAGGCGGTGATGGTTTTTTCCAAAGGTGTTGTCATGCTGTAGACATACACTGTAAGTTACAAATAAATATCGTTATCCGGTTCAAAACTTAGCCGACGTATTTAAGACGGATGTGTGAAAGAGATAGTTTCACCACGCACTTATATAGGTGCAATGTAGATTTCACCGACATCTTCCCCGGCTGGATCCAAGAAATTAACTAACAAGGCATCGTCTTGAAGTTAACTTATCATTTAGATAAACTTTCCCATAGATGGGAATGGAGGAAATTCTTATAGACACACTGAAGGAAGATAACCGTCTTTAAGATAATGGGGCTAAACCCCTATTCTACCTAGGTAAGCTACAATATAGCCAGAAGAGTTAAGTCGACAACGACGAGAGCACTATACTATGACTTGGAGGGAAAGCAGAAAAAGAGAAAAAGAGAATACAAGGAAAAAGGAAAAAAGGGAAAGCGGTCTTTATCATCATGTAAGCTATATTGTCTTTTGAGGGCAAAAAGGCAATCTCGAAAAACGATTCGTCGTGTCAGTCGAGCGTGTTGGTTATTATTTTTCTTTTCCGGCTGGTAAGAAGAAAGCTCCTAAGCGATTCTCTCTGTTTATCTAGAGATATATGTGCATCAGACATCATAAGGACATTCCGGAGATCAAACTCGCGTTGAGGAACACATTTATGTACTAACAAGTCCTCGCCGGGACTACTTAAATTTAGCTCTCACACAACAATCCAGTCTCTCTAAGGCTCTTTAACAGACGGGTCGTTGCTACCTCCAGAATGTGTTCATCCACAGTAAAAGTAATCCGAAACCACCCGCCCTCTGGCGCTTCATCAAAGTACTTTGCACCATCCCGGATAAATAGCCCGTTACTCAGACATGCTCCAAGTAATTCTTCTTTGAGTGAAAGTACCGACTTGTGTGCTGCTTCTGGAGTTCTTGTCGCTGGCTCACGGATAAGCCTTGTCCAGATGAAGAAGCCGGCATTTCTAAGAAACAGTTTGTTACATACCGGTCAACGGAAACGTGTGTACGAATAGTGATGAACTAACCCTCCTGGTAGATAAGGAATTTCATATTTGTCCAGAAATGAAGTGAACGTAGTATAACAATTTGCCAACCGGTCTTGGTTAAGCCCTATGAACTTCTCGATGAATGGCTCATCCAACAGGATGCGTGCCCACATATCTTGAGTGACATACGCCGGCCAAGAGAAAATACTGAGAGTGTTAAAGTGAGCAATCAATCAATCATTATGCTCCATCCCTTCGTTGCCGGCAGCTTACTTGAGGGTGGCCATGGCCTCGCGAAGGGCAGCATTGCGCGTGTGGACGGCACCAAGTCTCAGCCCATTTGCACAGAAATCCTTGCTCATTCCATATAGCACGTGAACCCGCTCAGGGTGGATGAGGCTGGCCAAATCGATTGATAGCAAAGAACGGAATGGCTCTGCATCAAGACAAGATGGGTTTCTAAAAGTTGAATTGGCGTAAATCTCATCCGAAATTAGGTGCATCTCATGCAGCTGACAAAACCTTGCAATCTCCTGTAACGTTCTCGTCGACTGTGAAGCCGTAAGTTTATTAGCAGCGTGCAAAAGTGTAACTCATTCATCCCTGGGATCATCATACATGGCATCGTCCTAGGGGGTTATGTGGGCTGGGCACATTCCTAGTTAGAACAAGGTGACTCTTAACGTTTAGTGAGGCGCTCTCACTTGGATATCAGCACGGCACGGATCTTTACTCCGCTCCTGTCGTATTTTTCCAGAGCATCCTGTAGTGCTTGGTGAGTGATCTCAGGGTCAAATGCATCAAGGAGATGGTATGGTCGACCCTTTCGACGATATGATACGGGCAGTACCCGAGCACGACTCCTCAATTCGATATCGGTGATGAATCCGGCATAGAAAGGTTGGGGGACTAAAATCCCATCACCCTCGTCACAGATATTCCATGTCAAGCAGTCGATAGCGGCAGCGAGACCAGACGAGATTATCAATTCGTCTCCTGTGACAGGTATAACTGGACCGAACCGCCTGTTAATAAACCTACTAAGGGCCTGTAGCAGCAAAGGTGAACCATTTGGTCCGGAGCCATAGGTCAGATGTGCAGCAAGATCGATTTCGAACTACCAATGTTACGTCAGCACATTCATTGAAGGGGGACCTGGCGGTTCGGACATTCGCCTTGATGTGTGTGGCAAGTTCTTGGTGCATAAGTGTACTTTCCGCAAGACCAAGGTTAATTCTAGTAGGTTAGTGCCTAAGTTAGTAGAGTGATGGAAACTTTCAACAGTAACAATTGGTCGTTCTGACTCACCTGCCGTCGGGTCGAGTGACACTATCGTAAGGCTTCGACAGTGTTTTCCGGAGATCCCGCCAGTTCACCTCTCGAGAAAGATTCTCGAGGGCTCGAGCCGACAAATAATCTTTGGGCTGCATATCGTGATCTTGATAGGGAACTTGAACTGCGTAGCATCCCTTTTCCTAATTATGAGGCCAATATAGTACTCAATTGGTAAGATTGAAAGCGAGTCGAGGGCTGTGACGGTCTTGACTTTCGCTAAACAATACTTTGACACCAGCCTAGGTTGCCTTCCTAAAGGTAATTATTCATATTTTATAACGATCTACGACATCATCTAACTTAAAACATGTAATAGCCGAACCAGCAATGGTGTGAGGGAACCTACCTAGTCAACCGAATATCAACACCCCGCCTATCACAGACCAACGAGTCGGGTGCTGTAGCCAAGACATTTGTGAAGCGGGTTCCCGTGCCGATATGTCTTTTTTTTTTCTCATGATTGGATAACTTGACATCCGCAAGTCACATTGGCGGCTTCGGAGCGCTCGACCGGATCGTGTTCCTATTGGCCGCCTGTAACCGGTAATTCGGTTGGGATACTAGCGAAATGAGTGCCATGAGCACATATTTCAGTTTTTCAGTTTTTTAAGGTTACTACTACCTCAGAAATAGTTTAAAATTTGAATTTAATAAAAATATATTATAAAAATATTTAGAAATTATATATATTATTCTTATTAAATTAAAGAATTATATTTTTTTTCTTAATTCCTAAGATTAAAATTAGAAATAAAAATAATAAAAGCTTATAAATTTTCTAAATACCTTTTACTTAGCTTAAATAATTATTTTTAAATTATATAGTTATATAGCTTATTATAATTAAATAACCTAGCTATAATAGCTTTACTTAATTTTTTTTTCTTAATTAATTTATTATACTTAAATAACTTAGCTATAATAATAGCTTTATTAATAAAAGATAGCTCTTTTATATATTAATGTTATTATTAAATTCCTTAAATTAGAAGAAGAATTAATTAATTTAATTTTTTAATAAGAACTAAAAATTTAAAAAAAAAAAAACGAGGAGAACAATCTGAAGTTTGGAATTCACGGTCATAGCAGTCATTTCTTTAGTGTCCCACCGTAGATATAGCCAGCAAACCGCATCAAACCATCCCCATTATACCAAGATCTCCCTTCAAGGTGACTGCCCATCGCGTGATTGGAGAGAACGATCTTGGTAATAGCCAAGATGACCGCGGGGATGGGGATGCTTAGGAGGGATAGAGGTCGACTGGACAATTAGAACAAAAAGTCCGTCAACGGGGCATTCAGCCAAAACATATCATCAATGTTGAAATCGAAACCTCCAAAGTCCACCGAGGCATTCACATCTTCTCCTCCCCCCAATGGTGTCGATTCATCAAGAACCGAAATTCTATGCACCTCGTCGAGGGGAAGTCTTGTTTCCATGTTTCCCCTTTCGGATGACCTATTAAGGCCAGCGTTCTGGACCTTGGTCAACAGTATCTCGAGCGCGGCTATGCAGCGCTCGGCGGACTGGCTCACTCGCGAGTAAGCTTGCAACATCTGGATGGCCCTATCCCAGGCGTCATCCTGCGTGTCTGAACCGCAAGGAATATGGTGTTTTCCAAGTGGCTGCAGGCGCTTCGCAAGTAGGACTGTTGCGGCAGTGTAGATGACTTATTTTCACTGGTTAGCTCTACTTAATTGTGGAGGAGAGAGGAGAGAGAAGAGAGGAAGGTATGCTCTTGGTTCTTACATAGAACTCCAAACCACCATGCTGGAACCGGGCCGGTGACGGTCTCATGATTGAAGTTTGAGTGTAGAACGTCGATCATCTCGTGTGCCAATTGAAAACAAAGCACTGTACACTCTACCATCAAAGGCTGGCGTAGCGTTTTCTCCTTTGGAAACTCCGAACTACCAAAACTAGCCTCCTCAAGATACAGTTCTGCAAGAATAGGCCGAAGAAGGCTTATTCGTGCATAGAGATAGCTTCAGAATTCCATAGATCAGTATTGGGTACCTGAGAATGGGCAGCAAGCCAGACTGGAGGAATTACCGAGCGCGGAGAACGACACGCTGTCTCCGAAAGACCAGGCCTTCGTCCTCCTCAATATTTTTGCTGTAATGCAAGTGAACAGGCAAAGTCTGGGCCCATTGAACGAGGCGATTGTCTAACTGAAATATCGAAATGAGGTGATTTATTTCTCCGTTCCTGAAGCCCCTCTGTTGCCGGTAGGCTTCATGCTGAATATCGTTGGCAATTTTGAACAACTCAAGGCTTTTGACAAAGAATGCCATGATAGTTATGCCCCCATCTGGTCGAGTGGCGGAGGGCTGGGTTTGAGTGTCTAAAAACTCATCGTCGATCATTTTTGGTAATGGAACAGATTCAAAGGGGGCACTAGTGATCGTGCTCGGCCGCCCAAAAGTCATGGACAGGATTCTGGATATAAATCAGTTTCTTTCATGCCCCAGTCTCGCTCAACGTTGACCCCGCATACGTACTGATCTTGATACACACAACCGTGCCAGGCCTTGCGAGCCATTTCTGTCTCGCGATAATTTGAATTCTGAGCGGTCGGTAGGTGGAGACCAAGGCTTTGAGCCATCCGGATGGCAGAGCCGATGATCATCCAGCATTCATGAATCTCGCACGTGCTCTGCAGATATAGGCCCATCAATAGCATGCATTGAACCCGCTCGATGGATGCACGACCATCAGATGGGGATCCAAACAGCTTGAAAGCCCGGTTCCAAAATACCTCACCTACCTCCCTTCTCTGATTTGGTTCTATGGCATCGGAGAACTGACTACCCAAGGCGAAAATCAGGTTCATCAAGCAGTATAGTGTTTGTTCGGGGATTTCCGATGTTGTTCCCTGCCATACGGACTCGTAAGCGTCTTGAAATACGGCCCTATCATGAATTGGAAATGTTGCCCAGACGAGATCGTAGTAAGCTTGTAGGAGGCTATTAGCAAATCTTCTGTTGGGCAGCATGTAGCTTTGAGGGTCCCTTGGGTCAAGCCCCGAGGCGTTGCCGACATGAGTAAGACTTGGTCTCGGAGCCAAGTTGTGTTCCTGGCTGCTCTTCGCCTGTGGCGACTGTCCCAGTCGGGCATCGATCGCTAGGTTGATTTGCTTCAAGAATGAACTCGCGCTGCTCCCACCAAAGAAACGTGTGTCGATTATGGAGTCGCTGGTCATAGGTACCGCAGCATCAGTACTCCGAGAATCAGGTTTAGAACGATTCTCTTGTGACGATACCACAGACTCAGTTGAGCAGCAGCTCAACAATCCTGACCTAGACAGGAAGGTCTCGGTAGCTGGATGTGAAGACATCGTCGACAAGGACCTGATTGGGGATGCTGGTTTCGATACCCTGCTTTGCAAGGCCCACGGCTGTGACAATTCGGATCTGCGGCTACGCTGGTCTCTCTGCCCAGTATACATGCACCCGGTTTCCTCTCTCCCAAGGCAAGGTCCACAGGCTTGCACAGCGGATCTGTTTAGTCGCGTAATGCCACCTTGAATCTTGAAGGCTGAACTTACTGGGATGCTGGCCGTCACACTTGGCTTTCCTCCGACGGCAATTAATACAGGCCTTAGATACCTTCAGCCGAGTAGCCATTGCTGTTGAGTGGGCGACTGCTTTACACCGCCAGGGTTATGTGCTGCGACGTTGTCTCTTTGCTCGATTACGTTGAGTGCACCGATGCAAGTTCAAGTTTCCCCGCCAAACCTTGCCAGGGCAGTACGTCAGCCCGGCCCCGCTAAAGAGATATACCATGGATAAGCGGGTAGCGTAGATTGCGAGATTTCAGACCGAGCTACCAGCCTACCCATAAGGTAGGTCACGTTATCTGCTGTAGTTCTCCTTAGTTAATTACATGTAATAAGACACACAATTGCCACTGTACCTCGAAATTGTAAGACAGATACCGTGGATACTAACAGACCATTTCTCTTTGAGCAAGGCCATACCAAGTTTTTCATAGAATTGTTTGCGCCATTGGGGTCCTCTGAGGTTGTTAGAGTTTTATCCACTATTGTCTACTGGCTCAGACTTCGAGTATGCGTTTGATAATGAAGATTGATCCCAGAATCATACACTATAGCCACCCGAGAGCTTAGTCGGCAGCGGAAGTTATCCACTGGGTGCCGTTAATCAGCTCACGCGCCGAAACTCTATCAATATCGTCACTTCGAGCACGAGGAGTTTCCGCCCTAAAGCAGGATCCTGAAGGCCACAGACACTCCAGCTACAACTTCCCAATACAAGAAGGATCAGAGATACGTAACTGTGGCAGATACTGTGAACATCTGAACGCTTGTAGTCTCGATAGTGCGGTCGATCCGTCTATAAAATATTGCTTTTTTTTGCAGAGCACCCGACCTTGAAGTCAAGAAAGTAACAAGGCATAAAAGGCACCTGGATTGCAACAGTACTGACCATGATGTAAGTTTTATCTCTATTACTGTGTTCGAGAAGAAATCAACATTAACTCGATCATCGCATCGTAAGGGACGGATCTTTTGACAGAAGGTTAAATAAAACTATTTCTCGTAATTCCGTTGGCAGTGATAAAAAACAATATCCCGCGGTAGGTAAATAACCTAGATCAACATTAACAGATATGACTTGTCATGTTACTCAGACCTAGCCTCCTGGCCTCCAGATATTTTGTCGGCAGAAGCAAACATAATTCAGCCCACCACCTTGAGGAGTAAAGTCGCCACGAGGCCGAGATCCACGATTGGCTGTCCTGGTGGAACTAAAGCAAGGAATCGTCTAAGTCCTTTCTCTGCACAGGGATATAATCCAACCATGCGGTGATCACAGCAGTGTCAACCAAAAGAACATAGATGGAGGTGGATACTTGGGGGGGGGTTAGAATGGCATACATCTATTTGTAAACGGGCTAAAAACTAGAGGTGAGAGTATAGCATCACTTTTCCATGTGACTAAGCATGATCCGGGATTTCTCTGCTCGAGGACTAACCAGAAAATAGTTAACTAGCTCTATAGGAGAAGGCGTTGTATGCGGTGCTAGGCGAGCTCCCTTGAGATCGCAGGAAACAACGCCGCACCATGCCGGAGTTCGATCCGTGCGAGGTGCATGCCAAGACAGATTCTAGAGCTGGCACACAAGGGTGCAAGGACACCAGCCTTGGGCGGTTGAGAGCCTTTAGAGGCACTAATAAACCTCTCAAGCATGGACCTAGATGGCCCATCGTCAGCAATCGTAATCAACTGGGTACTTTAGACCTAGACGCACATCTCTCTGACTCTGTATATATATATCCCGATGATAGCTATAGGCTCATATGCCGATGGTATTGCCTTGAGGGACAAAGTAGCCCGCTAAAGTCGGTCCATCTCTTGGCACTGAGCGAAGTAAGACTCCAGGGTCTGCACCGTACAAACGCAGAGTCTCCTCGATAATGGCAAAAAGATACGGCAAAGCCGCAAGACCGGAATCCGTGTAATCTTCTGGGAAGTGCCAACTTCAGCTTCTAACTGAGCTTGGACGGCTGGACTGGAGAGGATGGCCCAGGCGAGGTACCCTAAACGAGCAACAGTGAAACTACCAGCTTCGAAGGCTAGCTGATAATTACGGAAGAGAGACCGAGCATAAAGTTAAACAACAATGGAAGATGCCAGACCCGACATCTCAACACAATGAATACTAGCTGATAATCACTTGTCACCTAACAATCATTCTTCTCGGCGACAATCATAGAGAATATGTCGATGGCGCGGGTGTAAGATCCTGAGTTACTTGACTCACAGAGTAACAAACAGTAATAGAAGATGCCAGACCCGACATCTCAATATAATGCATAGATGCTGATGGCACCGACACCACTCCACATAATCTTGACTGACCGCCGTTGCGAGTTTATGAACCTCCTTTATCATGTTTAGCAGCCTCAGCACTGCTCGAATAAGAACGCATTCTAGCAAAGTTCGCACTATAGATAGCTCAGAGCTAATAAGGCTAAACTTAGTGGCGGATTCGATCTTTTACATATGGTCGGTTTAAGCATAAACTAGAATTTATATTTAAGGAAAGCTTTATAATATCATGTATAGTGTCTGAACAGGTCGGCGTTGCCTTTATGAGCCCGTTGGAGATCCTTATCACGTAACCTACAAACAGGTTAAATAGGGGTCTTTCAGACCCTCTTAGCTAGCTACGAATACAACCACCGTTATCTACTCACCTGAACCGTCTACTGCTAAGAGACCCGGCCGCAAAGCGCCCGGGACCTAGGCAGTGGTTCCAGAGGGATAAAGCCCTTCCAACATATAGCTTAATATCAGGATACCTCTTACAAAAAAGAAATATAATTTTATATGTATTATAATAAATAAATACCCTTTACTCTCCTTATTATTTGTTTCTTTTGCCGTAAACAAGGGTTATCCCAAGATCAGGCTACACACGTGACTATAACACACAGTTTTTTTTTTTAAACATAATTTACGGCCCATACCCGAACCTTCAACACCATAAAAACTCAAACATTTACACATTTTTACTCTCCTTATATTAATAAATATAAGGATAAAGTATAGTGTTTTATACTAACTCTATTTATATAACTCTATTTATACTTCAAAGTATAGCTATATATAGTGAATATAGTAAGTTATCCCTGCTAAAGTAGGCTACGTAACTGAAGAGACCTTAGTTACTTAATAGAAACTAGTAATCAACTATAGCTATGCTAGGTACACATCTACTTAAATCGAAACAGGCAATACATACACGATGTCGTATCTAATCGGTCGAGTAGTCTGAAGCCCGATCCCTGCACGGCTATGTTGCCAATTATTCCCGCGCCAGACCAGCTAATAAAATGGTAAGGAAAATTTGACCCGGCCAGCTGGTTAAATTTGATCCTTCGGCATGGGGCCCAGGGCTCCGTATGTATATCCCTCAAATCCTGAATAATGAAAGTAGCCTCGGCTGATTTACTCGTATAAATGGCCAATATAAAACCAATGACATTGACTGTCATCATGAAATGAGAATTCATTGAAACTATGGCAAGATGTTACAATCGGAATAGAGTCGATGAAGGCATAGCACATCAATCTATTACGACGTGATTAGCGCTTTTTTCTTCATCTTCAAGAGACGCAATTGGAGCATGGTCGATTTCATATGAACCAGCATGTAGTCCCGAGTTGCAAGTAGCTTCGTGGTGAAACTGACAATAAAACTCTACTTAGCAGGTACACGAGACATTCTTTGCCCCCAATTCCAAGAGAGGTTGGACAAACAGACGTGGTACATCCAACCGAGCTCCGTGGACTGGAAGACTGGAGGAGCATTTGATCCATCGTGTTCAAGCACGATTCTTTAATTGTACAAGCATTGAGTCTATGCGAGGCCTCAAATTCCTAAACGAGGGGTAATTCCGCAAGCGTGGGATATGCCATGGGGCAATCGGAGATGATGCATCTTCGTCCGATATATGGGGATAATCCGGGGTTGTGGTGGAGAGATGGGCGGGGAACAACGCCATAGGACCAATCCTTCACTGAAAGATGCGATGATCGGTGAAGAGAGATTTCATATGAAGCGGCGGTGTATATATTCAGCCGGCCGCCATCATTGTCACCGTCGCTTACCCCATATGGTTCACAACATGCCCAAACACCAGCCGCGACCATGCTTTCACATAAAAGACTTGCTCTTCTGGCCCTGTGCCTCTTCAGTTCCCCTGCCGCAGCTGATAATTCCACAAGTGGACCTCGAGTCACGGTGAAGAACGGCACATATGTTGGTGTTTATAGCTCACGGTACGACCAGGATTTCTTTCTCGGCATGCCATATGCCCAAGTAGGTGGACCACATCATTTGACTTTCAGCTTGGATTTCATTTAACAAGTATATTAGACCGCAGAACGATTTACCGTGGCGAAGAGTCTTAACCAGAACTGGGATGATGTTCATTCTGCCACCCAGTACTCACCCAACTGCCTCAGCTATGTAATCGAAGAACAAGGCCATAAGCTCTCTGAGGATTGTCTTTATGTGAATGTCGTTCGACCGTCTGGAGTTAACGACACTACAGATCTGCCTGTGGCATTCTGGATCCACGGCGGAGGTTTCACCACGGGTGGCTCGGCCTACGCCAGATACAATCTCTCTTTCATCGTGGAGCAGAGTGTCAAAATAGGCACTCCCATTGTCGCGGTAAGCTTCAACTATAGACTCAGTGCCTATGGTTTTCTTTCCGGTGGAGAGGCCGCTGAAGCTGGGATCAGCAACAATGGCTACCGTGATCAGCGTCTCGCCCTGCAATGGGTCAACGAGAACATCGCAGCCTTCGGTGGCTCGCCAGACAAGGTTACAATCTGGGGTGAGAGTGCAGGTGCTATGAGTGTCACTGCCCATATGTTTGCCTATAATGGTACAATCACCTCTTGTCTTCTTTTGGGGCAGACATCCTCTGGTGCTAACAGTTACCAGGTCGTGATGATAAACTCTTCCGCGCAGCTGCCGGCCAATCTGGCTTCGGAGCAACCATCACCAGCTTTACAAAGGGACTCACTTCATCCGAGAATGCCGATATTATTTACAATAATCTGGTGGCAAACACGACCTGTGCCCCATTGGTAGGCCAGTCTGGAAGCTTGGCCTGTCTAAAGAAGCTGCCAAGGGAGGAAATGGATTATGCTCTCAACGTCACCAAAGTCAGCGGTTTCGCCCCCATCATAGACGGCGATTTCTTCCAAGACTTCTCCACCAAGCAATTGGAAGATGGAAGATTTGTGAAGGTCCCAATCCTGGTCGGGGCCAACACGGATGAGGGCTCCGATATGAACAAGGGCATTCTCACGGGCAGCAGACTTGTGAATACTGATGCTGATATGAGAGAGGCGCTCACTTCCGTTGTCTTGGGGCAGAAGACAAACAAAACTGTGGATGAGGTAGTAGATGAGATTATGTATGTCTACCCCAACATTCAGGCTGTCGGGATACCTTCACTTGAGAAGTGGCCACATGTTATCGAGAAAAACGACTCCTATGCTCAGGAGCTAGGCGCGCAGTACCGACGGACCACAGCGTTTTGGGGAGATCTCAGGATGCAATGGGCGAGAAGAAGAGCAAACATCGCATGGCATAAGCACGGTATTCCAAGCTGGGCGTATCGTTTTGATGTTGTCCCCAACGGGATCAAGCCCTATGTTGGTGCTTCCCACTTCAAAGAGGTACGCTAATTCGTCGTCCCAACGCTGCTCTGTAGAATTCTGACATATATTTGGTACAGGTTGCATTCGTATTCCACAACCTGAACTCGGATGGCATGCCCACTCCCCCATTCGGTGGTGAAGAGCCATATGTAAGCAAGGCCAAGGCCGTGTCCGATCAGATGGCGACGGCGTGGATCAATTTCTTCGTCGGTCTTGATCCAAACGGTCCAAGTGGGCTCAGCATTACCAATAGCCAGACCTGGCCACAATATAACCCATCCATCGGAGGAGGTGTTGGCCAGGAAATCGTCTGGGACTTGGATGGAAATTACATAGAATTTGATGACTTCCGTGCTGAGGGAATCAATTGGATGATTGAGAACGCCGGTGGAGCTCTTGGATATTAGTCAAAAAATGACTGTACATAGGTTTTCAAAGTACTTTAACGGTTTCTAAATTGCTAGTTGGAACATGCATCCTATTTCACGCCATTAGTGCAAGTGGTGCTCTATCACTGCAGAGTAGGCGCAATGACCTCGTTTTGCTTTTGGCATCAACACCCTGCTAAACCTTGGCTATGAGAGTGTTTAGTGGCAGATTCATGGCTGGAATTAGGACGGGATAACATCCCTCCTGCCTCAAAAATATGATATGCTATTCATCATCAGACATGTCCTCGTAATAATCAAATTCCGAACCATCAGACTCTTCAGCCTGCGCAGAAAGAAGGGAGAATATTGATGTCATCGGGCACAGTGTCCGCTCTTCGCGAGGTTGGTCCCAGAACACGAAGCCTGCCTTGCGGAGAAAGCGCATATCCTCCTCATCTGGGATCCCTTGCCGATGCCTGTAAGTTGCCGCCCAATTTTCCTTTACTGCATTGTCTCTATAGGAATAATCAGGGTTGGATCTAGGTAGCCCCGTCATCAGACTATCATTGTGGTCACTGTATCCCGATAGATCGCAATTATGTCTGGGTGAAAATGGATCAAGCCAGGGCTCTTGCACCATGTTCTCAAAGGCCGATTCCATTTCCTGGTTGGATGCCGAAATGGGGAACTTTTCTCTAACGTGGCGAATATGCCTGACACCTTCTGCAATCTATTATGAGTGTATTAGTGCAATATTCTATGAATGAACTTTGCTATGCTCAGCCAGATATTAACACTTACCGAGAACTGGTGGAACAGCGCAGCACCCTCGCTGCTCATAGAGGACTTAGCTAACTTGCTGGAGACTGGATTTAACCCGTTAGTTATGAGAAGAACCCCGTATCATTTCATTCTAGGGCTTAAGCGTTACCAATTCTAACGGTATCATCCAGGTACTCGTAGACGGCCAAGATTTGATGGCACTCCCAAGGGTTATGCTGCCCGTAAAACCAGATAGGGCCGTCTGATCGTGGCACCTCGGATTCAGGGCCTTTTAAAATCCGCCCATACAGCCTGAGAAACAGTTCCACACAATAAAATGCACGAGAAATCCGGAAGTTCTCTGTGGCGGAAATAAATGCCTCGGGGAATGAATATCCAGGCCGGAAGGGGGTTGCCAAAGCAAAAACCAAGGCAAGCTGCGAGAATTCATCAACAAGGGTCCTGATTGCTTCGTGTGTGCGTGAGATGGAGTAGAGCTTCTCTACTGAAAGCTGATCTAGATGATTGCATATATCTTTCGGTTTCTCATAGATAGTCTGAATCAAGTTGGTAAGAGAGGGCGAGCCAACAGCTGGCTTCTCTATTTCCAGGGAGATGGCGTAGGGGAGTAAATCCTCGTGGATTTGGCTTTGGAGCAAACTTCGCAATACCCGGGTCCTATTAACGCGGAAAGAAGCGTCAAAATGTCGGCAGGCGAGTCTAGCAGGTGAGAGAGCTCTGACATGACCCAGGCTTCCGAGAATTTGGACGATGATCTCGCAAGGCAGATCGCTGACGACGGTCATGATGCCCACAACATCCAGCGAAAGGAATATTATCAGGCCTATTTTGTATCCCCCGGTGTACGAAAGCTGGATGCTGGTGCTGGGCCTTGTTTAATTGTGCTCAGAGGCTGATGTGGTTGAAATGCTGTTGGGGGTAGATCCATTTTTTTTCTTAGTGCACCGAATTGAATTTAGGTAGGTATGTGCTTACCTAATCATCGGCATTTCCCGGCAGAGGGTCAAACGGCTTCGAGTCGTTGCCCTCGCGGCTTGTTCTAGTCAAGCCCATTCGTGGAACTGAGTCGTCGATTCGCCTCCAAAGGGCCAAGGCTGGAATTAATTCCAAGCTGGTGTCAACAAGCTTCTCGCAGAAGTAGACGAGCTAACTGTCGGCAAAAACCGGCCACATCGGCATTTCACCGGATCAAAAACCTGAAATCAATTGGCTTCAATTGCTTCGCGTCTTTACCCCAAACCCAAACATCAATATCCGAAGTGCTACATTCCTCCGTCCATGGCTTTTGTGAAGAGCAAGACCGGCAAAGCCAAGGCGGGAACAGCCTTGTGAACAAGATGGAAGACCAGTCGACAGCCTCAAGGGGCTGCTGGACATGCAAAAGCAAGCATTTTTGACGCCGCCATTAAAATGACGATAGACTGCTAATGCGCAAGCCAGGACGTAAGATTGGCTGCGACAAGAGCCTCCCGAGTTGTCGCAACTGCATACGCACACGAAGATTATGCGCCGGTTACGGCCCTCGTTTGGTGTGGCGAGCCGAATCTCAAATACTTTCCCAGTGTCATAAGGATGCCAGCACTCTGTTGCCGTCCTGGTCCCGGATGCCTGTGAGAACTGGTGACAATCGCAAAGCAAAGTTTCTTAGATTCAACATGCAAGATATGGATCTTGCATGGGGCCGCCTGGACTGGCATCACGTGTTGGCAAAGTCCATTCCACGGCCACCATCGTCACTTATTCTACATCGATCAACCGATGGCCAACAGAGCATCGTCTTGGATTATTGTGAGTAGGGTTATAGATGATGACTGCAAGAGATGACATTTGCTGACGAGTCCCAGACATACAAGTCATAGCCCCAATGTGCTCGACGACTAATCTCGACAATGGATTCACGCACCAAGTCCTACCGATGGTATTATCGACGAATAATGCGCCTGGTGAAGCCCTCCTTAACTCAATGCTTTCAATCTCAGCTCATCATCGCTGGGGACCTCAAGAAGCGTGTGCATTCAAGGGGAAAGCCCTTCAGTCCTTGGGACAGTCTCTTGCGTCAGCAAGCTGCGACGGCGGCATCGGCAACACTGTGACGCAGTTGGCAGCAGCTATGATGATGTGCATGTACAGCGTACGTCGTATCCAGAGGCAGCAAAGGCCGATTGCCTTGTACTAATTTGCCTAATCCAGGTTTTCAATGCGGACGAGGGTTGTTTCTATGTTCATCTGAAGGGAGCCCGAGACCTTCTACTAAACTCTAACCAAGAGTACGGACAGAGTCAGGCGACCGACTTCCTCGTAATGTGGCTCATGTACTATGACGTGCTGGGCGACTTTGCTCACCCGCTGCAAAGTAAGGAGGATGTGTACGGCGCCTTAGTAGATCAGATCAAGCGGCAGAGCGACACAACTTTGGTAACCCTTCCCAGCCACTGAACTTTCACTGGATGAGATGACTGAGTCAGATACAGATAATCGGGCTACTGGGCTGCTCTTTCGATGTTTTCGAAGTTATACGCCGCACTAACATACTTCGGTCAAGCATCTTACGAGGACATAACGGGGCTGCCGGTGTCACCATAGCCGAAGAGCGGGGCGATCTAGAAAGGACACTGTTCTACACTAGCCAACGTATCAACGATGGTGAGTTCCTTCATATGACCGAAGAGAGACATGCGAGTATCCTGAGAACAGCGGAACTCTATCGGCTGGCCGCTCTGCTCTACCTGCAACGCGTGGTACCACTTGAAGGAGACAAAGATCGGAGAGAAACATACTTGGAACAGGCGCTGGCTATTCTATCAGATGCCAAAAGAGTCAGTAGCCCCTGGCCTTGTTTCATCATCGCTTGCGAGGTTACGATGGAGGATCAGCGGTCGCAGATCCTGGGGATTCTTGATACGATGGACACTACGCGCAAGATCGGGAATTTGCATGTCACGCGCGTGATTATTGAGACCATCTGGAAACAGAAAGACCTGAGGGGGCCCTCCGAGTCTTGTGGGTGGTGGTCTTGCCCTGATTTTGGGCTGTCAGTTCCTTGGTTCGCTTAAGACTGCTATTTGACAATGCAATGCGAGACTTCAGCAAGAGGAAGAAGATCATCTTTTTCGATGAGCACGGTATTCTACGTCAGCAATCGGCTCGGATGAAATCACTTGGGCACTCAAAGGCAGTGAGGCATTGTCGAGCAACGGCTGTGGTTCTATCTGTTCTGAAAACTCCCTTTCTAGAGTCTGCACAGTCCATCATTGTGCTACTCGCATGACCGTGGGCGGCAGCTTTCAATCCGAGAGGAGCGACCCGTTCAAATACTTGAGGCCCGTATCGCAGGCGATCGTAACCACCGTTTTCCCTGGCCCAAGCTCCTTGGCGAGCTGGATGGCAACCGCTATATTCAGCCCAGAGGAAGTTCCGACCAACAGACCCTCGCTTCTGGCGAGCCTCCGACACATGTCACGACCCTGCTGTTCCCCAATAGCCCGCACATCGTCGTACAAAGTCTTGTCCACATGTTGGGAAATAAACCCTGGCGCAATACCATCCACCCCGTGGGTACCCTTCCGGCCTTGAGATAATAATGCTGCCTCCTCAGGTTCAACGAGAACAACCCGAAGACTAGCTAGTTTCGGTTTCAGCACGCTCGAGACGCCCATGACCATGCCAGCAGTGCCAAAGGAGCCGCAAAACGCATCGATCCCTTCTGGGAACTGAGCCGCCAGCTCACTCCCGATCTGCCTGTACCCAACAAGAGCATCGCCGTTGCTAAACTGGTCCGTGAAAAAGTACCCGTCCTGCTTGCCCAAGTCCGCGGCGCGGCCCTTCATATCCGTCATGAGTTGCGGCGTCGCTTTGCCGGAGGGGCTGTGGGTGATGTCGACGGTGGCCCCAAACGCCGACATGGTTCGCAGCTTCTCCTGCGCATACGCGTCGGAGGAGAGCGCCAGGAATGGATATCCCTTGACGGCGCAGACGTACGCCAGCGATGAGCCGGTGCTGCCACCCGTGGCTTCGACGACCGTCGTGCCGGGCGTGAGCTGCCCGCGACGCTCGGCTTCCTCAATCATGGACTTGGCCATGCGGTCCTTGTATGAGCCCGTGGGGCTGAAATATTCGAGTTTGACATAAACGTCGGCCGAGCCTGTAGGCACGACCTTTTGGAGTTTTACGACGGGGGTGTTGCCGATGGTGTCGAGGCTCGAGGAGACGGGGAGGGGAGGAGTCATTTTGGTTTCGAGTAGCCCACACTGCCGTTGAGAGAATCTTGTATGACGTGACAACTGGGATGTCGTGTTTATCAGCGAGTGGTGGGCTTGTGATATATAACATAATGTCGCAAATGGAATAAGGCTATCAAACCCCCCGTCTAAATCCCGCTTCAAACATCATACTGCAACTGATTGAAAGGACCTCATGTTTCTTATGACTGAAACGGAATAATGTCAATCTTTGTTTCCACTAGCCATAACAAAACGGTAATAGTTCGCGATCGATAACAGCTTTTGGTGGGGAATAAAATCTCAACTCGGCATTCAGAGGGCGTAGTTGAAGAGCCTTTCCGAGGCATGTTTTCGGAGGGCGCAATTGAAGGGCCGAATTCGGGACAAATTTGCTCATGAGCCGAAGCTTGAGTCAGGAGGTCTTCTAACACACAACCTCTGGGCCGGCAATGTGCCGTCCGCTTCTCGGCAAATGAAACTCACAAGTGATGAGTGATGCCGATTTTCACGTTGCTAGCCGCTCATGTCATCTCGGTCTGAGCCAGACCAGCAGGTGGATGTGGACGCCAGAACTGAATCATTGGAAGGTTCTTACTCCGCCGAAACGCTTTGAAGGGGCAATAATTCACTATATAGTTCTCTTTATAAAGTGAATGGGCTTTAATGCAACTCTTACACCTGAAATAATTCAAAAACTATATTCTATCAACCACCTGAGACAACATTGGACTCTATGTACTCAGTTCATGAGTACCACAACGAAAGGACTAAACGAAACTCCTGGCGGGTGGCTTACGGATGAGCGTGAAGCCTACGAAAAGGCCTGTTGAGCTTGAACCTTCCTTCCCGCTGATGACGGCGCATGGAACCTCTACGTGAGGGAAAGCACCAAATGCTCATAATCCCCATTTCCATTTCCATTTCCATCTCCCCTCAGCTTGTTCCCGCATCAATTCTATCCTTGCCCATTGAACCGAAATCGCCGAAATAAACATCAGAATTCCTACCGCGACGGCCATGTAGAGATAGGAGTCCGGTGTTGAGCTTCCAGAAACCAAGACACCAGCCACCGGCGTTCCAACTAACCCAGCTGCACCTTGAAGCATGTACATGACGGCCGTGATGTGAGTCATGTTGGCCATGCCAAAGAGTTCCACCAGCGCAGGCGAGAAGAGCCCGACGTAGGCACTGGCAAATAAGCCATACATGACTGTAAAGGCAACGAACAGCGCCCTGCCGCGGTCCAGATCGGGAGCAACTGTGCTCGAGACCCAGAGGCCGGCCGTCGAAACGCAGCTCAGGAGCGTTGTCAAGAAGAATGAGTCAAGGCGGCCGATCCTGTCCGCGATGAAGCCGACGCCGATTTTCCCAATGGCATTACACGCGTTGCTGAGGGCTGTAAAGTTGGCGCCGTCTGCGTCACCATAGCCGAGTGTCTTGGAATACGCCGCAATGTAAAAGACGGGAGTATAATATGCCGCGCTCTGGAAGAAGGCGTTGATTGCCTGCGCCAGGAACTTGCGGGTGAACACGAGGCTCTTGGGCGGCAAGGGAACCTTGAAGAGCGCAGTGGCCCAACTAAGCTCGGCATTGCTCTCTCTCAAGGAAGCCGCCATTTGCGGCTCCCAAGCAAGAGCATAGCCCGATATACAGATGAGGGCGGTATTCAGACATCCTGTGAGCCGGAGAGTGTTTCGGAAGCCAAGCTCTCGGATGCAGAGGGTGAGAACCGGAGACCACACGAGGCCGCCAATACCCGTCCCGGCAGAAATGATTCCCAAGCAAAATGCCCTATGGCGGCCAAACCAGCTGGGAGGAACCACCATGGACGGCATGTAGGCCAGGCATGTGGCAATCCCGATCAACACCCCCTGCGCCAGTTGAAAGTGCCACAAAGCAGTGCCAAAACTTGCAAGCACGCTGCCGATACCGTAGAGCAGTCCCCCTGCATAGATGACCGGCTCTGGCTTGAAATACTTTGTCCACGCAACGACATATGGTGCTCCCAGTTTCATCAGAGATGCAGCGATGCTCCCTATCAGCGTGATTTCGGCGGATGAGGCCCCAGTGAAGGGATTCCCGGGTTCTCTCGACAAGTCTTCGTATAGGGACTGGTATATTCCGAAGCTGAATAGTAGGCCGCAGCCGGAAAAGTTTAGCATGAAGGCGGCCACGACGATGGAACATTGACGCCTGTGAAAAGTCAGTGGAATGCCACAAAAAGTCGAAATGATTGGTCCATCCTTACCATTTGGATGGTTTTCTCGGCCCGTCAGAGAAATTGTCTTCGGTGTCCATTGCCTCCCTTGACCGATCGACCGAGGCGATCTTTGCTTCCGATGCCATTGTCGTTGTCGTGTGCTGGCAAGACATACATCAAGAGAGGTGTAAGTGAAGCGTGGAGAACAGAGGACAGCTTCTAGAAGACATTTCGACGCTTTATACAACTACCCAATGCCGCAAAAGATGAAATGGACTGTTGGGATGATAAGTGGGAACTAAATCAACGTCCGTAGCCGGAGCAATGGCGAAGTTGGATTTATATTGCCGTTGCATCAGCAGACCGGGATTCGGCCCACTTGCTACAGAGCCGAGATTTCCCAGTTCCACTCTAGCAAACCGCCAGGCAATCTTTTGCGATCTTATCTACAGTGGAGAGAATGAATTTCGGACAACTTCCCCACATGTACGTCAAGACGCGATTTTCGCGTTCACAACAAGACATACCCTTCGTCTTTGTAATGTAATTATATAGCCAGACGAGTGTCAATATAATAAACATACAAAGTACTATTTACTTAGCTATATAAAAATAATAATAAGATTAAATCAAAGCTAGATAAGCTATAGAATAACTAGTCAAGGGCCCGTACTGCTAAAAAAAATTCCACACGCTATCAATAAGTAGATCAGTTCAGCAAAAATCTAGCCAGGTTCTCGATAACCCTCGACATAGAAGTATAGATGCTTCTTATGAGTCCGCATGAGAAAGAAACGAACCAAATTAAGGCCCTCGAATGCATGCAATAGCAAAAATGCGTAATCTGGGAATCGAACCCAGGGCTCCCCGACGCTGCTCGGATGGCAACGGAGAATTTTACCACTAAACCAATTACGCTGGTTGATGACTAACGGTTGGCTGAATTACTCCTTGATTCACAGCTGGCTTGCCTCTCTGGTTGATGGGAGTCTTCACATTACACGAGGAATCAAAAAGGATCCGTGAAGCCTAGAGTAAAGGAAAGGGACCTTGTAGTGGAGTTCCGGAAAGTGAGAGTATCAGCTACACCTAAAGATAGATATTCACAAACCGCATTTCCCCTCAAGCCCCAGATATCAATGTATAGTTATTGCTGTTGGTGTCTTTGGTAGGCGGTGAAATCCAACTTGAAGCGGAGTTCTGCCTTGTTTTTGTTGTTTAGGTAGGTTTAGGTATCTTGATTATATGATCTGGAAGATTGGGCAAGATTTTAGCCTTTAATGATGAAACCTTCTCTCAATGCTAGTCAGATAGAGTAGTCTCGTCAGAGGGTCTTTATACTGAAGAGAAACGTATTCGCTTCACACGCTGCTCCTTAATCAGAAATGTGCCTCGAGTTACTGAAATAGCAGCAAGTCCAGCAAAATGGCCATATTGAGCTCCTAACACTAATTAACGTTGCGGCCGGAGCACCATCACCAGAGCCAGAACGAATTATATCCGCCTCGGCTTCAACAGTCATTATGATATCATGGTACAAGAGGGGGTGCAAAGCAACCGGCTGCTCTAGACCTCCGGCGATAACAAAGACCACGAATTGGGGGTCGGCTGACCAGCCCTAGATCGCCCAACTAGCACCGGTATAGCGAGGCTAAGCTTATTTGTATGAAAGCTGAACCTACGAGCTACACTAACAACCACACGGACACGGCTGAACAGAGCGTCATCAATTAGTCTCAACTTTGAAAAGTGCTAGCGTGATGAATGTAAATCTGTATATATACCACCATGACGCCTTGCAGTTTCGCTAAACCATTTGATCTGCAGGTCGCATATCAAAGCGTCAAATTGTCGACTAATATTCCACCACGACCGAACGACGAACCCTGGGATATTTTAGAACCTAAGCAATTCCGTCCTCTTCCGCTAGAACTCAAGAAACTATACTGTTTCACGATGGCTAAACAAAACTTGATACCGACCGTTTTGCTCTTGTCCTGTGCGTTGCTGGGAGGTTATGGGGCTATGTATGCCTCATTCAGAGACGGCTTCTTCGATGCTCTAAGAGACTGTGTCTACCCCAGCCCAACAAGGCCAAGCCACTGCAAACTCCATGTTCCTCATGCTTCTCAAATGCCCAAATTCACTGGAGTGCCAGTTCTTGACGAAAATTTTGCCCTTTTAGTCGAGTTCTTCCAGCAAGGTTTGCCGAGAATGAATCCCGGCGGGATAGAGAGCTTCGAGGACATAGTAGCCACGCTCTGCTGGACTTCTCAATATGGTGCTATCTGGACAATGGTCTCTCTTGAGGGATTGAGAAAGGGCAATAAAGGCACCGCTGCCGCCTAGTAAGCTTATTCTCCTGTTTAACATCAAAGATTGCATCAACTGACGTTCAACTCTAAGTACTGGTGTATGGGGAATGATGTTCCAACTTCTCACGGTCACCATTTTCTCCCCAATCTATTACATCTCTCAGTTATATCTATCACCCGCTCAAATAAGTCAGGCTCACGCAGCAGTCGACCTAGAAGACCTTGAAGCACTTCCCAAAACAATTGCCCTCACTTATCTTCTTCCAACCTTGGGCCTTATTCTCCCGCTCTTTGGTCTTATGTCGCCCAAGGTTGCTTATTACGCCATTAGCGTATGGCAGCTTTTTCCGTTGCTAAAATCAGCCGTCCATCCTTTGGTGCGCTCTAGAAAAACATTGAAGGAGGGCGAGAAAAGCATAGTTGTTGATCAAGGCGGCGACGGCTACAAGAGAGCTCTGAACAGGGTGTACAGGTTCGCTCTATTACTGGCCGCGAGTACATACTTCTTACACTTCAGCTCCATCTTACTCAGGTCACAGTCAAGTCTCTCGGCTACCTTGAAGGGATTCTTCATTCCGGGGTCTCTATCGCATCCTCCCACGTTTGCTTTATTCAACCCCCCCGTCTCAGCATCCGCCGGTCAGGACATCGTCATCACTTTCCTCAAATGGGACCTTTATTGCGCCGGTGCCGCGCTATTGATATGGTCATCCACACATGCGTCCCGAGTTCTCGACGGCTCTGAAATGCCCCGGACAATTGCAAAGCTCCTCCCGTTGATGGCTTTGGGTGGACCCGTCGCCACAGCTGTGGCCTTGCTGCGCCAGCGAGATATGAAACTACTCTCTAGGCCGAATGCTACGAACTCGGGTAAAAAGAATAAATAATGAGTGCACCATGCGTACCCGGCCAAACGCGCCGCTGGTTTCGTGTGTCCTGTGGCAGGTACGCGTTGTTGAGATGGAGGATTTGCCCGCGCGCATTCAAGGGTGGCCCAGGTCAGTCAACTCCTCGGCCACTGTCCCAAGTGGCAGTGATGTCAGGCGACAATTGATCTAACTGCTACGCGCAAGCAATAATGTTACTCTTTAAAATAGGCAGGACTTAAAGCGTTCATCTCAGTATTTCAGCTAATGTCTATATGTACAAGTCCAAGTGCGCTACGCGGTAATATGGCAAATGTCGATTAAGTATCACGGTAGCAGGTATCAAGGCTTTCATACGGTTTCAAATAATTCAATCAAAGGCTTTTTCCATTTCCAAAATGTTAAAAATACAACTTCATCTCAGATGAAGTCGAAGGCTATGTGCTTAAGAAGAAGAAGTAGGGACAGCAGTCTCAGTGACGGTGGCGGTCACCCACTCGGTCACGACGACGACCTTGACCCTGTTGGTCTCCACCAGCACTTGGCCGGGGAGGGATGTGGTGCTTGGTGCAGCGCGGCTGGTGGTGGAAGGCCTCACGCGGGTTGAGAAAGTGGTTGGGGCGGCAATCGAGGTGCTGGATGAGCTGGTAGACGAAGGCACGACAACCTCGCTGGTAGTGGTGGGAATGATGACCTCGCTGGTGGTTGTAGGAATGATAACCTCGCTGGTGGTAGTGGGTACAACGACCTCGCTGGTGGTAGTAGGGACGATGACCTCGCTGGTGGTAGTAGGCACAGGAGCCTCGCTGGTTGGGGCCGGGACGGCAGTGGTGCTCACGTCGCCTGAACCGCCACCGGTGCCGTCCTCGTACTCCCAAGTGACTGTAAGGCGGCCAACGGAAAGGTCTGCAATCTGGGTGAAGACGCTTGGGGAGACGTCGATGCCGCCTGATACACACTCGCCACCGGGGCACTTATCCCAGACCTGGGCTCGGGCTGTCTTGCCATTTGCTGTGATCTTGATCCACTTGCCACAGACTGTGGCTTCGTTGGGGTTGGCCCATTCACCATAATCCAAGGCGGAGAGCGCAACGACGGCGTCGGCGTCGGTCTTGACCTGACCGCAAGAGCCCAATCCCTGTATAGACGGTTAGATGGGGAGGATTCCCGACGTCTCGAGAGACACTACTCACTTGATTGAAATAAGTCATGTCACCGGTGAAGGCGACGGCTGACGTAGCAGCGACTGTGGCGAGGACGAGAGACTTGAAAAGAGACATCTTGGTGAAATTTGATTTTGGTTCTGTTGATAAATCTGGCTTGGTTTGTTGGAGAAAGAACGGTCGAGATTTGCTTGCAAAGCTGGAGATCGAAGATCGAGGGAATGGATACGTTCACTTGGAATCGTAGAAATGAATGAGATGCTTTCAAAGCAAAGAAGAGCCGAAGGAGTGTGGCCTGCCAGGTAACCTAATCAAAGATCGTACAGCGGAATCGAAGAGCAGAGCTGGTGCCCGGGCGGGAGCTTATATATCTCCTCCTGGAGGGCGCCGAGCAAGTTCTCTGCCCAACGTGATGGCAGGGTTCATTGTTTCAGAATCTGCCTAGCTTCCTGCCCGGGCTGCCGGCGCGATAGATTCGCAATGAATGCACATGCACGTGTGGGCCTTTTCCATCCATCGAGGCAGGGTTCAGGGGATCCTATTACTCAGAGGGAGCCAATCCTGCATCCTGATCCGTGCTGCCAGTGCTACTCCTCTTCTTGGCAAGTCACTTCCGAGCGAAAAAGCGGAGCGTTTCACCTTTTTATGGCAAATTTCCCAGCTGTCGGTTCTTCGTAGCCAGCGAGTTTCTCGATATCCAGACTGGACACTCAGATCTGGGGGAAAGGACGACTTGAGATCGAAACAGGAGCGCAAAGCTACGTTGACAAAAAACCATCAAACTCATATCATCGACCTTCGACCCAGCGCAACCGGCTGTGCCCTGTACAACGTATTCTAGAGAAGCCAATCAGAGCTTACCCGTGCTTTGTGTGTACCTTGCAGAGTGAGTGGAGGGGTTCAAAGGGACCGAGAGCATTGGATCACGACAAAAAAAGGCCTTGGCGAATAGGAAACGAAGATGATCAGCGCCAACACGAATAAAAGCACGCAAGTTGTCACTCAGCTGGCCCTGGCCCCCTGCATTGATTCTCCACCAGGGTGCAGCATAAGGTTTTTCACTCAGCTCGGCGGCGGCCCAGTCAGCAAGCTCAAGACCAGAGCGACGTGGCTCGCTCCACGCACTAATTACAGGTCGACTTCGCCTCCCGCCATTGGATCCTTGAGGGCACACAAGTCATGACTGAGTAATGGCCAGCCCGTGAGAGCAGAGGACGGGCAGCCAACAGAGGGCGCTAACGCAGGCACGGCAGGGGATATCCAGGCACACTTCCGTGATGCTCAGGCACAATTCCTTCTTAATTTGGATCAAACAATGGCCCGAAGCGAGCTGAGTGATGCCACGACTTTGCCAGTGAGACATTTCGCTGCTAGCTGCTGTACCTACGCCGTAATCTAGAAGGTCTTCTGCCAGCTACGCGCTCTGTTCAGCACCGTGCTACATTCCCCTCCCCTAATGGTTCACTTCTTCTCTCCCCCCTTTTATTAGTGCACCAACCCAACCTCTGGGTCCATTCGCGGGAAAAGATGCATGTTTCTCCTCAGCCACCCTCTACTATGTGTGCTATGATCTATCCGGCCTCACCGTCTCTTCAATGCAGGTCTAGGCCGCGAACGCCAAAGTCCGAGGCTGAGCATTGCCCAGTGCACCAAGCCATGCCACAGTCGCTCTACCCACAATTAATTGCGATCTTCTCACCAAGAAGTCTCGGGCGCTTGGCTGGTACCACGTCACGCCTGGCCACACGTGGTAACACATCGGGCAGCGCGCGCGGTGTGGCCTGACTTTTCTCCTCTCTCCTCTCCTCATCATTCCTCAGCTGGATTGGCTGATTGGTACGTGCAGTACCCAAGAAGCATGTCAGCATCACTTGGGATCGGCATTAATCGCAAGCCTCCCCGGCAAATATTCAATTTCAATCTCAGCAAGCCACGGATATTCCGCAATTCCCCCATAGATTGACGGGTTGCTGCATATTAGCATCCTGACAACACATTTTAAACTACTAATCAAATCTACATGGGCTTCTTTTTTCCCCGGAACCAGGCGTGAGATTCCCCAGGAATACCTGGGTAGGCTCAGAATGGGTTCCCTCAATGTACCTCGTACACAAATACGAGAAACTGAGAGCACGTGCATGTTGATGGAAAACATTGGCGATGGCACGTGATCTGATGAGAGCTACCCTAGACTACCACGCCTGCAAGCACAATTTCGATGGTAGGCAGACTTCACTTGAGTGGCGTTGCTCGCTCTACGTAATAGAAATAATAAGTGAAACAAAAGGGCACTCACTAGAGTAGGTAATTTATGTGACAATTTCTTCATAGAGCTCCTAATTTGAGCAATAATCGAGCTGCCTGAAGTGGTAGTTCTTAGTGTGGAGTAACAATACCGATTTCAATTTATTTGAAGCTCCAGGTCCTCTCGGTGCATCTTAATTCGCTGTGTCTCCGAACGCTCCCTAGAATTTGACATCCACAGTAGGGCTATTTTTGAAAGGAGGTACGGCCGTTGTTCGGCTTACCTAGACCACCATAATCGTTCATGGCTCACGAAAGGTCGCCATCCATGAGACAAATGAGTGACTGGGTCAACGACTCTTCAGAGCTTGTTGAATTTCATATATCCATCAAATTCTTTATTACCAGTAAATACCGACATAATATTTCTTCGATCATACTATGTAGCGCCTTCCGTATTGTGGCAAACAGGTGTCAATGCTACCTGACTGTTCTGGATATCGGCGTTCCCGCCCCCCTGTACAGGTAGGGGCCTGGAGCGCTATGGCAATGATTACATGCCCTGATGGTGCTGCAAAGCAAATCTGGGGTGCTTGAGTATTCGCTTGCCCGACCCATCAAGGGCATCACGCCAATAATACCCTGTATTATGATGCTATTGATCCATCCAGGGAGGAGAAACACATTTCTAAGTAGAAGAAACAGCAATTATTTCATTAGCTTCATCTCTACCTGGAAAGTTTCCCCTCTGTGGCGTAGTTCCCGGTGGATCTAAACCTCCCCAAACTCACATACTCTGAACTATTATTGGAACTGGCACTTGAAATTTGCCACAGTGAGGATCTATCTACCAATATGTGTTGATGGCATCTTAACTCTCGGTAGAGATATTCCTCTGGCTAATCGCCCATACACGACTTCCAGGAGATTATGTAGAATCGAAGCTTGGAACGGCCAAATGTTCCAGTTTTTACTTCACTTAAGTTGCTGATTTCTTACTATCGATACGAGGCTGGACTGAACGCGAAAGTGAGAAGTAAAAATAAGCGATAAATTGTAGATTACTGGGGAAAAATCACTTGGCTGAAACTAATCGTAACCAGGTCACATTTGTCTCAATTACTGAGAGTAAGGGACCAGTCATAGAAAATTACCGATTGGCAACCGAGACAACTTCAGAGGAAAGAAAGACGGTATGGCTAATCATAACACCGAATTAAGGAGGATTAAGCGTTGAATTGTTGCTGCCTCCCGCTCAACTCCATTCCGTGTCCTCCTAGATCTGGCTTCGCTGTTTCTGAAGCCTGGCTTTGGTACCTTCAATGATTGAATCCTTGTCAAAAATATTTGTCACACTTGGGTGTGAAGAAACCGCCTCAGCCCATTTATAAAAGTTCGGGGCATTCTCCTTCAGGAGCGGAATGATGCTGGCCGGATAGACACCAGCTGAACTCAACGCCAAAAGACGGACAACAAATGAGCCCGTGAGCACCTGCAGAAAATCAATTAGCAAATTAAACAAGGTACCAGCATGATGCTAAACGGCACGGATCGCATATTTACCTCTGCGAAAGTGAGTTTCTTGCTCCCACCAAAGAATGGCCCTGCATCTTTGAGGAGCGGCTCGACCTCTTTGGCCACTGTAGCGACATAGTCCTTCGATATTTCCTCAAAAGCAGCCTCGGAATTAACAGAGCCTAATTTGAAAATATTTCCCTGAGTTTTGGAGAAGAACGTGTCAACGAAAAAGTTGATTTGCGCCCGCTTCAGAGCGCCTCCGGGCGCATTGGAAGCTGGGAGCAACTCTGAAGGGTTCTCATCGGCCAGAAACTGAGAAATGATCCCCGACTCTGCTAGAATAACCCCATTATATGAGATTGATGGAACTAGACCTCGGGGGTTTATTTCGAGGTACCAAGGGTCACGAGGGCGGTCTAAGTCGATAATAACTTCTTCAAACGGGATGTTGAGCTCAGAGAGGACGATATGAGCACGATGAGCCCCTTATCAATATATTCTACATTAGAAATGGCATCACGCAGAATCTTGGAATCACCAGCTACATACAAGGGCACTGTTATGATTTTTGGTTAGGCTCTCTCTTCTGCTTGATCTTCATGCTGGAGACTTACCCTGTGGTTGGTGTAGAGGATGATTTTGGTATCCGAGGTAGCTGCCATTTTCGATATGTACTTTAGATCATATACTTATCTTACCATCCCCTCTTTTGACGCGCATAGTTCCTGTCTTGGTCGAGATGAGCGGCATTTTTTTTAGCGGGATAAATACGAAAAATTCATGTTTAATCTATTTCCTAATACAAGATCCTGATTATTGTGCCATTGACATCTTTCGCTGCATCGTGTCATAGATGTCAGACTACAGCCATCGATGCTTTAAAGAATAAGTTGATGGTACAATTAGGACGGTTATCTATAAATAGAAAGATCGTTCTCACATATATTGCATCTCATCTCCAGCAGAAGTTTCAACTTGACTTAGTCCGATCATAGCTTATTGTTTGAATTCTACCCTATTCAGGAACGAAGGGCCATCATTCTATTCCTGAAGGCATTGCAGGTCGTTTTCTGTGCATTAGTGAATACCGAGGCCTGCAACCACTCCGAATATTTGATACTTTTTGAACACTATGAATCGGGGTATAATATTAAATGGAGGAGAAGCTGTCTTTGATAGCTTATGCTTCCTCTTTGCCGACAGTCCTTAGAGCCTTAACGCCTTCTGATTTAGATCCCCAGAGTCCATTGATATATGCCTAACAAGGTTTTGAATTCCACATAAAATCTTACAAAATCCGTCAGAACTGTCTCAGAAAATCTGAGAAACGGCGTCTCCAGCCAGTTCTTTCTCTGTAATTTCTCCTGGGCATTGGATCATCCATTCGTTCGGTGGCGTGATCTATATGACGTGATAAATCTGTGTGATTGATAGTGGTAGAGGTTGGTTCGAATATTCTTTCGCTCGTATCCGCTGACTGGTCCTTTGTGTTATCGTTCCTGGCGCCGTCGGCATGTGAATCTTTGTCGTCGATGTTCAGTTCGGCGCTGGGAAAAGCGTTCAGTGGATTCTGAAAATCATTTGACTGTTCTCGGTTTCCTTCATCGATGTGATGGGCTAGCGCGATCAGTTTGTGAAACATTTCTTCTATATTTTCGTCATATTTGGCTGATGTTTGCACAATTTCGCAACCAAACTCTGTTGCCAAACTCCTTGCCTCCTCAACAGGTATTTCCCACAATTCCGGCCTGGTATCACTCTTGTTTCCGGCGAGGATCAATGGGAACGGTGCGTTTTTAATCGATCGTATCTGCTGATGCAGCTTCTTCGTCTTTTCGAATGACTCCCTCGATAAGAAGCTAAAGACGAGTATAAAGGCCGTACTTTCTCGGATCCATTCCTGTCTGAGAGCCAGATGTTCAGCCTGGCCAGCTTTGTCGAAGATATGAATCACGCATGGCTTGTCGTCAACCGTGATCTCCTTCCGGTAGCCGTTCTCAATGCTAGAGTCGAACTATATCTCGTCATCGTTTGTAAGTCTAACTAGACGCCTTATGTTGTTGCGAGTGGCACCTACCGTGTCAGCAAAGTGACCAAGAGAGAAACTGTTGCAGAGAGATGTCTTGCCAACGCCACCACTTCCTAGTAGGAGAGCTCTATGAAGAGCAAGCCTAGGACGCTTTGTATTTGCCTCCATCCGGCTTCCAAGACACTGAGTGTTTGCCGATGGTTTGTCAGAGACGGACCTGAAAAAGCAAGTTCATGATGGTCTGATCTTTCAATTAAGGGGAGGCCACAAGCAGGCGGGGTGACTGTGGCGACTGTGCAGGGTCGGACCCTGTCAAGCCCCTGCTCCAGGTCATCATGCGCCAATGAGATAGCACCATGAATAACGAAACAATTCCTACATAAGCCGTGGAGCGATGATACGACTATTATATAAATGTTTGTCGTGTCTCAAGTTACATTGGATTTTTGGGGAGGTCGCATGAGGTAGTCCAAATCTGGTGGAAAAATCAGAGTACGATCGTGTCCAACCCCTTTAACAATCGCCATGGTTTCGGTTTGCGCTGATCGCGCTCATTCGAATGTTCAAAAGAATCAGCTGATTTCAATTGCGATTTGTGGGTTTGGCTAAGCGATCGACTCGGATATATGGCTAACGGAGCTTGTTAATTTACTGTTTGATTTTTAGTTTGCGGCTGGATTGTCATTTTATTCTCAATAAGCCCAGAAAACTCTAACTGACCACAGACCTTAATCGCGGCATCATTTGTCGGTGATTTTGGGTTTATGTTTTGTCACACTGCAACATGTGCGTATCCTTCCATCTGTCTCTGGCTCTTGTTAATTTTGGATTGTGTGACGACACTGCGCCCTGCTAGCCTCGCGATCTCTGCCTCATGTTGAGAAACATGAGATGCATGGTTTTAGCTAGCTTAGCTTTGTATGTAAGGATTTCTCGGAGTGGGATGGGGATATCTCGAAGGTTATCTAGGTCGCTGTCTTTATTCATTTCGACCGGGTTCGACAAGAGATGAGAGATTATTGACAGTATGGCCGAAAGTGGAAAAAGAGAACGACCCTGGAAGATCAGAGAATGAGATACATTGGTGGTTGTCATGAGCTAATGGAGATCAGGATCAGGACTATACAATAAAAACAATGGGTGTGAACTTTGGACATAAACTTTCTGACATACAAAAGCGAGAATTTGCTGGCGACTGGGAAAGGTTTTAGACTAGACACAACCCTTGGGATCTGTGTATTTTGATCCAAATCTCATAGTGCATTTCCCATACTTGCGCGATGAATAGCTGTGATATAGGGGTACTATAAATCATTCAACATCACGGCCCGAGTATTGCCAAAATCGCCCGTTTGCCTTCGGTGAAGACTAAAATCGGGCATCAATGAAAACTGAGAGACATTCTACAGCTTTATTAAATGTATTCGTTAAGCGTGCGGATATGTTCTAGAAGCTGCAAAGCTGGCTGGTATAGCAGGTGGCGATTCTATCACGTAGCAGATCTTTGCCCTGATTAGAGACAGTCTTATATACCAGGGGAACAACGGCAAAGTCTCTTTAGTAGTTCTTATTTACGTACATAAAACAGTTTCGTCGTAAGCATCCCAATATGCAGTTAGCACCATAAGACTGTAGTCAAAGTAATGAAAGGCCGCAGGTTATTTCGTTTATATAGCGAGATATCTGTCGTAGGAATAATAGCTCGAGAAGAGATCACTGAAATGACACTTGTTATAAAAGAATATACGGAACTTAATAAGTAGCTTTTGAAACCATTTTGGCCTTAAGTCGAAGGTTTAGTCCGCTGATAGATACATGAAAGATTCGGCAGCTTGAGGGATCGCCCGCAAAGTAGTTAAGGATGATCTACAGAAAGTATTTATGATTTTTATTAAAGAATAGAGCCAGCGAACAATGCCAATCAAAGGTCACTTACCACAGTGACTAGTGGTCGAGCGTATGGGGAGCGTCTCTGTATGGATCGAATGGCGATATTTACGTGAGGATGCACATGGCTTTGCGCTGGAAGAAACGACCTTATGGATGTAAGCATAGATGAAGTTGAGGATGGTCGTGAAAAGCAACCGACTTGATATGGGAAAAATTGGACTTCGGAAGGATGAGCCAAACAATGACCAAGGGGGGATGTGAGGGCGTTAGGAGTTGTTACGCAGGAGCCGAGATATAAGGAACAGGAGCTGTGCCATCCAGGCTTTAGGATTAACGATTACAATGACCCCTATGGTTGTGGTAGTAGATGCTGCTGCGTTTCCGGCTTGTGTCCCGTGTACTAAGAGAAACTAACTCCCGATGAGCAACAATGTCGGTTCCGTTTGCTGTCGAACTCCTCGAAAGTCCCGAGACATACAAAATTATCTATTACTCGAGATGCTGGCAAGCCTGCTGCACAACGCCCCGCTCAGGCGGTTGATGTCCTTGGGCGATGATCTGAACAACTGCGAAGCACTTGGGGAATTGTCTGGCTCAATGTCTGAACTAGTTGCTGGCAAATTTGAATAAATTTAATGTTTAGCTATGGATATGTTGATATAATATGTCTGTCCTTCTCTATATGATACAACAACCGTTGTCCTGAACGTGTCTATAGCGGAAGCTGGAAAGGTTGCCCATATTCTGATCCAGAGGAGATTGAAAGGACTATCGCTCTATATTTTCAGGGTTTGCATAAAATAGTAGGCTTAAAGCTATAAATGAAGGTTTGTTTTTATCGTGGAGAGACCGGAAACATGGTGCTTAATCTGTAGGGAGAACATGCGAACATCTTTCTCTAGGTAGTTCTTGGACTGCCTAGGGCATACAAACATTTCACCCTTGAAAAGTTCCAAGCACGTCTCATGTTGCACAGCTCGATGTTTGAGAGAGCGGTCTTGGACTTTACGGCGTAGCTTGGGCTATTTGAAGATTTTGGGAATATCTACGCCAGGCAGGGATTTATGTAGGCTTCGGAAGTAAATTAATTGTCTGACCATTTATGCCTACGCATGCCGTTCTGATACTACTTCCAGAAATCCCTGACCCTTATTGCAGACTTGGATTGGATTTATACGATGATATAATTTGCTTGCGAGAATCAATAAGTTAAGCAAGCCTGTACAAAGTAGATGAATGCACAACGAGTGAGCTTCAGATCGGATTTATTCGCTTTATTCCCTCGAATTTCCTTTATTCGCTATCACTACTGTTGAACGAACATTCTTATTGGGGTTTCGACTTTACCATTTGTCACTGTTCGTTTCTCATCCAGTGTAGACATTGAAAAATCACACATTGGGTGTCATGCTTGACCACGATGTTGGCTCTAAACCTTGGGAAAGATTACTATCAACATCACTTTACTGTTCCAAGATTGATATTGATTCATGAACAATAATTTGGAGGCTTCCGATCGCCTCTTCTCGCACAACCCCACAGGCCCTTGCTGCCCGGTGTCGGTGTAAATGTGCCGTCAATAAGCGGGCGGGTTACCACGAAGTTTGTTACCAGTTAGTCACTCAAGTATGCTTTACTCAGATCCCGCCTGATTAAGCCCGATGACTCTTGCTATGCCACAGATCGAGCACTGAATACACCAGCTTGTTAGCACTGAATCTAGTCTTTGCTGCATACCAGACACGGCTGCCTAGACTGCACATTGGCTAATCCCTGCAACAAGGACGGGGGTTGCCACTAGATTAGCGTCAATGGCGAATCTCTCTCTCCGTGGACGGGCTCTTGTGTCTGACCGAAAACTCTGTTGACACACTCAGGCTCGAGGCCACCGCTAATCATTGTTCTTTCAGGCCTGGTCAGAGTCGCATTGGCATTTTGAGGGTGGGCCGGAAGCGTTATTTCTCGCAGACGAGGCGTTCTCCCTACATAAGCGCCGTGGTCACATTGTCTCGTGCATGCAGCTGTGACTGCAGATTCACTGATTCGGTGACCGGTTTCGGCTCAAGCGTCACGCGCCCGGCGGGGAACTGAGGCGATCCAACCAGCTATTTGACATGGATGGCGGTTTGTTTTCTTCCCGCAAGCCCACTTCTTCCTCGTTGAACCGTCCCCACCGGTTCGTCGCAAGATTTTCCCTCGCTTGCGACTCGACGATACAGTAGGCTGAACCAGATCGTGGTAACCCTTAGCAAGTAGCAACGATGACGCGAGCTAAGGAGTCACTCGTGCGCTGTGGCACTACTGCCCCGTCCTCAGGCGACAGACGCCCTTCACGACAGCCTGATGGTGCCCCCTCTCCAGTGTCTTCGCGTGACGAGGTATCAGTACCGACCGAGAGAACACCATTGTTGCAATGCCACGCTGGAGATGGCGAGCTTGGCCCACCCCGTGCATCGAACGGAAAGTCCAACTCCTTTGTCTCTAGTACCGCTATTGAGGCTAGTGATGATGATGATGATGATGCCTCGGGGGGTCGAGAGTTCATGAGCGAGACGGATTATAAGCGCTTTATAGTCATATTCCTGGTCCTCATGCTCACGCATTTCATAGCCTGCTTTGACGGGACTATCATGGCATCCAGCCATCCTGTGATTACCTCCTATTTCAAGTCTTCAAATAGCGCATCTTGGCTGTCTACCGCATTTCTCCTTACTAGCTCAGCCTTCTCGCCCGTGGTTGGAAGGCTGTCAGATGCAGTTGGTAGAAAGCCCATCTTTGTGGGAGGTTTGAGTGTATTCGCCCTCGCAACGGCATGGTGTGCTCTGGCCCAAAGCATGTTGAGTTTCATCTTGGCGAGAGCTGCTTGCGGTCTTGGGGCTGGCAGTATGATGTCCATGGTGAGCATCATGATGAGCGATTTGGTCCCAATAGAGTTAGTAGTGTTCTCCTTGTAGAAAACAAACAAAATAATCAACTGCTGATTGACTGATCTAGGCGACGAGGAATATACCAAAGCTATGTCAATATCACATACGGAATAGCTTCATCTTCCGGTGCAGCCATGGGTGGGTTCATGGCGGACACCTTGGGATGGCGCTGGGAGTTTGGCATTCAAGTCTTCCCCTTGATCGTGTGTCTGTCTATTGCCATGTTCATTATTCCCAGCGATCTGGGATTACAGAGCAAGGGCATCTCCATCTCAGAGGCAATGTCCTCATTTGACTTTCTGGGCTCGTTTTTATTGACAACATCTACATCATTCTTGATTCTGGGATTAG